CAGCACAGAAACCACATTTGAGAATTCTCAAAAGTCGCACCAATACAGCACAGAAACCACATTTGAGAATTCTCAAAAGTCGCACCAATACAGCACAGAAACCACATTTGAGAATTCTCAAAAGTCGCACCAATACAGCACAGAAACCACATTTGAGAATTCTCAAAAGTCGCACCAATACAGCACAGAAACCACATTTGAGAATTCTCAAAAGTCGCACCAATACAGCACAGAAACCACATTTGAGAATTCTCAAAAGTCGCACCAATACAGCACAGACACCACATTTGAGAATTCTCAAAAGTCGCACCAATACAGCACAGACACCACATTTGAGAATTCTCAAAAGTCGCACCAATACAGCACAGAAACCACATTTGAGAATTCTCAAAAGTCGCACCAATACAGCACAGAAACCACATTTGAGAATTCTCAAAAGTCGCACCAATACAGCACAGAAACCACATTTGAGAATTCTCAAAAGTCGCACCAATACAGCACAGAAACCACATTTGAGAATTCTCAAAAGTCGCACCAATACAGCACAGAAACCACATTTGAGAATTCTCAAAAGTCGCACCAATACAGCACAGAAACCACATTTGAGAATTCTCAAAAGTCGCACCAATACAGCACAGAAACCACATTTGAGAATTCTCAAAAGTCGCACCAATACAGCACAGAAACCACATTTGAGAATTCTCAAAAGTCGCACCAATACAGCACAGAAACCACATTTGAGAATTCTCAAAAGTCGCACCAATACAGCACAGAAACCACATTTGAGAATTCTCAAAAGTCGCACCAATACAGCACAGAAACCACATTTGAGAATTCTCAAAAGTCGCACCAATACAGCACAGACACCACATTTGAGAATTCTCAAAAGTCGCACCAATACAGCACAGACACCACATTTGAGAATTCTCAAAAGTCGCACCAATACAGCACAGACACCACATTGGAGAATTCTCAAAAGTCGCACCAATACAGCACAGAAACCACATTTGAGAATTCTCAAAAGTCGCACCAATACAGCACAGACACCACATTTGAGAATTCTCAAAAGTCGCACCAATACAGCACAGAAACCACATTGGAGAATTCTCAAAAGTCGCACCAATACAGCACAGAAACCACATTTGAGAATTCTCAAAAGTCGCACCAATACAGCACAGAAACCACATTTGAGAATTCTCAAAAGTCGCACCAATACAGCACAGAAACCACATTTGAGAATTCTCAAAAGTCGCACCAATACAGCACAGAAACCACATTTGAGAATTCTCAAAAGTCGCACCAATACAGCACAGAAACCACATTTGAGAATTCTCAAAAGTCGCACCAATACAGCACAGAAACCACATTTGAGAATTCTCAAAAGTCGCACCAATACAGCACAGAAACCACATTTGAGAATTCTCAAAAGTCGCACCAATACAGCACAGAAACCACATTTGAGAATTCTCAAAAGTCGCACCAATACAGCACAGAAACCACATTTGAGAATTCTCAAAAGTCGCACCAATACAGCACAGAAACCACATTTGAGAATTCTCAAAAGTCGCACCAATACAGCACAGAAACCACATTTGAGAATTCTCAAAAGTCGCACCAATACAGCACAGAAACCGCATTTGAGAATTCTCAAAAGTCGCACCAATACAGCACAGACACCACATTTGAGAATTCTCAAAAGTCGCACCAATACAGCACAGAAACCACATTTGAGAATTCTCAAAAGTCGCACCAATACAGCACAGAAACCACATTTGAGAATTCTCAAAAGTCGCACCAATACAGCACAGAAACCACATTTGAGAATTCTCAAAAGTCGCACCAATACAGCACAGAAACCACATTTGAGAATTCTCAAAAGTCGCACCAATACAGCACAGAAACCACATTTGAGAATTCTCAAAAGTCGCACCAATACAACACAGAAACCACATTTGAGAATTCTCAAAAGTCGCACCAATACAGCACAGAAACCACATTTGAGAATTCTCAAAAGTCGCACCAATACAGCACAGAAACCGCATTTGAGAATTCTCAAAAGTCGCACCAATACAGCACAGACACCACATTTGAGAATTCTCAAAAGTCGCACCAATACAGCACAGAAACCGCATTTGAGAATTCTCAAAAGTCGCACCAATACAGCACAGACACCACATTTGAGAATTCTCAAAAGTCGCACCAATACAGCACAGAAACCGCATTTGAGAATTCTCAAAAGTCGCACCAATACAGCACAGAAACCACATTTGAGAATTCTCAAAAGTCGCACCAATACAGCACAGAAACCACATTTGAGAATTCTCAAAAGTCGCACCAATACAGCACAGAAACCACATTTGAGAATTCTCAAAAGTCGCACCAATACAGCACAGACACCACATTTGAGAATTCTCAAAAGTCGCACCAATACAGCACAGAAACCACATTTGAGAATTCTCAAAAGTCGCACCAATACAGCACAGACACCACATTTGAGAATTCTCAAAAGTCGCACCAATACAGCACAGAAACCACATTGGAGAATTCTCAAAAGTCGCACCAATACAGCACAGAAACCACATTTGAGAATTCTCAAAAGTCGCACCAATACAGCACAGAAACCACATTTGAGAATTCTCAAAAGTCGCACCAATACAGCACAGAAACCACATTTGAGAATTCTCAAAAGTCGCACCAATACAGCACAGAAACCACATTTGAGAATTCTCAAAAGTCGCACCAATACAGCACAGAAACCACATTTGAGAATTCTCAAAAGTCGCACCAATACAGCACAGAAACCACATTTGAGAATTCTCAAAAGTCGCACCAATACAGCACAGAAACCACATTTGAGAATTCTCAAAAGTCGCACCAATACAGCACAGAAACCACATTTGAGAATTCTCAAAAGTCGCACCAATACAGCACAGAAACCACATTTGAGAATTCTCAAAAGTCGCACCAATACAGCAGAGAAACCGCATTTGAGAATTCTCAAAAGTCGCACCAATACAGCACAGAAACCGCATTTGAGAATTCTCAAAAGTCGCACCAATACAGCACAGACACCACATTTGAGAATTCTCAAAAGTCGCACCAATACAGCACAGAAACCACATTTGAGAATTCTCAAAAGTCGCACCAATACAGCACAGAAACCACATTTGAGAATTCTCAAAAGTCGCACCAATACAGCACAGAAACCACATTTGAGAATTCTCAAAAGTCGCACCAATACAGCACAGAAACCACATTTGAGAATTCTCAAAAGTCGCACCAATACAGCACAGAAACCACATTTGAGAATTCTCAAAAGTCGCACCAATACAGCACAGAAACCACATTTGAGAATTCTCAAAAGTCGCACCAATACAGCACAGACACCACATTTGAGAATTCTCAAAAGTCGCACCAATACAGCACAGAAACCGCATTTGAGAATTCTCAAAAGTCGCACCAATACAGCACAGACACCACATTTGAGAATTCTCAAAAGTCGCACCAATACAGCACAGAAACCGCATTTGAGAATTCTCAAACGTCGCACCAATACAGCACAGAAACCACATTTGAGAATTCTCAAAAGTCGCACCAATACAGCACAGAAACCACATTTGAGAATTCTCAAAAGTCGCACCAATACAGCACAGAAACCACATTTGAGAATTCTCAAAAGTCGCACCAATACAGCACAGAAACCACATTTGAGAATTCTCAAAAGTCGCACCAATACAGCACAGAAACCACATTTGAGAATTCTCAAAAGTCGCACCAATACAGCACAGAAACCACATTTGAGAATTCTCAAAAGTCGCACCAATACAGCACAGAAACCACATTTGAGAATTCTCAAAAGTCGCACCAATACAGCACAGAAACCACATTTGAGAATTCTCAAAAGTCGCACCAATACAGCACAGACACCACATTTGAGAATTCTCAAAAGTCGCACCAATACAGCACAGAAACCACATTTGAGAATTCTCAAAAGTCGCACCAATACAGCACAGAAACCACATTTGAGAATTCTCAAAAGTCGCACCAATACAGCACAGAAACCACATTTGAGAATTCTCAAAAGTCGCACCAATACAGCACAGAAACCACATTTGAGAATTCTCAAAAGTCGCACCAATACAGCACAGAAACCACATTTGAGAATTCTCAAAAGTCGCACCAATACAGCACAGAAACCACATTTGAGAATTCTCAAAAGTCGCACCAATACAGCACAGAAACCACATTTGAGAATTCTCAAAAGTCGCACCAATACAGCACAGAAACCACATTTGAGAATTCTCAAAAGTCGCACCAATACAGCACAGAAACCACATTTGAGAATTCTCAAAAGTCGCACCAATACAGCACAGAAACCACATTTGAGAATTCTCAAAAGTCGCACCAATACAGCACAGAAACCACATTTGAGAATTCTCAAAAGTCGCACCAATACAGCACAGACACCACATTTGAGAATTCTCAAAAGTCGCACCAATACAGCACAGAAACCGCATTTGAGAATTCTCAAAAGTCGCACCAATACAGCACAGACACCACATTTGAGAATTCTCAAAAGTCGCACCAATACAGCACAGAAACCACATTTGAGAATTCTCAAAAGTCGCACCAATACAGCACAGAAACCACATTTGAGAATTCTCAAAAGTCGCACCAATACAGCACAGAAACCACATTTGAGAATTCTCAAAAGTCGCACCAATACAGCACAGAAACCACATTTGAGAATTCTCAAAAGTCGCACCAATACAGCACAGACACCACATTTGAGAATTCTCAAAAGTCGCACCAATACAGCACAGAAACCACATTTGAGAATTCTCAAAAGTCGCACCAATACAGCACAGAAACCACATTTGAGAATTCTCAAAAGTCGCACCAATACAGCACGGAAACCAGCATGGTTCCAAATCAGCATGGAAACCACATCAGCATGGAAACCACATCAGCATGGAAACCACATCAGCATGGAAACCACATCAGCATGGAAACCACATCAGCATGGAAACCACATCAAGACACACCTTTTGCAGCACTGCAGCAGCAGCTGCAGCCGCGGCAGCAGCACGAGCAGAGGTCCCGGCGCCACATTTACTTGCTGCTGCTGCCGCTGCCGCAGCCACCGCCGCCACCTGGTCCTCTGCTGCCCGCTGCGCTGCCTGCTTCTGCTCCAACTCTTCTAAATACTCCTTGTTCATCTCCGTCCATATGAGGGTTTTCAGCTTCACCTCCTCTTCCCCCAATAGGTATCCATCCACCTGCATTGAGGAAAGAAACCAGAAACCCAAGGGAGGGGGAAGACGCAGCAAGAGAAATAGGTTGTTGGTTGAAGGATGGAATAAATTACTGTTGAACACACTGCCGCTGCACCAGCTGCCACCACCTGGTCCTCTGCTGCCCGCTGCGCCGCCTGCTTCTGCTCCAACTCTTCTAAATACTCCTTGTTCATCTCCGTCCATATCAGCGTCTTCAGCTTCACTTCTTCCTCCCCTAAGAGATACCCATCCACCTGCACTGGGCCGGGAGTGGGGAGTGGGGTAAATCGCTTCTGCTGCAACTCCTCCAAATACTCCTTGTTCGTCTCCGTCCATATCAGGGTCTTTAGCCTTACTTCTTCCTCCCCTAAGAGATACCCATCCACCTGCACTGGGCCGGGAGTGGGGAGTGGGGAGTGGGGTAAATCGCTTCTGCTGCAACTCCTCCAAATACTCCTTGTTCATCTCCGTCCATATCAGGGTCTTTAGCCTTACTTCTTCCTCCCCTAAGAGATACCCATCCACCTGCACTGGGCCGGGAGTGGGGAGTGGGGAGTGGGGTAAATCGCTTCTGCTGCAACTCCTCCAAATACTCCTTGTTCATCTCCGTCCATATCAGGGTCTTTAGCCTTACTTCTTCCTCCCCTAAGAGATACCCATCCACCTGCACTGGGCCGGGAGTGGGGAGTGGGGTAAATCGCTTCTGCTGCAACTCCTCCAAATACTCCTTGTTCATCTCCGTCCATATCAGGGTCTTTAGCTTTACTTCTTCCTCTCCTAGTAGGTACCCGTCGACCTGCATTGGGGGGAGAAACCAGAAACCCAAGGGGAAGGGGAAGACGCAGCAGGAGGAGTTGGGCTGTAGATTGAAGGATGGAATAAATGTCCTGCTGCCACTGCTGCTTCCGCTGCTGTTGGGTGGAGGGTGGGCTGTGGAGTGCACCTCTTCTCCATCTCCCCCAAAAGGCAATCGTGTGAAGCGGCAATGGGATAACTAACAGCACTCAAGACAGGGAGGGAGGGTGTGGAAGGGAGAAATTTCTAACCAAAACAACGCGATGCTTCTCCTCCACTGGATGATCCTCCTCATGAAAACAGAAGTGTTTTGAGACATCTCAAAACACTTCTGTTTTCACGTGTCTCCTCCACTGGATGATCCACCTCACCACCACTTGCTTCGCTACTGCAACTGGCTTCTGGTGGAGTGACCAATGAAACGTTACCTCGTGATCCTCTATATCCGACAAAGTATCTTCCTCCTCTTCCTCTTCTTCCTCCTCCTCTTCCTCCTCATCTTCCACCCCCTCCTGCGCCTCCTCCCCAATCTCCCCAACGCTTCCCCCGAACCTCCCTCCGCCGCCCATCCCACCCTCTTCCCCAGCCAAGAAATCTGGATCGGGGTCATCCACCAGGCTCGGATCTATGCCTGCCGAACCTAGACCGTCACGCCTGACCGAGCCTAGGGTATCTGGTTCGGCAGGTCCCAGGGAGTCTGGAAGCGTGTGGACCAAGAGTGGAGCAATTTCAGCTCGGTGCAGAGCTGCATCGAGATCCTGTCAGTCAAGTGGGATGGAGAGGGTTGTGGAGGGGTGGAGAGGGATGAAAAGGAATGGAGCGTGGTACGATGAGATTAGCTCTCCACTTGACCTCAGGAACATTCATTAAACACATAGAAATATCGTGCGTAGATCCTTCCTGAAACAAGTAGCTACGTGCAGGGAACTCTGGAGTGATGAATTTTGAGATGTCTCAAAACGCTACTTTTATCACTTGGCGATCCTGAAACGAGTAGCTACGTTCAGGGAACTCTGGAGAGATGAAATGCGCTCACCTTCTCAATCCTCTGCCTTGCTCTCTCGCGCTTCGACACCCCATCCTTCCCCACTTTCCCTCCCTTCCCTCCCGCTTTCGCAGCAACCACCCCTTTCCCTGCCGCCACCGCCACACCTGCACCTCCACCCTTCCCCTTCTGGCCAACAGCCATAACTTCCCTTCCAACTCCCCACTCCTCCCCTTCTCCGTATCCATCCCCCTCCTCCCGCTCCTCCTGCCCAAACACGCTGTACACAGTGAGGCGGCTTCTCCGCCTCCTCAGCTCTGCTTTCCGCTGCTCCCTCTCCCCCCGCCCCCATGCAGGCGGGTTGGCTCCCCCTACCAAACCTCCGCTCGTCCGCGCCAGCTGGGGGAAAGGGGAAAGGGAGGATGGGAGGATGGGATGTGATGTGATGGCATGATGCGTGGTAGGGGTACTTATCAGAGCACAGCTCACACGCAGCACAGTCATGCCACAGCAAGGTGACTTTTGAGTCGACTCAAAAGTTACCGCGTGGTGGGTACATATCAGAGAACAGCTCACACGCAGCACATTCATGCCACAGCACATATTTTGAGGCGTCTCGAATCACACCTCACGGCATGATGCGTGGTAGGGGTGCATATCAGAGCACAGCTCACACGCAGCACATTCATGCCACAGCACGTGCCATGTCATAGCGTGGCCTGCAGAGCCTATGGGCGAAATGAGCTGTCCCAGCCTCCTCATGCTGGCACTGTATCATCCGTAGCAGTACACCATACCATACCATACCATACCGTACTGGTACCGCACTACACCGCTCCGTACCATGTCATAGCACGGCCTGCAGAGCCCATGTGCAAAATGAGCCGCCCCAGCATCCTTATGCTGACACTGCGTCAAATACACCTCCCCCACTTCCCCCCCACCCACGCCCCCACCCCCATTCGCCACAACCACCCCTTCCTCTTCCCCCTGCTCCACCTCCCCCGTTCCCCCCTCCCCCGCCTCCCCTTCCCCATCTTCCCCACCACCCGGTTCCCCATACCCCCCTGCGCCTCCCCTCGCCCCTCCCCCTGCTGCTGCCCCCTTCCCATGTTTGCTCTTAGTAGCAAGGGCGGCAGCGGCAGGGGCGAGGGCAGAGGCAGGAGGAGCGAGAGCAGGGGTAGGCGGCTGGGTGGAGAAGAGAAGCTCGTCCCACTCCTTGGCCTTCTCCTCAAACTCTTCAGGCTGAGTAAAGGGGGTCGAAGGGAGGTTGGAGGGCGTAGGGGGGAAGCAGCAGAGGGCATGGTGAATGCAGGTAGGCGGCTGGGTGGAAAAGAGAAGCTCGTCCCACTCCTTGGACTTCTCCTCGAATTCCTCCGGCTAGTGGGGGAAGGAGGGGGGGAGAAATGAAGGGAGGGGGGTGGGACTTAGAGCAAGCAGATGGCCCGGTGCACGCGTGTGGTTGGAGGCTGGGTGGAGAAGAGCAGCTCATCCCACCCACTCCTTGGCCTTTTCTTCGAACTCCTCAGGCTGGGGAAAGGGAGGTGGCGGAAGTTGGAGGGGTTAGAAGGAGTGCGGAGAGAGGAGGGAGCATATCACATGATGTGTGTGGGTGGCTACGTGGCTGGGTGGAGAAAAGAAGCTCGTCCCACTCCTTGACCTTTCTCTTCGATCAACGACTAGGTATATGAGTTGTGATTTGAGTCGACTCAAAAGATTGTCGGGGTTCAGGAGGTTGGAAGGAAATGGAGTGAGGAGGGAGAAATTGGCATGGTGTATGGAAGTGGGTGACCGAGACTAGAAAAAAAATGAGGGGGGAGGGAGGAGGGGAGGAATAGCGAGTGGTCTATAAGCAGACTTCAGGGAAACATGGGGCGTAAGAGTAAGAGGAGAGGGGGCACTTACAGTGAGCCCGCCTGCCTCAGTGCCCGCAAAATCTTGCGAACAAAAAATGGAAGAGGAGAGGGGGCAGTGCGTCACCGACTTACAGTGAGACCGCCTGCCTCTGTGCCTTCAAACTCATGCAGTCGGTGCCGCACGGTCTGCTCGCACACATGCACCACTGCCACCTGCACGCAGCGTGAGGGAGAGAGAGTGAGAGAATGAGGGAGCGTGAGGGAGAGTGAGGGAGAGTGAGGGAGAGTGAGGGAGAGTGCAGTGCAGTGCAAGTCAGGCGGTGCCGCACAGTCTGCTCACACACTTGCACCACTGCCACCTGCATGTGGGAGGCGTGTTGTGAGAGGAGGACGGGTGTTCACTGTGAGGCCTGCCTATCTGCCTCTGTGCCTTCCCACTCGTGCAGGTCAGGTCAGGTCAGGTCAGGTCAGGTCAGGTCAGGTCAGGTCAGGTCAGGTCAGGTCAGGTCAGGTCAGGTCAGGACAGGTCAGGTCAGGTCAGGACAGGTCAGGTCAGGTCAGGACAGGTCAGGTCAGGTCAGGACAGGTCGGGACAGGTCACGTCGGGGCAAGTCAAGTCGGGTCGGGTCGGGTCGGGTCGAGTCGGGTTGGGTTGGGTCGGGTAGGGTTGGGTTGGGTTGGGTTGGGTCCGGTCCGGTCGGGTTGGGTCGGGTCGGGTAGGGTTGGGTTGGGTCGGGTAGGGTTGGGTCGGGTCGGGTTGGGATGGGTCGGGTCTGGTTGGGTTTGGTCGAGTCAGGCGATACCGCATGCAAGGTCTGCTCACACGCTGCCACCTGCACAGGCAAATACACTGTATGTATGTATACGGTCACACCGTGTATTTACAGTCACACCACTCATTACCAATCATAAAGATTAAGGCACATCACTGCAGCAGCACAGCACAGCCACTTGCAGCCAGCAGCAGAAGGCCCATCGAAACGACACAAGCCAACAGGTAGGTAGCTGATAGCACTCCTGCACCCAAGGTGCTATGAGGACTTTGATATATTCTAGCCGCAATCAGTTCTTTGTACCCAAAACTTAAACCCTAACCCCTGAAGTCTGGCCCTCACCCTCGCTCCTAACCATCCACCAACCCACCCACCATCCACCCACCCATCATCCACCCACCCATCATCCACCCACCCATCAATAACCCACACATCAGCCACCCACCCACCATCCACCCACCCATCATCCACCCACCCACCATCCTCCCACCCACCATCACCCACCCACCATCCTCCCACCCACCATCACCCACCCACCATCCTCCCACCCACCCACCATCCACCCACCCACCATCCACCCACCCACCATCCACCCACCCACCATCCACCCACCCACCATCCACCCACCCACCATCCTCCCACCCACCATCCACCCACCCACCATCCTCCCACCCACCATCCTCCCACCCACCATCCACCCACCCACCATCCACCCACCCACCATCCACCCACCCACCATCCTCCCACCCACCATCCTCCCACCCACCATCCACCCACCCACCATCCACCCACCCACCATCCACCCACCCACCATCCTCCCACCCACCATCCACCCACCCACCATCCTCCCACCCACCATCCTCCCACCCACCCACCATCCACCCACCCACCATCCACCCAACCATCATCCACCCACCCACCCCCACTAACCACATCCGACTTGGACCGCTCAAAGCCGTGAATGTGAGCCGCTATCAGCAGCGCTGCCCCACACACCCCATTGGGCTTGCGACCGGTCTGGAAGGGAGATGGGAGATGGGGAGAGAGGCGAAAGGGATGTAGATGTTTGGTTGAAAGAAAGAGGGGGTGAACTGTGTCTCGCTATCAGCAGCGCTGCCCCACACACCCCATTGGGCTTGCGACCGGTCTGGAAGGGAGATGGGAGATGGGGAGAGAGGCGAAAGGGATGTAGATGTTTGGTTGAAAGAAAGAGGGGGTGAACTGTGTCTCGCTATCAGCAGCGCTGCCCCACACACCCCATTGGGCTTGCGACCGGTCCGGAGGGAAGATAGGAGATGGGGAGGGAGGGAAGTGGAATATATGTGGGGGGTATGTGGGGTTGGATTTGTACTGGGTAAAACATGAATTTGTTTGTTCAAAATCATGTCCTAGTTTGTTACATTTGCTTTCTTTGGTTGCAGAGGTCAAGGGTTCAATTCCCAATGACTTCCTTTTAGGCCTACCCGTCTGAAGGGGGTTGGGAAAAGAGATGGTGAGCGAGGGAGTGATGGGAGAGCAGGAAGGGAAATCCAGAATTTGTAAGGTAAGTCCCCAGCATGGGAAGAGAAGCTCCTCGTCTCATCTGCATAAAGATTTTCAATTTACTAAACAAGCAGCAGCTTTGTCTGGTAGAGTACAGATTCGGAGGATTTTTTAGTAGACCCAGAACAAAGAGGCCTACTAATGTACGAAGTTTAAGCATTCTTAATCATGAGAAAGAACTCTCACATTGTCTGCTTCCACCCACTGACCCCTCCTCTCCCCCTCACCTGGATCCAGTCACGCTTCATGGAGGCAACGAGGCGCAGAAAGAGCGTACCATGCACCCCTTTCCCTTTCATCCCTACCCTTTCCCTCCCATCCCCTCCCCTTTCCCCCCTTCTTCACCCTCCATTCACCTGAATCCAATCGCGCTTCATGGAAGCAACGAGGCGCAGAGCCGTGTCGAACACTGCATGTATGATGCATCTTGCGCTTCCAGAAAGAGCGCACCATGCACCCCTTTCCCTTTCCTCCCTACCCCTTCCCTCCCCTCCCCTCCCCTCCCAACCTCTTCACCCTCCCTTCACCTGAATCCAGTCGCGCTTCATGGAGGCTACGAGGCGCAGAGCCGTGTTGGCCACTGCATGCATCTTGCGCCCAAAGTTGAGGCCTGGTATTGTGCACATGTCGCACCATGCAAATGCCCATGCAAAGCAATGCCATACCCATGTGCATCCCATGCCCATGCCAATGCACATGTCATCCCCATGACATGCCACGCCGCACAATACAACAATTAAAAAATGTGGATTGTATAACAGAATGAGAAACACTTAGGACACCATTGTGGACCATAGAAATTCATTCCCACACTGGGAGATGGTCAAAGCTGGTACAGTGAAAACTAGCCCTCAGTGAGAAGCGTACCCCAGACTGCTGGCGCACCATGTTTGAAACTAAACTGACTGCATCAATAAACATACAAAGAATCATTCTTACCACTACTAGGGAAAGCGTAAGAAACACAAGATTCCAGTATTGCATACAGTGTCATGAGGTTGGGGGTGCTTATGTGGAGTGCAAATACCTAATGCTTGTGTGAGGGTGCTGACTGGTACCAGTCATCGGATGAGTCTGCATGATGAGTGATCCAGGTATTGTTACTTACCACTATAACAGAGCACACTTCTGGTCAGCAGATCAGTGAATCAAGAGGGAAGCATCCAGCGGTGCCTGTAGCGGTCGCCTGCCTCTGAGTCGCCTCTAAGGCTAACTTACGGTAAGAGGAGTAAAGCGATTGGTGTGTGTAGTGGGATGACCCTTGATGCGACTGATCAGTTCACTTACGGTCGGCAAATCGGTGGATGAAGAGAGAAGGGTCCAGCGGTGCCTGTAACGGCTCGTGGTTCTCCAGTCGCAGCACCAACAGTGCCCCCAGTACAGAGATGGAGAAGTGAAACCAGCGAAAGAGGAGAGAAACGCTTACGGTCGGCGAATCGGTGGATGAAGAGCGAGGGGTCCAGCGGTGCCTGCAGCGGCTCGTGGTTCTCCAGCCGCAGCACCAGCAGCAGCTGCAGTGCAGGTGCACCGCTCCCAGCACGTGGCTGGGGAAGTGATACCAGCGAAAGAGGAGAGAAACACTCACGGTCGGCGAATCGGTGGATGAAGAGGGAAGGGTCCAGCGGTGCCTGCAGCGGCTCGTGGTTCTCCAGTCGCAGCACCAGCAGCAGCTGTAGGTACACCGCCCCCAGCACATACCTGAGAGAGTGAAATGAGAGAGAGGGGAGGAAAAAATAAGGGGGCATTTAGGGCGTGAAGATGCTTTGAGACGCACTGGTCTAGAAACTAGGATATGAGAAGGTGGTGAGAGGGCGGTGAGAGGGTGGTGAGAGAGGGGTGAGAGAGGCGCACTTACACGTTGATCTGCAGCAAGTCAGCAAAGTCGATAAGCAGAAAGGGCTTCTTCTCCTGCCTGCCAGCGAGTACAAGTGGATAAGTGGCATAGCACGGAAAAAAAAAATATCATTTTTTAGTAGACTAGAAATGTGTGAATCGACTCGAGAATTGTAGAGGACGAAAATGTGGCAAGAGATTTCGGCATTAACGTTAACTTGTTGCATGAGATGACACAACGGAACTGAGGAATCTCAAAAGGTGATTCTTGAGGAGCGTCAATAGATCACTGCAAGCGCCTAAAACAGGGTAACAATCAGGAATCTCAAAAGTTATCGCCATCGAGGAGAGACACTTTTTTCGAATCGACCAGAGAAAAAACTGCTGCAGCATCAGATACAAGCCCACCTGCAGGCGAGGTAGAGGCATGCAGCTGCCACCTGCGCCACTCGCCTGCCTCAGTCAAACCTAAGAATAAGAATTACATTCAAGCACACACCGGTTCAGGCGCACGAGCTCACCTGCAGGCAAGGTAGAGGCATGCAGCTGCCACCTGCGCCACTCGCCTGCCTCAGTCAAACCTAAGAATAAGAATTACATTCAAGCACACACCTGTTCAGGCGCACGAGCTCACCTGCAGGCAAGGTAGAGGCATGCAGCTGCCACCTGCGCCACTCGCCTGCCTCGGGTAAAGTTGCGATTCAGAGCCAGCTGGGGGCAGTCAAAGGGCGGTTGGGAAGGAGGAGGAACAGGACAATCAGGGCAGAAGCAGACGGGGGATGGGGAGGAGGTATTGTATGCATGTGGACATGTGCATTGGTGTGTGCATATATGTGTGTCCATGTGCGCATGGCATGTGTGGTGGTGGTGTACTGGACATGCATGTTCGCATGTCAGTCCAATACAACCAGAGACGGCATAGGTGCCTGATATTTTTTTGCACAACCTGTTCTAAGGCTCAATGTTTCAGAGGGTTTATGAGGGCTACGGGTTTACGAGGGCTGATCAGGGTTGAGGGTTTATGAGGGGTTCCGAGGGCTTACGAGGGCTTATGATGGTTTAAGATAATTTGAGTTCAGTACCTGGTACAGGCGGTGTGCCGACCCAATCATGTCCTCTCGAGGTCGCACGGCCAGACGCTCGGCGATCTCTGCAATCTCATTGCGCCCTGCAGGTTTCGGAGGGACAAATTGGAGGGTGGGGTGGGGGGGGCAGAGTGCAGAATATTGGTTAGACCTAGGATGACCGCACCACCACCACTCTTGGTCGCACGGCCAGACGCTCGGCGATCTCTGCAATCTCATTGCGGCCTGCAGGATTTGGAGCGACGGATTGGTGGGGAGGGGAGGGGTTGCAGGGGAAGGGATTGGTTAGACCTAGACCTCGGATGGCCACACCACCACCACCATCACTCTTGGTCGCTCGTTCGCACGACAACGTGCTCTGCTCGGCTATCTCTGCGATCTCATTGTGAACTTCAAGAGAGTTTGCGCTCATATGACTCCGAGTCTCCGACGAGCCCCCAAAGGCAAACCCCTCTGTACGTTCAAATCAAACCCACCTCCCAACAATGCAGCATTCGCTTGTATCACACCCACCTCTCCACACCCACGCCTCATGACTGTGCGATCATGTGACTCTGACGAGCCTCCAAAGGCGAACCTCCCATCACTGCAGCGTTCGTTTTTGTGTCACCCACCTCTCATCCGTTTGTATCACACCCACCTCTCATGACTGTGCGTTCGTGTGATTCTGACGAGCCTCCAAAGGCAAACCCCCTGGCTCCTCCCAGCCGCACCACCGGCCCGCCTCCTCCTGCATCTGCCACGAAGCTTCCCATGGCCATGCTCTGGAACAAAGGGAGAGAGAAGAGGCGAATCGGCCACAGAGATGAGGGTGGGAAAAGGGGACACAGGCGAGTGGAAGGAGGATAAAAAACCAGGGTTTAGGGTTCGAATAGATAACAGGGAGTGAGACGGGTCGAATAATTAACAGGGAAAAAAAGGGATAAACGGATGTGGGAGGAAGAGGCGTATTCAGAATGTTTTAAGTTTCTTAAAGGTGTAGGGGTGAAGGAATAAAGCAGTGGGGTAAGAAAAAAAGCCTTGAGAGTTGAGTGAAACCAAGGAAAGTGGTCCAGCGGAACGCTTACGAGTGGTAGAGTGCAATTGGAAGAGAGGCAAAGTGGCAGATGGGGGGAAGGACAGGGGAAAAGCGTGAGACACTATATCGTTCCCTCTAATCACGATGACATGTACTCGTTATTGCGTTTCTCGCTTATCTTACAGAGCCATCGGATTGTTTCATGAAGACTGTGTCGGACGAATACACGGTATCGTCCAGCACACGCCCACACCCCGTGCAGCAACTGGTGGGTTGGGGGGAGAGGAGGGGGGTGAGGGGGGAAGATGGGAGAGGCTCGAAGGGATGAGTGCACGTGGATCCAAGACGAGTAGACGGTATCGTCCAGCACTCGCCCACTCCCCGTTCGCGACGAGTTGTGAAGGAAGGAACCAAATGCGCGAGATGAATGAGCAAATCAAGATTTAGAAAACGTACGAGCCTGTTTTTTGAGTCGACTCAAAAGCACGGGCGAATTGTGAAGGAAGGAAGAACGAGCAAATCGAGATGCGCGTGAAGGGAACGTACGAGAAGCCATTGGCCTCGTCGACCTCCGCCTGCTGGTCGCGCCCGCAGTAGCTGCACCACACCATCGCGACCTCGTGCTCGCCACGTCACCCTCGCCACGTGTTCTTTTACGGCGTCACACTCTCGTAACACTCTCGTAACACTCTCGTCACACTCTAGTCACACTCTCGCGATCTAGCTCTCGCGGCCGGGAAATGCAGTGCGGGTACAGCGAACCGAGTCGACCCAGAAGTCACCCAGGTAACCTCGCGCCAGGCGGATGCAGTCTGAAGGATTTTTCTACGAAACAGCTGCTTCTGCTGTAGCTTCGATCCCTTTTCGAAGCGACTGAAACTAAATGTTGCGATCGATGCGGCAGCTGCGGTTAAGAGCCTCGCGACGTTTCCTATAAAGCACTGCGACGGCTTAGCAGCCTCGCGATGGTTGAGCAGTCGCGCGACGATGGAACTGCGATAACGATCGCGTGGGGAAAGAAGCGAACTAACGACAGCTCTCTTAGCGTTTAACGAACTCCGTCAGGAGACCGAAAACTGGGACGGCGTGCGTAACGGCGATCGGATATCCGCAATTAAGCTTTCATTAGCTGCCAGCCTTCAAGTGTGCTTGCACGTGCTATCGCGACGCGCGTGGTCGGCCTTACCACCAACGTACTAATGATTAGCTTGAGTGGTGTGGTGTTGCTTCAAAACTACGGCAGCCTCAAGGTTTTGGAAGGGTAGTAGTTGCCTCGTTAACGCGTACGGTTGCTTCAAACTGATGAGACTGGCTTACTGCAGCGAGATAAAAGTACTTAGTGAAATCTATTCACCACACGTCTTTGAGATGTGCTGAACAAGCACCACCACATTAAAAAAATAATCGAATTTCAAGTCACCGAAACGCAGCAGCAGGCAAAACAGATTTTCATTCGCATCTAGGACATGACCCGATTCATTACCGGTACTTATTGTTTCTTATCGTGTGCCCATTGTCAGGTGATCAATCCTCTGGGACCATCTGTCCACAAGAACAAAAAAGTGATAAGCGCAATGTGTTAAGAGGAGCATGCTTTCGAAAAGTTGCGCATAGGAAGGAGGGTACGGTAACAAGGAATGGAGGAGGTGGAACGGGAGAGGGAGAGAGAGGGAGAGAGGGAGCGAGGGCAGAGAGGGGGAGCACAGGGGAAGGGGGGGGAGGGGGTGTTGGGAGTTTGGGTGGGGGAGCACAGGGGAAGGGGAGGGGAGGGGGGCGTGTGGGGGAAAGGAGGGTATGAGGGAGAAGTGACGCAGCAGTGGATGAAAATACGAACTGATGGGGTTAGGAAGGGTGCAGCAATTCAACAGCACCTGGTCAAGCCCAAACGCCTCAACTCCCCATCCCTGCCGTGATTTCTTTTGAGAACTCTCAGAACTTATCCCAACCTGACAACACACCTGGTCAATGAAATCGTCCTCTTCAAGCCCAAACGCCTCAGCTCTCCCTCCCCAACGCAAGTGCCGCCGACGCTGCCGCCTCTGCTGCTCCTCCTGTTCCTCCTGCTCCTGTTGCTGCCGCCACTGGGTTTGCCATTCCCTTTGCCTCTCCCTCTCCACCTCCCTTGCCCATTCCCTCTCCTGCTCACGCTCTCGTTCTGTCTCCCTCTCCCTCTCTCTCTCCCTTCTCTCCCTCTCCCTTTCCCTCTCCATCTCCCTCTCCATGTCCCCCACAGTATCACCACCAGACTGCCGCAACTCTCCCCTCTCTCCCCTCTCCCTCCACTCCCTCTCCTCCACCTCCTCCTCTTCATCTATCACCTCCCCCTCAACCCCTGCCCCTCCGTCCCTCATCCCTCCTCTCTCTCCCCTTTCTTGTACTTCCACACCTGCCCTCCCTCCTTCACTCCCTGACTCCCAGTTCTTTCCCTCTTCATCTTATTGTGTGCGTTGCCCTCTTCCCTCTCTCCCCCCGCTCCCTTTTGCTGCCTCTTCCCCGCCTCATACTCTCGCTCCATCGCCAGCTCAACCTCTATCAACTCCTCCTTGAGGGTCTTGCGCCTCTTGGTGGTGAGCCAGCCTGAAAGAATGACATCCAGAAAGGCACAAAGACATGGCATGGAGGGAAGCATGGAGTCAAGTAAGCAACATCCTTCCCCGCCTCATACTCTCTCGCTCCATCGCCAGTTCTAGCTCCATCAGCTCCTCCTTGCAGCTCTTGCGCCTCTTCGTGGTGAGCCAGCCTGAGAGGGGGAGAAAGAACAGCACGTAGCAGCAAATAACACAGACTGGAGGCATGGAGGCACGGAGGCGCCCTCCCCACCTCATACTCTCGCTCCATCGGCTGCTTGAGCTTAAGCAACTCCTCCTTGAGAGTCTTGTGCCTCTTGGGCGTGAGCCAGCCTGGGGGAGAACGACCAAGCAGCAAGCTCACTATTGCCAAGAATTTGCAAGCTCACTATTGCCAAGAATTTGCAAGCTCACTTTGCAGCCTTTGAGAATTCTCAAAAACTCCCTGCAATGACCGAGCAGCAAGCTTACTATTGCCAAGACTGATTTTACAGATACATTGGCCCTGAGTCCGTGTCTGCTTCAAGTGAAACCACAGGAGAATAGACCGAGACTGGCATGTGCTTATAACGAAAATGGCAAGCTATCTCACCTGGATGGTTGGGCAGAGGCACTTGGTCTGCAGTCACATCCTCCTCAGCATCACCGCGGGCCCCTCTTGTATCACAAGCCTTCAAGTCTCCCTCGTTTCTCCCACACTCGGTTGTATCACCTCTGGTTTCATCACTATTACCATGCCCACCCCTTACATGTGCAGCTGCACCCATGGCCATGGGGGAACCACGACCACGTGGGTGTGTACCCATGGGGGTACCACGTGGGTGTGTACCCATGGGAATATCACGTGGGCGTGCAGCAGTCATGGGGACATCATACCGCTGTGCACCAATAGCAGCCGACACACAAGAGGAAGTAGAGCCACAATGGGCTGATGGGTTACCCTCGAGCCTCGGCTCCTCACTCTCACTGTGCTGCCTCTCCTGGCCGAGCCTGCCCCTGCCAAGCCTTTCCATGCCAAGCCTGTCCGTGCCGAGCCTGTCCATCCCGAGCCTGTCATCACCAAGCCTGCCACCTTCTTTACTGTCACGAGGATGTAACGGGCTGAGGGATATACGGTGATCAGGGGGAGCGTGCGAAAGGGGTTCTTTCGAAGGCTGGTTGGATGGAGGGTTGGATGAAGGGTTGAATGGACGGTTGGATGGAGGGTTGGATGGATGGTTAGATGAATGGATGGACGGATGGTTAAATGGACGGTTCGTGGAGTTGGAGGGATTTCTGAAAATGGGTTGAGTGGAATTAGGGTTTGTGAACTTAAGAGCCTCAAAAGGCTGACTGGAACTAGGCTTTGCATGGATTGCTGTGGTTGTGGAAAGACAAGAAGGGGTGGATGGAGGAGTGAGAGGGTGAGGGAGAGTGTGGGAACGAGCGTGCAAGGGAGATGGGGCAGCGTGTGTGGGAGGGGGAACGTGAGTCTGGCCCAGGCCCATGGCCACGACGTGACTACTTGGACTGCGTTGACCATGTTGACCTTCTAATGCTGGACTGTGTTGACCGCGTTGACTCTCCAACACTGGACTGCGTTGATTGCATTGACTCCTCAAATCTGGATTGCGTCGACCGTGTTGACCGTGTTGACCACCTAGAACCGGCAGTCCAGATTCGCAACCCAAGGAACCAATCGGAGCAGCCAATCCCTCCGCCATCACTGCAGCCATAAGCCATCGCTCGGTTCCACCTGACTGCACCGCACTCAATCCCTCTCCACCTTGCACTTGCTCTATTGCACCTGACTGAACCGCATTCAATCCCTCCGCCATCAGCGCTGCCATGAGCCATTTCTCGTTCAGCCCAGCTGACGCAGCACGAGCCGCTCCGTCTTCTACGCCTTCCACTCCCCGGCGCACCAGTCCACCCGACTGCACCGCATTCAACCTAACCGGTGGAAGAGAAGCAGTAACAGACGCGTATAGTTGACCCTCCCTCTCGCGCTCGCGCTCGCTCCTGTTCGGTAAGGTTCCTGTTTCATTCGTCGCAAACGCGAACCTGGAACTGTCTGCTGCAGTCGCATGATAGGTTGGTCGCTCGGTCGCATGATAGGTTGGTCGCTCGGTCGCACCAGAGGCTGGTCGCTCGGTCGCATGAGAGGCTGGTCGCTCGGTCGCATGAGAGGCTGGTCGCTCTGCGCCACGCGTGCGATTACGGCTCGATCTCGCAAGCTGGGTCGAGTGGTAACTGTCGTCACGATTTCGGCTCCACTTCTGGTCCTCGCACGCCATTAGAAAAAGCGTTTTTGAGACGTCTAAAAAACTTATACATCGTGAATTCGGCTACACTCCGAGCAGACGCCATTAGGAGGAAGCGAGTGGAGGATGAGTTAGCCAATCAGAGGCTGTATAGATAGATTTTAGGCCACACTATTTGAAAATGGTAAATTTTGTAAACGGTACGCTGAAGTAAGTTTTAGTGTGTTTCAGACCGGTACTCATCCGAGCGGTACCCATCCGAACCGTACCGTTCTTTTTGAAAAACTCGAGGTGTTCCACGCCCTTATCCCAGGGCTCTCGCCAACCCATTGTGTTCGGTACCTTTCGCGAATCGCAGCGGCTGCGACCACCCTTCGAGCTGTACAGCTACGTGTGTTACACGAGTTCACGAAGATCGTCAAAGTCGCCAGCAGCGCTGCGGTCCCTCCCGACTGCTTTCCACTCGCCTCCTCCTCCTTTGCCAACTGTTGAAGTCAGTCCGTACCAGTTTTATTTCCCGTGACCTAGCGTTGCCTTCTACGCTCGCGTGCCTTCTACGCTCGAGCTTCCAGTTCACACCTGCCATGGAAGTGACAACCTTCACGCGTGCTTCGCGGCTGAATCCGAAACACATCCCTCTGGCTATGGCGGCACGAGCAGATAGTGAGCTGCTGTCAGATTTAGGCTTGAAAACGGAGATCCATAAATCAGATGTTAAAGATTTCGTTTTCCATCAGCTCTTCAACAACTGCTTTTTCCATCATTGCAAATTCAACCGGCTTTCCTTTTAACGGCTTTTTCCTTAGCACTATTAACGGGCCTGCTCTCATCCGTACGGCATTTACTGCGACGATCCCAAGGCATCTCGACGATGGCGAGTAACTCGTGGCCGCGCGCAGCGCGCAAGCTGCTCCTGCCTCTCTCCCTCCTCGTGCTCCTCGCCGTCACCAGCGCCAGCGCAGCACGGCCCATGGTGCAGACGTCATCCTCCACCGCAGCAACCGCCGTCACCGCCGGATCTGCCTTGGGAACTCCGCGCAGGGTGGAGCAGGAGGTGATGAGCTGGGAGGGGGTGACGGTGGATACAGTGGCTTCAGGGAACCTGGGCGTGGTCGAAGGCTGGGAGGACTCTGAGGTTGCGAAAATTCTGGTGATTATTTTCGTGAACGAGGGTTACAATGTGATGGTGATCAAGTCCGAGCACTCCGTGTACGACGGTGAACCATTTTCCGCCACGGTCCAGGTGGCACACTCCTGGGGTGACTCGTATTTTCGGGTGTATTTCCTGAAGGGTCCGTTCAGAGTGGTGAATTGGGGGGAAAGCACGCCCGAGACTTGGGATTATGGAGGAAACTACTGGTTTGGGTCAGGACAATTAGCTGTGTATTTCACTTGAGTGTTGTTGTGCATAACGGCAGCATTGGTAGCCTCATTTTATATTGAGTACAACTAGCCTGTGGGTAGCAAGCATTGGGATAGTTGGAGAACACTACTGTAGTCATATTTCAAATGTAAGAGCACACACTATGATTGAAACAAGTCAAAGTTACGGTACCGTCATCGCCCGGATATAAGACAGTGTTGAATAGTAGACAGGGGTTCTCTATTATACGGGTGTCTCTTATAAACAGGCTAGCCTTTTTATACGACACCTATTTGTGTGTACGAGATAAGACTTATGTGTCTTATAATCGAAACTGCAATGTATTATAGTGAAAATTGAAATACCGCGTACATTTTTACCCTTGCGACACGCGAATTCTGCCACGTGCTGAGTCACATACTACCAAATTTGACTCTGCAAGTATTCGGGATGACGTGGCGTCCCGAACAATGGTTGCCGAAGTGGCAACTTCGCAACACCGACACACTCTTAATGAGAAACTCTTTTCAAGATGCGTGAAAATATTTCTAAGTAGTTTAAAAAGGTTTCGAATTATAAGACTTATAAGACACCCAAAACCTCCCCAAATACAAGATAACCCAAGCATTTTTTTTAGTGTATGAGATAAGACATATATGTCTTATATCCGGGCGATGACGGTAGTCCCAGCTTGAGTGCATATTGGTGCATATTTGTGAAACCCATGCACTCATACTGGCTGGCTCCCACCAGGAACCCCTGGATGCTACACCACATCCCTATAGAGCTGGTGCTAAGGTACGGTACCGGTACGGTATATGCACTTGGCTTCTTATGGTACTTCACATACGGTACGTGCTGCTATGCTATCAGGTATGAAACCACAAATGTTCACTTCCAAGGGGGTAGAGGTGTACAACAAACCATTCTACTATGTCACTAGCAAGCAACCATTTCTATTAGCGAGTGGCCTCCCTCAAGGCACTGCTTTCTCTTTCAGTGGTACTGTACTGTATTATAGCGAAACATGTTGTGACACAAAGCTCTATCTAAAAGTTCAAACATGTCTCATTGAAGAGAACAGTAAGCCTGCACTTAGGTACCCCACCACTGCTTCTTGCTCAACCGAACTTTGCCCCTTTGGCAGCAGCAGCGCGGCCAGCTTTATCAGCAGCGCGCCTCTCCCTGAGCCACATCTCTCTCACATTCCCTAAAGCCATACCCACGAGTCTGACTCAACAGCCTACGCTTCCCCTGCTGCTCCTGCTTGCTCAGTTGAACCTAGGCCCTTGGCAGCAGCAGCACGAGCGGCTTTATCAGCAGCGCGCCTCTCCCTGGGTCGCATCTCCCTCACATTTCTTAGCGGCATTGTCTCTTCCCTCACAGGCATGTCCCCGAATGGGTGGCTGTCCCCCTCAAATATTCTCAGCTTCATCATGCGCGGCTGGGGGGAAGGGGGGGCATGCAGAAGGAAGAGTGATGGTTGGGGGTAGAGTACGGTTCTGGGAGGTGGGAGCAGGTGAGGGAGCTGGGCAGGCTTCGCCTCCTCCCTCGCAGGAATGTCCTCGAATGGGTGACTGCCCCCCTCGAATATCCTCAGCTTCGTCATTCGTGGCTGGGGGGACAGGACGGGGGGAGAAAGAGAGAATGTGAAGGCACTGCCTCCTCCATTACAAGTGTGTTCTCGAACGGGTGAGGCAACTTACTGTGACCCTGAAAATAAGGAAACTCCCATCAACCTGTCAACCTGCCACCCAAAAAATTCCCATCTGCAGCAACTCACATCCATGAGTCAATTGCAGGGAAGCGAGTGCAAAATCTGTTTTTTGAGTTGGAAAAAAAAAGGCCACTCACATCCACGAGTCGGTTGCGGGGCAGCATGCGCAGCACTGCTTTGCGAATGACCTCCTTGGGATCCTTTGCCATCTGGTCCTTGAGGGTTCGCTCCTTTAGCCCTCCGATGTACCTGGGGACGGACGTGCATACACACAGGCAAGGGGGGTGGATACATCATACATGTGTCATGCAGAGCATTGCCATTTGGTCCTTGAGCGTTCGCTCCTTCAGCCCTCCAATGCACGCGTATGCGTTTGTGTATGGAAGGGGGAATGATGGAGACGTGCACATGCGTGTAACCAACCATCCTTTGCCATTTGATGTACCTGTGATCCTGCATGAATGCATGCATGCATGCATGCAGGGGCATGCAAAGATGCATACGTGCTCACGAGATGCGTCAGTCGGTGCATGAGTGGGTGGATGTGACGTACATAGAAATGGCACTCAGGGTCCTCGAGAAATGGCATTTGGTCGTTGAGAGTTGCGCGCTCTGAGTCCGAACCTGACCGATGAACTTGCATGGATCCATCCAAACGCCGATACCTTATGTGCTCCATCCGTCTCACCCTGTGTGCCGCCCAACTCACCCTGTGTGCCGCCCAACTCACCCTGTGTGCCGCCCAACTCACCCTGTGTGCCGCCCAACTCACCTTGTACGCTGCCCTGTGTGCCGCCCACTCACCCTGTGTGCCATCTGTATGTCTTCTGCCGTATCTTGTCACCCGTCACTGCAATCTTATCTGTACAGAATCAGGTACACATGCACACAGGAATTTATAGGCGCACAAGTCATGGATACATGCATCACACACACATGAATACATGCATGGACCCATACATAATTACATACATTCACACATGGATTCATGCATGGACGACCATCACATGCAACCCAACAACCAGACATAACGTATGAGTCAACTCAAAAGTAGACAAACTCGTGACAGTGCGTACACATCTCACTTGTGACAGTTGGCCATGGCAAAGCTGCATGTATATGTTTGCGTAAGGGAGCAATAACCTCCAAGCATAGGCTACAAAAGGGTTACTAACCTGCATTGACCGCAATGCAGACGTCGCCCTTGTCAATGCTGGGCGAGTAGATGGGCTTGTCCTTCCCCTGCATAACGGGTTACTAGCCCCTAGATATTATTAACTAAGGGTTACTAACCTGCATTCACTACAATGCACACGTCGCCCTTGTCAATGCTGGGCGAATAGAGGGGCTTGTCCTTCCCCTGCATAAGGGGTAACTAGCCCCTTGATATTATTAACTGAGGGTTACCAACCTGCGTTCACTACAATGCACACGTCGCCCTTGTCAATGCTGGGCGAGTAGATGGGCTTGTCCTTCCCCTGCAGCACCACTGACAGCCGTGAGGCCAGGCGACCAAGCACCTGCATGGCAGGGAGGCAGGGAGGAGCAGGGAGGAGGAGAGGTGGACATCCGAGAGGTGGGAAGGCAGGGAGTGAATGGGAATAGGTGGAGTATGGACGCATGCACGCAGCAAGGAGCATAGATGGGCTTGTCCTTTCCTAAAAGCACCACTGCAAGGCTGGCGGCAAGGCAACCAAGCTTCATACAGGGATGACTTGGCCCTATGCGCATATCATTAGCGTACCCAAGCCGTGACAGCATACCTGGTCCTTAGCGTCGAATACTCGCCACCCAGATACTTTTTCTGGCTTCAGACCGGCGAACGCGCGCTGGGGATGGGGAAATGGCGGGAGCGGGTGGTTGGAAGTGAGTGGAGTGGTGAGGGGGGAACGGGGAGGGGGGGGGGGGGGGGGGGGGAGGGGGAGGGGAGGGGGTTCCGGGGGTTTGGGAATTGAGGAGAGGGTGGATGGGGAGGGGGGTAACGGGGATAGAGAATAAAACTAAGAGATTGTTCAAGTTAACCCTCCTCACGGACTACGGGGGTGATGAATCCACGTGGTGGGGGGTGCTAAAGTGGGATGATAATCGTGCATGGCGATGAGAAAGGATTGATTTACTCATAATACGGCATGAAAGGTTCTGGAACGCTGACAGCAGTGCCCTATCAAGATCGGTCAAAGCGCGAATGTCTCAGAAGCAGGATTCGGAAACCGAGTGGTAATTTGAGGAAAAAACCCCGAAAGGGAAGAATTTCCAGGATTAGGGTTTCATAAAGTCCGCAAAAAGTGGCGAACCATTGTTATGTGAAGAGCCACGCGAGGCTATGAAGTATCGTTCTGGAGACGACGGGAGACAACGAACGGGAGTGGCTATGAAAGGAAAGCCGCCTTACCCGTGCAGCGGCCATGATCCGGCCTCAGTCGCAGCGCGTTGAAGTTTTGGCGCCAAGCGCTGACACAACTTCAAATCACGGGATGTACGCGTTTTAACCTCCTCGTGCGAGTAAGAAGAAGAGGGAAAGGATGCAGATGCTGGAACTCCACTGATGCTGGAAGTCGGGCGTAATCGATATTACTCTCTGAGCACAATTGCAGTTCCAGTTCGTTATAAACGCGACACACAGACCATCTCGACATTCTTCGGATCATTTTGGTATCAACTCCAACCAGTCAGTGTCATATTTTTGTCTGCCAAATTTGTGCCAGTTTTCCAGATTGGTGCCAGTTTGAGCTGTACCCGAATTGACATCACGATATGAGGAAACGGGCTCAGAACTGGTTTAGCCTCGGTAACTCCGGCCCAGACTCCCAGCACTTCACCGCCATTTCCTGTCTTGGCTGGGTATGAATCTCTGTTAGTGTTAGCCTCTCACTTGCGACTGGATCCTAGCATTTTACGCTGCTTGATCCAGATACCGAGTCGCTAACATAGAAAACGAGCGTCGATTTTTAGGGGGCTGGAGTGGTATAGTAATTGGTTTTCTTCTATCACCCCTCGTTCCCGAGTCGCCTTTCCTTCGCCGATTCGTTATCAGTTTCTCGCGGTCTATTTTTAGTCCGTACGTCTAACCGCCGCGTTTCCGTCAGTTTGGCTGTTGACCAATCGACCGAGCTCCCGCGTAACCCGAGTCGCGCTCATGGTGAACAAGGTGCGATTGGACGTCAGTGGGATTGGCTAGGCCAGCAAACCGTCGATTAGTGTTATCTGGTCATTTGATCGCCGTGCGACTCGTTCTGAGTCGTCTCAGAACTCGCAGTAGCTGTCGTGCGACATCTGGTCTCAAAACTAGTAACTACTACCTGTGAATCGAGTCCCCCTGAGAGCCCCGATTCTTGTGATTGAATCAAGCATCAAGTCAGAGAGAAACGGCGTGCCTTCGCTCACTCACAACAGCTTTCATTTGTTGCTGTTCAGTCTCGCCATTCGCGCCATCCGTCGGTCGTTGGTTCTGCATCTTCTCATGCTCTTTCGTGCACCTTTTGAATCGGCTTCGTTTCTGCGTTCGCTATTGTGCCTCTTGAGGTGCATTTTGAGGCGCCTCAAAATGCACCTCACTACACGCGGATTTTGAGGCGCCTCAAAAGCCATCCGTCGGTAGTTGGTTCTGCATCTTCTCATGCTCGACTCTTTCGTGCACCTTTTGAATCGGCGTCGTTTCTGCGTTCGCTCTTGTGCCTCCGTTACACGTCATTCCGTCTCCGTGGGCCTCTCAGGCGGATGGAGGTGAAGCTGAGCGCAGAGGAGGAGCAGGGGGAATGGCTGGCCGATACTACAAAGTCCAAACTCTCAATGTCGTCAGCTATAACAGCGGGCGCTCTACAATCTATTCCGTTTCCGTACAATCTCTTTTTTTTTTTGTCCCCGTGTGTCTCTCAGGTGGTGGAGGTGAAGCTGAGTGCAGCAGAGGAGCAGGAGAAATGGCTGGCGGATGCACTCAACGTGGTCAAGCAGCAGGCCTTCTACATGCGCCGAGCTCTCGTGAGTCAACTGTTCACTGTTGAGCGATTCACCACAAGTCAAACTCTCAAGTGAGTCATGTCAATCCTTCATGGCTGGCGGATGCTCTCAACGTTGTCAAGCAGCAGGCCTTCTACATGCGCCGAGCACTCGTGAGTCCACTCTTGAACCCCGTACCACAAGTCAATTTTTGAATTAAAATAGTAATGTCAGAGATGGCTGGCGGACTCACTCAACGCTGTCAAGCAGACTCGGGCAATTAAAGCGAGCCCCTCTCATGTTTCCGCACAGATGCTCCTTTTCCCCTTCCTATCCTAACACCATCAACCACCTCCCCCTGCCTTCCTTCACTTGCTTCACTGATTCTCAGGACTCGGGTAATCTACGAGAGGCCCTCAAGTACTCCGCACAGATGCTCTTCTATCCTCTATCTTGCCCTCTAATGACTAACAGCCACCTCCTCTGCCTGCCTTCGCTGACTCTCAGGACTCGGGCAACCTACGAGAGGCCCTCAAGTACTCAGCGCAAATGCTTTCTGAGCTCCGCACCTCCAAGCTCGCACCACAGAAATACTACGAGCTCTGTACGTACTGCGTGTGCAGTGCTGGTTCCTTCAGTACTGATTTCTATAAAACCGCAGTGTTTATTGGTCCCGACTTCTTTAGTACCGAGTCAATCATTTCGTTTCCACATTCGTTCCCACCACGCCTTGACCATGCCTAGCAAACGTGTGTGCGATGCTTCCCTTTTTTGACAACTCTCAGCAATGACTCCACTCCACTATGCGTCCATGCGCCCATGCCCGCTTTTTTACGTGGCAGACATAGTGGTGTGTGGCGAGCTGCAGAACCTAGAGGCGTTCTTCTGGGATGAGTGGGACGAGCACGCTCAAACTGCCCATTCTAAGGCGCCTCAAAGTCCACCGCATCCGCACTGTTCCCCAACCCTGCGTGCATGGCATGGCAGACATAGTGGTGTGTGGCGAGCTGCAGAACCTGGAGGCCTTCTTCTGGGACGAGCACAAGATGCGCGGCCGCAGCTGTGTGGACCTCTATGAGCTCGTGCAGCACGCCGGCAACATCGTGCCAAGGCTGTGAGTTCTTTTGTTATTTTGTTTGTTTGTTTGTGTGTGTGTGTGTTTTTTTTTTTTTTTTTTAACGTCGGACTCCACAGTCAATGAATGGAACGGAATTCATTCGAGAGTCAAGGAAGCCTTGGTGGGAAGAGTTTACATGCGCGTTGTGAGTTTCGAGATGTTTTAGAACTCTGCTTTCCTCCTCCCCGACCCCCCCCACTTTCCCCCAATTCTTCCCTCCGCTGGCCCAGGTATCTCCTGTGCACGGTAGGGGCAGTGTACATTCGCAGCAAGGAGGGGCCGGCTAAGGAGGTACTCAGCGACCTGAGCGAGGTTTGCAAGGGCGTGCAGCACCCCATCCGCGGGCTGTTCCTGAGGGCGCATCTCACCCAGTGCAGCCGAGATAAATTGCCCGATACTGGGTCGGAGTATGAAGGGTACGTGTGCAACAAGGGGTGAATGGGACTTGAAGTGGGAATTGAGGTGTGCAAGGGCGAGCAGCACCTCATTCGAGGGCTCTTCCTGAGAGTGCACCTCACTCAGTGCTCCAGAGACAAGTTTCCTGACACAGGTTCCAAATACGAAGGGGTATGTACGGAACCTGACACGGTACAACAAGGGATGAATGGGGTTTGGTGTGTGCCGTGCCGTGCCGTGCCGTGCTCACTGGGAATGCTAAGTGAGGTGTGTGCAATGCAATGCAAGGGCTGTGTTGTTGTAGGCTTATGTTGGGAAATCTCCTGCGCTTTCCGGTTCTCCCTTCGCCACCCCCCTGTATCTGCAGCGATTGCGGTACAGTGGTGGATGCAGTGCAGTGGAGTTCGAGTTTCTACTGCAGAACCTTAAACACCACCTCCCTTCCTTCCCCATTCTTTTTCTCCCATCACCACCCCTGTGTCTGTGACCCTGCAGCGAGGGCGGCACAGTGGTGGATGCGGTGGAGTTCCTGCTGCAGAACTTCAAGCACCCCTCCCCTCCCCCCGCCTTCCCTTTCCCTCTTCACGTCCCCCCTGTATCTGCAGCGAGGGTGGCACAGTGGTGGATGCAGTGGAGTTTCTGCTGCAGAACTTCACGGAGATGAACAAGCTGTGGGTGCGCATGCAGCACCAGGGGCCTGCCACCGAGAGGGAGAAGCGCGAGCAGGAGCGGCGAGAGCTCAGAGACTTGGTGAGTCCACCAACTATTCCATTACGTCTCTCCTTTTGAGTCGACACTGAATTCACATCTCCCTCGCGTTTCTTCCCTCTCCCTCTCCTTTTCCCCCATCCTTCTTTTGCCACCCCCGCCTCCACTCTCTTTTCCCTTCTCCTGATTTGCTCTTTTGCCCTTGAGGCCTCTCAAATCGCTTATGCCAACCGCCTAGGTGATTTACCTTACCGTTCTTTGTATCTTTTGAGCATCCTCAAAAGTTGCTTCTGCAAACCATATATGTAATTTACCACCCTATTTTTTGTTTTAGGGTGTCTCAGAAGTCGCGTCTGCCAATTCCCAGTGTAATTTACTGTACCTTTTTTTTTTTTTTTTTTTTTTTTTCTTCTGAACCTCTCCTTCTCCACTCGCCCTTCTCGTCCTCGTCTGCCCACTGCAGGTGGGCAAGAATCTGCATCTGCTGAGTCAGCTGGAGGGGGTGAATCTGGACATGTACAAGACTGTAGTGCTGCCGCGCATCCTAGAGCAGGTGAGCCTCCTGATTGACCATCGGAAAAGCGTAGATTCAGTGAATCTGGACATATACAATAGTGCTGCCTCCTGTAGAGCAGGTAAATGAATAGGGTTGGTAAAATGACTATGAATGATGACCGTGTGTGAGAATATTGCTGTATTTTCTTTCGGATCGTGAACTGCCGGGATAAGATAGCCCAGCAGAGCAGTACCTAATAAACTGTGTCATCCCCCTGTCTCTGTCTCTGTCTCTGTCCCGCCCCTCCCCTCCCTCTCTTATCACATCCCTCAGATCGTGAACTGCAGGGACGAGATAGCCAGCAGTACCTAATGGACTGCCTCATCCAGGTGTTCCCAGACGACTTCCATCTCAACACCCTTGAGACGCTCCTGGGGGCGTGCCCTGAGTGCGTGCACTGCATTCATCCTCCCTCCCCTCCTCTCTCGTTCCCTTCCTCATCGGACCTCCCTTCCAGATCGTGAACTGCAGGGACGAGATAGCCCAGCAATATTTGATGGACTGCCTCATCCAGGTTTTCCCAGACGACTTCCATCTCAACACCCTCGAGACGCTCCTGGGGGCGTGCCCTGAGCTACAGCCGAGTGTTGACGTGCGGACCATCATGTCTCAGTTGATGGACCGCCTTTCGACCTTCATGGATAAGAACCCTGATGTGAGTGGCACAGGCAGCCTTGCGATGTGATGTGTGTGCGCAGTGGCCTTATGCTGTGGAGTCCACTCCTCCCTGGAGGCGTGCCTCGAGCTGCAGCCCAGCGTTGATGTGCGAACCATCATGTCTCAACTCATGGACCGCCTATCGACCTTCATGGATAAGAACCCGGATGTGAGTGCTGGTAGCCCTGCGATGTGAGTGGCCAGTGGTCCTACGCTGTGGATGGCCTGCCCAGTGGTCCTCCTACACTGTGTGATGAAACTCCTCTCTTTCCTAGGGGCGTGCCCTGAGCTGCAGTGCAGCCGAGTGCTGACGTGCACACCAACATGTCTCAACTCATGGACTGCCCCTCAACCTTCATGAATAGAACCCATATCTGAGTATATAAGTGCACATTTGTGGGTCTAGCTCGTAGTCCCCTGGGGCCGTTTCCCGTGCGCGTCCGCTCCTAGGCACATATGCGGGTTTTGAGTCGACTCAAAACGCCTGGATATGTGTCCTGAGCTGCAGTGAAGTGGGCGTGCCTTTCCACCTTTTGTGAGTGTGTAGGCGCACGTTTGTGGGCATAGCTCGTAGCCCCCTGGGGCCACTCCCCCCATGTGCAGCCCCCTCTGAGGGCGTGTCCTGAGCGCACATCCTCTGGGCATACAGACCGCAGAGGATGTCCGCACAGTGTTCGGTTAAGGTGCTTCATTCATTCCCGTGCATTTTCGACCTCCTCATCTGGCGTCTGTTTTTTCTCCTTCCCCTGCTGCCCCGTAATCACCAGGCCTTGCCGCATTTCCTGGAGGTGGATGCTTTTGCCAAGTTCAACTCCGCTGTCAGCAAGGTGAGGAAAGCCGGGGGAATGGGGGGTAAGGTTGTGGACTGTGGAGGGCGGTTAATGCTGTTATAATTGTTAGGTGATTGGAAGTTTGGCCACAAATTAGGTGTCATTCCCTGGAGGTGGATGCTTTTGCCAAGCTCAACTCTGCTGTCAGCAAGGCGAGGCTTGTCACCGAATATGCACGGTTGTGCATATAAGGTGCCATTATCATGGTGGTGTAGTGGAGGTGTAGCTATGTTGTGTTTGCAAATTCGAGGATAGGTAGGTGGGAGCTGGGAAATTGACGCGAAGTTGGTAGGAGAGCACCTTGGGTGAAATCCTTGCAACCAATGAGAACGAACCAACCCAGGCTCGAGCCGCACATTGAGAAATGCACGGTTCGAGCCAGGGTCAGGTAAGTTCACTCTCACACACACCTCTGATGCTTTCTGTTTGTTATCCTTTCGTATAGTGGACTGTTGTTACCTTACCAGAGCAGGCAGGTGGCACACCACTCAGGGAGGACCTTTGAGGTGAGAGTTCTGTCACTTTCATAACAAACAGAAAGGTGCGCGTACAAGCATGGATGTGTACGAGATGCGTTACGGCAGGAATTATGGTCGCCGTGAGGCGGATCGCTCACGGCGCGAACGCTCACGTGAGCGCGGGCGCTCGCTGGAGAGGTCGCCGCGGCGGCCTGAGCGATCGCCGCGGAGGCCGGCCTTTCGCGCGGATCAGGTCCCTCTCGCGCCAGATCGCCAGGAGGGAGTATCCGCCCGAGAAGGAAGAGGCGGATCTGGATCCTTCACGACGGGGAGTGACCCGTGGCGGACGGACGGGCGTCACGGAGCGGATGGCGGTCGTGGGTACCGCCAGGACACGGGAGCATACCGCTCGCCGGAGGAAGGCTATCGCCGTCGCGAAGAGAGAAGTCGCGGGCGAGGTCTGGAGGAGCTCTTCTCGGGTCGCCAAGGCGATCTTGATGTGGATGGAGAAGACGAGGCCGACTCGGCGAATCGAGTGCGGGAGACGAATCGTGAAGGCGAGACCAAGGGCGATGACGAACCCCAGGAGGAAGGCGCAGGCGAGCAGCGCGAGATGCCCGCTGGAGTTGATGACGACGATCCCGCGCAGGCGAGCGTGGCGGCGGAGCCGAGCACGGCGGAGGCGGAAGGAAAGGGCGGTACTCGAGACCTGCCGCGCGACGGAGAGAAAGGTGACGGCGGGGGGCGTGGCAGTGGCGCGCGCTCTCCAGATCCGCGTCAGCAGCGTGACGAGGGACGTGGCGGCGGCGCGCGTTCGCCTGATCCGCGCCTGAATCGGGACGGAGGACGCGGCGGCGGTGCGCGCTCGCCAGAGCCTTGGCTGAATCGTGATGGGGGACGCGACGGAGGCACGCGCTCGCCAGATCCACGGATGTATCGGGAGGGGGGGCGTGGCGGCGGGACGCGCTCGCCAGATCGGCGGCAGAATCGTGACGGGGAACGCGGTGGCGGCGCGCGCTCGCCAGATCCACGTCTCCCGCACGAGGACGGGAGGCACGGAAGCGGCTACCGCTCGCCAGGACGGCAGCAGCTGCAGGAAGAAAGGCGCAGAGGCGGCTACCGCTCGCCAGAGCCACGGCGGCACCAGGACAGTGGACGCGGGGGAAGTGTGCGCTCACCAGATCCGCGGAGGTATCACAACTGGAGAAGCGGGGGGGAGCTGCGCTCTCCAGGTCCTCGTTACCCTCGTGATGAGAGACGCGGAGGCGACTACCGCTCGCCTGATCTGCAACGGTATCATGGAGAGAGGTGGGGAAGCGAGACGCGCTCGCCCGACTGGCACAGGCAACATGGAGAAAGCCGGGGAGGCGGATACGGCTCGCAGCTTCGGCAACAGAGCAACGATGAGGGGCGCGGCGGAGGGTATCACTCACCTGATCGGTACTGGCAGCATGACGGAGGACGTACCAGTGAGGGAGGACGGGATCAACGCAACAGCAGAGAGGAAGGCAGCGGGCTGATGCACTGCCTAGAACGGGCTAGAGAGGCGAGGGAAGGAATACTGCGGGCGAGAGAGAGAGGAGCATAAGGGAGATCAGCAGGAGGGCCGAGCGAGGCGTGGGGAGAAGGTAAGGGAAGCACGGTAATGGCCACGAGAGTGGAAGTGCCAGCACGCTTCTCAGGAGATCAGCGCACGGGCCCCACGCTGAAGAACTACCTGATGCAGGTGGGCAACGTGCGGTACAGATGCGAAAGGAGCGGCATGGACTCGGTGGACTTTTTCCTGAGTCTGCCAAACACATTGGAAGGGGAGGCGGAGACATTGTACAGGATGAAGATGGATGAGCTCCTGGAAAGGGCAGGAAGGTACGGGGAAGACCCTACTGAAGCATTCCTGAGGCGGCTGAAACGGCAGTTTCCAGGTCACACCGCAGAGAAGATCAGGGAATTCCAAGATTTCAGGAAGGGGCGGGGCGAGTCACTACTCACCTACTATAACCGGCTGGTCAACCTGGCAGAGGATGTGACTTGCGCAGACATGGCCGTGCTCGTGAGTAAATTCCTGGATGGGCTGGAGGGCACTTTGGGAAGCGGGCTGCGGATGAAGGTGTATGAGATGGGGGCCGACACAACGCTTGAAGAGGTGTTTGAACTGGCAGAGAAGATGGAGCTGGCGTAGAGGAAATATGAAGCATACAGGCCCAGACAGGCGGAGCGAGGCAGGGGGCCTACATGGGCTGCGGCCATGATACCGGAGGAGAAGGACAGGGCAGCGGGAAGAGGGGAGACCAGGCCTGACACACGAACATGCCACAGATGCGGGCAGCCAGGACACTTGCGCCGAGACTGCAAGAACTGTGACTCCTGTGGCAAGCCAGGGCATCGGCGGCGGGAATGTCCAACGGCACCGAAGTGTGAAGTCTGTGGGAAAGGAGGGCATGCAGCAAAGGAGTGTTATCAGCGAGAGGGAGCAGCGAAGAAGTCACCAGAAGATCTGGAGAAGCAAATCAGCAGGCTGCAGGCCCAGCTGCAGGCAATGGGACCACGACGGGAAGCAGAGGCGGGGATGTACGCCAAGGAAGAGGAGGAAGAAGATGTGGAGCAGGATGAGGAAGCCGCGTTCATGGTCTGGGCGGGAAGAGGAGAGAATGAGATGGAGCATGAGGAGCAACCAGCATACATGGCATGGCGAGGAAGGGAGGAGATGGGGTTGCGCAGCGGAGGAAAGGATGCACGGAAGGAGCAGCTGAGAAAGGAGCGGGAGAGAGGACAGAAGCCGGAGGAAAAGGAGGAGAGATGCACAGCAGCACGGCACCCCCAGGAGAGGTTGGCTTGCCAGACTTCCGTGCTGCTGATCCAAGGTGGTGCGCTGTCAGTGGAAGGGGAGAAGGCTAAGACGGCTATTATAGACACTGGAGCGCAGAGCGTGATACTCGGAAAGGGGATGGCCGAGAAGCTGGGACTGTGGGCACCTGACAGGCATGTGGTGAAGGGGATGCTAGTGATGACAGCAGAGGGGGGAGAGTCGAAGTGGATGCCTTGTACGAGGACTCCAATAGAACTGACGGTGCTGAAGGGGGAGAAGCATGAGACGCCGGTTAGAATCAGGTGCGGGATCTCAGAGTCAGAAGATTTTGACGTCCTGGTGGGCACAGAGATGATCTTTGCATTGGGCATGACCATCTGCTTCTGGAAGGAGACAGTGGAGTTCAGAACCAGGTGGTGGAGGAAGGGTGAGCCACTGGGGCAGCTGCCGGTGCAGTTTGTCAGGACCGAGCCAAAAAGGGCCTACAGGGCAGATCTGAAGGAGGTGACAGCGAAGCAGGGGGCACAGAAGGCCGCAACAGGCAAGGGACAAGGTGGGGAGCCCAGGATGCGTTTCATGGACGAACCTAGCCAGCAGACCGATTGGCAGCAACCCATTCGGCTGGTGGAGCTGTTCGGAGGAATCGGGGCGGGACTGGCAGCAGTGGTGCGAAATGGAATTGCAGTGAAGCAGTGGATTTACGTGGAGAAAGCACCAGAAGTGAGGAAAATAGCGGAGCATCAGGCGTGGGAGTTGCACAGAGAGTTCCCGGAGCTGCTGCAGGGAGAGGTGATCAAGGCAGCAATGAGCAGAGGAGTGAACGATGTAAGGGCCATTACGGAAGCTGAGGTAGCAAGCTGGGGGCACGTGGACCTGTTGGTGGCAGGGTGGGAATGCCAAGGGGTATCATGGGCAGGGAAGGGCAAGGGTGAGCAAGACCTACGAACACAACTGATGGAGGATCTGTTCAGAGTCATGGAGTGGGTGCAGGCGAGGCAAGGCAGAGTGGCTTACCTGCTGGAGCACTTGGATATGGAGGGAGACGTGAGAGAACCGATAAGACTAGTAAGGGAGAGAGTGACCAGACAGGTGGGGAAAGGAGTGAGCAGTGATGCGGCGCGGATGGGAGCATATGCGCACAGGCTCAGGATGTACTGGCAGAATGTGGTACCAGTAGAAGACCTGCAGAAGGAAATAGAAGGGGTGCAGAGAGCTGGGGGACGGAAGCTGAGCGACATATTGGAGCCAGGAAGAACGCCAGCACCAGTGACCAAGAAGGGCTACAGCAGGCATTACCCCTGCAACCAGGTGGGACAGGAAAGGCAGGCACTGCCTACCCTGGTGTCATATGAGGGGGCAGCAGGCTATCAGATGGATGGGTGTCGGAGAACCACCTCATCCTTGCAACCTGCTCTTCCTCTTGTCACTCCCTTGCCTTCCTTCTCCTTACGTGGTTGATCAGCCTCAGCCACCACCATGAAAGAGTTTCCTCCCTCACCCCGTAGGTCCTCCCATAGTGGAGTGCCACCGGATGCTAGATCTGAGGTAACAGCTTTCCACTAATATGAGAGAATAACAGGAGAAAAGCAACGAGAGGGTGTTTGGTACTGAATTTACCTGAACCTGGCTCAGTCTCACACTTCTCGATGTGCACCTCGAGCCAGGCCCAGTTGCTTCAGATTGGTTCGTTAGATTCCCACCCCTCGATGTTTCCTCTAACCCTTCCCAACAACTTCGCCTCAACCCCCCATACTCCCCAGCAACTCACCCACAAATTGTAATCATACAAAGACTACACCTGAACCTACACTTGCATCTACACCCGCGCACCAACTGTTATCGCATATGCACGAAGTGCATATTCGGTGACAGCTGTCGGAGAACCACCTCATCCTTGCAACCTGCTCTTCCTCTTGTCACTCCCTTGCCTTCCTTCTCCTTACGTGGTTGATCAGCCTCAGCCACCACCTGCCCCCTCCTGTGCCCGTGCTCGGGCTGCCTGAGCTCGGGTCACAGGACCATGCTGCTGAGGCCTTGTTCCTTTGACTCCTGCCGTGTTGCTCTGATGTGCCTTCACCGGTACTTCTTTCTCATTCTCCAGCACCAGCACCCCAGATTCACGCACCTCTTTTACTCTCCACTACCCTGCTTCACAACTTTCCACCCACCCGTTCACTTGCCTGGGCATTCTCTCCCACCACCATTCCCTGTTTAACAGCTGCACCATTCTCTCGTGGTCGAGTTGCCCCTGCTTGGTGTGCACTTCTTTGATTACTGGTTTCCTCTCGCCTGGTGCGGGTATCACCCTCCATCTCTCCGTCGGCTGCATCTGCAGCTCCTGTTGATACCACCTGCAGTGGTGCCCCCCCCTCACTCTCGCTCTCTCTGTCACTGCCTCCTCTTCTTCCGTTTCCCCCATCAGCCACTTCATGGCCCGCTCATTCTCCGAGATGTTTGCTGATTTCCTACTCCCCTTAACCTCATTCAGCACCACCTGCTTAGTCAGCAGCTCCCTAAATTTACCCTTGCATATCTCCTTATCCTCCGGCGGCCTTTTCCTCCTCCCGTGTAACACCAGTTTGCGGCTGCTCAGCTTTAGCTCCCACTGCTTTACCGGGCCCTTACGCCCCTCCTGTGTGGCAAAGCGCCTCCAGTGTTTCGCTAGCATTGCCAACATCACCTTCTTCCCTTCTTCGCTCACTGTCTCTCCCCCCTTCCACTCTGGATTCTCCCCTTCCATGCGGGCCCAGGCTCCTTGTGGGACTGCGGCTGCCTCTGCTTTTGCTCCCACCTGCTCGTCCCGTTCCTCCGCTCCAGTTGCTGCTGATACACCCGCTTCTGCCCCCACCTGCTCGTCCTTCTCTTCCGCTTTTGCTACTGCTGATGAGCACGCCTGTGCCCCCACCTTCCCGTCCTTCCCTTCCGCTTTTGCTACTGCTGATGTGCACGCCTGTGCCCCCACCTTCCCGTCCTTCCCTTCCGCTTTTGCTACTGCTGATGTGCACGCCTGTGCCCCCACCTTCCCGTCCTTCCCTTCCGCTTTTGCTACTGCTGATGTGCACGCCTGTGCCCCCACCTTCTCGTCCTTCCCTTCCGCTTTTGCTATTGCTGATGTGCACGCCTGTGCCCCCACCTTCTCGTCCTTCCCTTCCGCTTTTGCTACTGCTGATGTGCACGCCTGTGCCCCCACCTTCCCGTCCTTCTCTTCCACTTTTGCTACCGCTGATGTGCACACCTGTGCCCCCACCTTCCCGTCCTTCTCTTCAACTTTTGCTACTGCTGATGTGCACGCCTGTGCCCCCACCTTCTCGTTCTCCCCTTCCGCTTCTGCCGCTGCTGGTACGCACGCCTGTGCTCTCACCTTCTCACACCTCCCTTCCGCTTCTGCTACTTCTGGTGTGCACGCCTGTGCCCCTTGTTTCTTCCCTGGTGATAGAGTTAGTTCAGTCGGAGCATGAGTGCTTGCCATCCACTCAAGTTCCCCCGTTCCTGCCGTCATCACAACTATCCCCTTTGCTATCTGCTTCTCTGGTGCCATCAGCCCCTGTTCTTCTGCCATGACCTTCCCTAACATCCTGCTCCGTGCTCCAGTGTCTGTGATCACCGTCTTGACCTTCTCCCCCTCCATTGCCGTCGCCTCATTTCTCACCATCAGTTCTGAGGTCTGGCTTACCCGCCCGTCCCGCGAGTGGCGAGCTACAACGTCCCTTGGTGTCGTCTCCTCTGCCTGCTGCCCCTTCTCTCCTCCCTTTTGTCGGTGCTCCTGCTGGTCGTCCTTCCCTCCACTCCGTAGTCCCATCTCTTCCCTTCCCTTCCATGCCACGTACGCGCGCTGCACCTCCTGCTCTACTTCCCTGTCATCCTCATCCCTGGCGCTCGTTCCTGCCTCTGCTTCCCGCCTTTGTCTGAGTGCCTGCAGCTGTGCTTGTAGCCTGCTGAGCTCACAGTTCTTGCAATCTCTCCTAACGTGCCCCGACTGTCCGCATCTGTAGCAGGTCCTGTTGTCTGCCCTACCATCCCCTCGTCCCTCTGACCTTCCCTGATCTTCAGATACCATTGCTGCTGCCCTTATCGGCCCACGGCTCCTCTCTGTCGTTTGTGGCCGGTACGCTTCAAACTTCCTCTGCGCAAACTCTATTTTCTCTGCCAACTCGAAGACTTCATCCAGCGTTGTGTCTGCCCCCATTTCGTACACCCTCATCCGCAATCCGCTTCCCATGGTGCTGTCGAGTCCATCCAGGAACTTGCTAACAAGAAGGCCCATGTCTGCACATGTTACATCCTCCGCCAGGTTGATCAGCCGGTTGTAGTAGGTAAGCAACGACTCGCTCCACCCCTTCCGGAAATTCTGAAATTCTCTTATCTTCTCCGCGGTGTGCCCTGGAAACTGCCGCTGTAACTGCTTCAGAAATGCTTCCGTGGGGTCTTCCCCGTACCTTCCTGCCCTCTCTAGCAACTCATCCATCTTCATTCTGTACAGCGTTTCCGCCTCCCCTTCCAGTGTGTTCGGCAGACTCAGAAAAAAATCCACCGAGTCCATACCACTCCTCTCGCACCTGTATCTCACATTCCCTACTTGCATTAAGTAGTTCTTGAGTGAGGGCCCTGTGCGCTGATCTCCCGCGAATCGCGCCGGCACTTCCACTTGCTCAAACATCGCCGTGCTCCCCCGACCGTCTCCCCATGATTTACTCAGTCCTCTCGCCTGACTTCCTGATGACTCCCTCTCCCTTGCCCTCTTGATTCTTTCCCTTGCCACTCTGGCGCGCTCCGTGCTGTATGCCAGCCCGCCGCCCCCCCCTTCGCGTCCGCGCTGGTCCTGTCCCACCTCCCTTCGCATGTCCTCCGCACTCATCCGTGCTCCTGCTCGCCCCGACTGCCTCTCTGGCGAGTAATGCGCCCTCGCCCAGCCTTCTCTATGCGTTCCTCGCTGCCAGTGCCTCTCGGGCGAAGGGGATCTCTCGTCCCTTCTCCCTCCGTGCCCGCGGCGACTGTCTTGCAGATGCCACTCCTCCTCCCATCTCCCTCCCTGCTTGCGCTGCAGACCTGGCGAACGTGTCTCACCCCTTGCCCTTCCCACGTAGTGCCGCCACGGATCAGGTGAGCCAGACCCGCCAGTCTGTCGTCTATCATGTTGCCCATGCCGATCAGGCGAGCGCGACCCGCCCCCCTGCCTCCCATCATGGTGCTGACGCACCTCAGGCGAGCGCGACCCTCCGTTCCGCCCTCCTCCGCGCTGCCAACGCGGATCAGGTGAGAACTCGTCCTCGCGCACTTCCTGTTGCTCCTCCGCCCGCCCCCGCTGCTGCTCTGATGAGTGATTCACCTTCTCACGCCTCTCCTGCTTCCTGCGTCGGCGTCGCTCCAGATTATACCCATATTCCTCCTCTTCACTATACTCATGTTCCTTCGCTTCACACAGCTCCTCATCACTCCTTTTCGTCTTCTCCCTCCCTTCCTTACCCTCAGGGGAATCTTCTTGACACCGCCTCCCTCGTCCGCCTGCTCCTCGGCGCCCATGATATTCTCTTACCCTTCCCTTGGCACTTCCCGAGTCCTTCCTTGGGGACACATCTCGCTGGCAGCGCTCTTCCTCATCCCTCCTCCTGTGTCTCTCTCTCTCTTGTCTCCCCCTTGCCTCTCCGTCAGGCTCCAGCACCAACCCTGCTCCTGCGCACGGGTACTCTTTCATTCCTTTACGGCGTGCTCTCGCATCCGCCCCCGCGATGTACTGCGACAAACACTCACTCCCCTTAACACGCGCTTCCCCCTCCTCCTGCCGCTGCCGTGCGGGCGAGCGCTGCGCGTGCCCCCTACCGCGGTCGTTCCCCCTTTCCTCTCGCCGCAGCTCTGGTGATCGCCCTCCACCCAACGCCAGGCGCCTCCTGCGCTCGTGTCCGCGTCTTGGTTCAGGCGAGCCATACATACCCGCCTGCGCGTCTCGCCTCCTCATTTCCTCACGGCTGGCTTCTGGCGCGCGCTCAGCCTCCTTGTCTTCGCCGCGCCTTGCGTTACTTCCGCGCATCCTGCCTGGCGAGCGATTTGCATCCGTGCTCCCCCGGCGCCCCGCGCCATTCTCAAGCATTTCGCCCACCGACCCGTCTGCATCCGCGCTACCGCGGCGCCTCGCGCCATCCCTGCGCATTTCGCCCGTCGAATCGTCTGAATCCGCGCTCCCGCGGCGCCTTACGCTGCCGTCACCCATTTCGTCCGCCGCGCGACCTGAATCCGCGCTTCCATGGCGCCTTACGCTGCCGTCACCCATTTCGTCCGCCACACGACCTGAATCCGCGCTTCCTGGCGCCTTACGCTGCCGTCACCCATTTCGTCCGCCGCGCGACCTGAATCCGCGCTCCCCTGGCGCCTTACGCTGCCGTCACCCATTTCGTCCGCCGCGCGACCTGAATCCGCGCTTCCCTGGCGCCTTACGCTGCCGTCACCCATTTCGTCCGCCGCGCGACCTGAATCCGCGCTTCTCTGGCGCCTTACGCTGCCGTCACCCATTTCGTCCGCCGCGCGACCTGAATCCGCGCTTCCCTGGCGCCTTACGCTGCCGTCACCCATTTCGTCCGCCGCGCGACCTGAATCCGCGCTTCCATGGCGCCTTACGCTGCCGTCACCCATTTCGTCCGCCGCGCGACCTGAATCCGCACTCCCCTGGCGCCTTACGCTGCCGTCACCCATTTCGTCCGCCGCGCGACCTGCATCCGCGCTTCCGCGGCGCCTTACGCTGCCTCCGCGCATCCCTTCCGGCGAGCCACTTGCTCCCGCGTCCTTGCTCCCGTCGTCGCGCTCTTCTTCCGCGCCTTTTTCCTCTTCACCATCCCGCACCATCGGGATTTGGTGTGTTTCTTCCTCGCCGTCGGCCTCGTTTGCCGAATCCGACGAGTCCACCACGTCCGCATCGTCGCGACGCCTTACACCCTCTCCTTGCTGGCCGCGTGCCAGATTCCAAGGGTCACCGCTGGACGGTTGAGGCCTGGGCTCCGATCCCGCGTGCAGATCGTCCTCGCCTCCATCTCGACGCCCTTCAACGTGCAGATCTGCGCGGTCCGCCGCCCTCCTTGGCGACCACTCCCGCGATCTTCCTCGCTCCTGCGAGCGCGTCCTCCGCGACGGCGGCGTTTCCCGACGCGAGTACATTTGCTGCCAGCGCAGCTCGTGGCAGTCCATACTGCCCAAACGTTCTCTCGGCTTTTCTCCTGTTATGAAAGAGTTTCCTCCCTCACCCCGTAGGTCCTCCCATAGTGGAGTGCCACCGGATGCTAGATCTGAGGTAACAGCTTTCCACTAATATGAGAGAATAACAGGAGAAAAGCAACGAGAGGGTGTTTGGTACTGAATTTACCTGAACCTGGCTCAGTCGCACACTTCTCGATGTGCACCTCAAGCCAGGCCCAGTTGCTTCAGATTGGTTCGTTAGATTCCCACCCCTCGATGTTTCCTCTAACCCTTCCCAACAACTTCGCCTCAACCCCCCATACTCCCCAGCAACTCACCCACAAATTGTAATCATACAAAGACTACACCTGAACCTACACTTGCATCTACACCCGCGCACCAACTGTTATCGCATATGCACGAAGTGCATATTCGGTGACATGGGAAGCAGCCCGGCCCAGGATTGGTGCATGACCACAGGAAGGGACAGTGGGAAGAGCCCACGGCCTTGGAGAGGGAGCTGGCCATGGGATACAAGGAGAACGCTACAGCAGCCCCAGGCGTGAGCGAGAAGGAACGGAGACGGGCATTGGGGAATGCCATGGATGGGTACATGATGAGGTGGTTGGTGCAGCGGATGTGGAAGGAGACAGTGCTGCACTGGGGATTGAAGGAGGGAGAAAACACAGTGGCGACGGTGAGGCAAGGGGTGTGGGCCTGCCTGCAGAAAGAGGAGCCAGAGTGGAAGATAGGTGAGAGCATGAGCGAAGAAGGGAAGGCAGCGATGCGGGCACTGCTGGCAAGGCATCGGAAGGGCTTCGCCTTCACACTGCTGGAGTTGGGGAAGTGCAAGATCAAAGAGATGGCGCTGAAATTGAGTAGTGATGAGCCGGTGTTCCACCGCAGGAGGAAGATGCCACCAGGGGATGAAGTGATCTGCAGGGAGAAGATAAAGGAGTTACTGGAAGCCGGACTGATCAGGAGGTCAGAATCAGAATACGCTACCCCAACCGTGGTGGCAGCCAGGAAGGACTTGACAGGCGAGGTGCTGAGTAGGAGGATGTGCGGGGACTACAGGGATCTCAACAAAATTACAGTGCCAGATAGATACCCAATGCCGATGGCGGAAGAGCTCTTTGACAAGCTGGCTGACGGGGTGTTCTTCACGACGCTGGACCTGCGACAGGGGTTCAATCAAATCAAGATCAGAGAGGAGGATGTGAAGAAAACGGCTTTCCACGGACCGGATGGGCTGTACGAGTGGCTTTACATGCCCTTCGGTCTGAGGAACGCCTCGGCGGTGTTTCAGAGAGTCATGGACGCGGTGCTGCGGGGAATAGAACACGCGGCGTGCTATATTGATGATGTCGTAATCTTCAGCTTGACCGAACAGCAGCACCTGGAGGACGTGGAGAGGACATTGACCGCCATAGAAGGGGCAGGGCTCACCTGCCATCCCAACAAGTGCAGGTGGGGGGAGCGGACAGTGCAGTATCTTGGGTATGAGGTTACAGGGGGGCAGATTGGTATCCAGCAAGCGAAGGTGCAAGTGCTGGACAGGCTGAGGGAACCAAGAGACAAGTCAGGGCTGCGTGCGGTCTTGGGCTTCCTCAGCTACTACAGGCGCTTCGTGCCGAACTTCAGCAAACGAGCGACAGTACTAAATGGGATGCTGCGGGAGGACAAGGCATGGGAGTGGGGAGAGGAGCAGAGACAGGCACTGCAAGACCTCATGACAGCCGTGAAGACAGCGACAGTGCTGCGGCTGCCAGCAGCAGACCAGCCCTTCATCCTCTACACAGACTGGAGCAGCCAAGGGATGGGAGCAATATTATGCCAGGAGGTGGAGGGAGTGGAGAAGGTGGTGGCCTACGCCAGCAGGAGCTGCAACCCGGCGGAAGCACAATATAGCTCATACATTGGGGAAGGGCTGGCGGCAGTGTGGGCGGTCGGGCATTTCCGGATATACCTGCAGGGCCGAGAATTCACCCTAGTCACTGACCATCAGCCACTCACCTGGCTGATGACTACACCAGGGCTAACAGGCAGGAACGCGCGGTGGGCAGTGAAGCTGCAGGAGTATGATTTCAAGATCAGGCACAGGCCGGGGAAGACGCTGCAGCACGTTGACGGCCTCTCCCGCAATCCACTGCCGCTGGAAACGAAACAGGCCACCCTGGGGACGGAAGAGACAGAGCAAGAGCCGGCACGGACCTTGATCTTACTGGCAAGAGAGGTGGAGCAGACGGGGGCGAAGGGGAGTAAGGGGCCAGCCGACATCTGGTTGGATGCAAAGGCAATGCAATGGGTGAAGGGAGAAACCGAGGAGGATGAAACGGTGCCTGAGAGAGTAAGGGCACGAGGGCACCACTACAGGTGGTATCAGCAGCAGCTGCAGATCAAGACGGAGGATGGGTGGAAGCTGGTGCCAGCGCCCGAGGACCGTGAAGCAGTGATCAAGGAAGTGCACACTAAGCTGGGGCACTTCGGGCACGAGAGGACCGTACACCTGCTGAAGACGGGCTGGTGGTGGGAAGGGATGCGCAGGCAAGTAAAAGAGTGGGTGGAGGGGTGCGAGGCGTGTCAGAGGAGCAAAGCAAACCTGACGCAGGCCAAAGCAGAGCTGCACTCACTGCCAATCTGCGGACTAGGGTTCCGTTGGTCCCTGGACCTCGCGGGAGAGCTGCCACTGAGTCGGAGCGGGAATCAGTACATCGTGTTCATGGTGGAACATGTGAGCAAGTGGCTGGAGGTGCGAGCTATCCCTAGCAAGAGCGCGAGGCACATTGCAGCAGCCTTCAAAGCGCAAGTAGTGTGCCGATTTGGAGCATGCGGGGAGGTACTCACAGACCAGGGAACAGAGTTCCAGGGGGAGTTCAAGAAGCTGCTGGCGGAGTCTGGCATCACGCACCGAAAGACCTCCCGCTATCACCCGCAGAGTGATGGGCTGACTGAGAGAGCTGTGCAAACCTTCAAGCGGGGGCTGCGGGCCTACGGGGAGCAGAGGAAGAGGGATTGGGATGAGGAGTTGGACTGGATCGCGGCAGGGTACAGGTTCGGGAAGCAGGCAGCGTTGAAGGATCACTCCCCGTATAGCCTGCTGTTCGGACGAGAGCCGATTCTGCCAGTGGGAGCACCACGAGTATTGACAGATACAGTGACAGCGGGCACGATCAGGAACTGGGTAGCCCTGTCCGAGGTGAGGGCGCGCTACATGCGCTACATGATGCCAGCCGCGTTGGAGAATCTGCACACCGCGCAGCTCAGGGACGCAAGAAGATACGAACAGAGGCAACACAAAGGGGAGGGAAGAACAGCAAAGGATGTCTGCGAGGGACAGGAAGTCTATCTGAAGAGGGCTAAGCAGGACACCCTTGACGTGGGGTTGGGGACCATCCGCTGGAAAGTCAAGGAGGTGCGCCCCTCAGGGGTGCTGGTCTTGGAAAACGACACCGGAGCGCAGCTGAGGGAACATCAGACGAACACTGCAGTGATCAGAGGGACCGGGCCTCAGCGTACTGGTCCTGTGACCCGTGCTCAAGCCGCTCGAGCGCGGGCACAGGAGGGGGCAGAGAGTGGCTGAGGCAACCGAAGGAGCTAAGGGACGAAGAGCATGAGGACTAAGGCAGATGATGAGGGTAGAGCTGTATCTCCGACAGCTGTCACCGAATATGCACGGTTGTGCATATAAGGTGCCATTATCATGGTGGTGTAGTGGAGGTGTAGCTATGTTGTGTTTGCAAATTCGAGGATAGGTAGGTGGGAGCTGGGAAATTGACGCGAAGTTGGTAGGAGAGCACCTTGGGTGAAATCCTTGCAACCAATGAGAACGAACCAACCCAGGCTCGAGCCGCACATTGAGAAATGCACGGTTCGAGCCAGGGTCAGGTAAGTTCACTCTCACACACACCTCTGATGCTTTCTGTTTGTTATCCTTTCGTATAGTGGACTGTTGTTACCTTACCAGAGCAGGCAGGTGGCACACCACTCAGGGAGGACCTTTGAGGTGAGAGTTCTGTCACTTTCAATGAGAGTGGCTGAGGCAACCGAAGGAGCTAAGGGACGAAGAGCATGAGGACTAAGGCAGATGATGAGGGTAGAGCTGTATCTCCGACAGGCTTGGGGAAATAAGGGGCATGGTGGGTTTTTGAGGGGGGTAGAGTTGGTGACAGTGCAGTGCTCCATGCCATGTGTGTCACCCGTTTCCTTTTCTCTCTCAACCGACCCCTTCCCCCATCAGGTGATGAGGCACGGACCGAGATGCCTCTAAAGGGCGTCGCCAGTGAACAATTGACTCTGCTGCACGCAAAGTGTCTGTTCTCACTCCCACCCATCCCACCGGCGCCCCCCCTTCCCCCGTCCATCCTCCCCCCGTCAGGGGATGGAGGCACAGGCGGAGAGGCTGCTGAAAGGCGTTGTCAGCCTGCATCTTGCCGTGCTCCCTCCCACCTGCCTCTGCTCCATGCCATGTGTGTCACCCCTCTCATCCTCCCTTGATTGAACGCCCTCCCCCAACCCAATCAGGTGATGGAGGCACAGGCGGAGAGGCTGCTCAAAGGCGTTGTCAGCCTGCGTCTGCTGCTGCACGCCATGCATGTGTTCTCACTCACACCCTTCACCGCTCACCCACACATTCCCCCCCCCCGTCAGGTGATGGAGGCACAGGCGGAGATGCCTCTCAAGGGCGTTGTCAGCCTGCATCTCTCTCTGCTGCACGCCATGCGTCTGTTCTCACTCGCACCCTTCACCACCCGCGCCCCCATCCTCTTCCCCCCTCATCAGGTGATGGAGGAGCAGACGGAGATGCTGCTAAAGGGTGTGGTCAGCCTGCACCTTGCTCTGCTGGATGCCATGTGTCTGTTCTCACTCACACCCTTTACCACTCACCCTCACCTCCTTCCACCCTTTCCCCCACCAGGTGATGGAGGCGCAGGCGGAGATGCCTCTAAAGGGCGTCGTCAGCCTGCACCTTTCCTGCTCCCTCCCACCTGCCTCTGCTCCATGCCGTGCGTGTCACCCCTCACCCCTCTCATCATCCTCCCTTGAACGCCCTCCCCCAACCCCACCAGGTGATGGAGGCGCAGGCGGAGATGCCGCTAAAGGGCGTCGTCAGCCTGCATCTGGCTCTCCTGCAGTTTGTGCTGCGCGTGCATCCCGACCGCCTCGACTACATCGACCAAGTGCTGGTGAGCTCAACTCAAGCCCTTTCTACCAAGTGTGTGACAGCAGCAAGTGCTCGAGAGTGCAGTTTGTGCTGCGAGTGCATCCCGATCGCCTCGCCTCGACTACATCGACCAAGTGCTGGTGAGCTCACGCGTCTCAAGAACCGCCCAGCAGTGTTTTCTCTTCAGTTGACATGAAGAGTGCGTGACAGCACCAAGAGTGCTTGAGTGCTGCGCGTGCATCCCGACAGACTCGACTACATCGACCAAGTGCTGGTGACGCTCCTTCAGTCAGATGCGCAGCAGTGTGTGCCGTCACATCCGCACCAGTGTGCATTCAACCAGTGTTCTCTCTTCAGCCAAGTGGTAAATGTGTTTCTAGTAACCGAGAATGCTGCGAGTGCATCCCGGCCGCGTCGACTACATAGACCAAGTGCTGGTGAACGTTGGTGCTTTTAACTCTGCCTGCCGATGTTTGTTTGGCAGCATGCTGCTGGTGAACGCATGCTGACGGTGCTGTCTCATGCTTGGCAGCTTTGGTCATGGCTCATGGCTCATGTTGACCACGAGACAAGCCACGAGACAACCCCTTTCTATCCCGCCTCCTTTCCTTGTCCCTCCTCTCCCGCCTCCCTCCCCTGCGACCCACTTCCCTGTCTGTATCCCAACCAACAGGCGGCTTGTGTGGGGATATTGGATGCGAGGAGGCAGACCAAGGACAGCCCGACAACAAAGCAGCTGGTGGCACTACTCTCAGCAGCGCTGGACAAGTTTGGGCCGGGCGGCGTGCTGACGGTGCTGCAGCTACCACACTACGCACGGGTCATGGGGCACCTGGACCATGAGACGAATAAGGCAATGGCGGTGGTGATCATTCAGAACATGGTGAAGCATGAGACCACGATTGGAGACCCAGAGAAGGTGAGTTACGGGCTGATATGCTTCTCACCTGCCGCATCACGCGCGGGTCATGGGGCACCTGGACCATGAAACAAATAAAGCCATGGCGGTGGTTATTAATACAAAATATGGTCAAACACGAGACAACCATTGGAGACCCTGAGAAGGTGCGTTGAGGGCTCAGGGCTGATCTGATCTTCTCTTCAGGGTTGTACCTCTGAATATCGAAATCACTTTTGAGAATTCTCAAAAGTGATTTCGATGAAGCACGAATTCCAGACTCCAGAGGGACTACGCGCGGGTGATGGGGCACCTGGACCACGGGACCAATAAGGCCATGGCGGTGGTGATCATACAGAACATGGTCAAACACGAGACGACAATTGGGGACCCGGAGAAGGTGAGTGGGTGGTGTGCCACCATTTGAATGTCTCAAGTCATTTACATGTGCATGCATTGGGGTCGCTTCGCTCTTGTTGCTCTCTGCAAGCCTCGTCCACCATCTCACCACATTCCTCTCCTCTGCTCCCCTCCCGCCCCTCCCCCCCACCACCCGACCCTTTTCAGGTGGAGTGCTTACTCAGCCTCGTGCGCCATCTCACTCAAGACATGGACGGCGTTCCTCCAGTCGACGAGGTGAGCTTGCTGTAAGGACCCGCGGTTAATGGCACACAGTGTTGGGAAGTGAGGAGTGGGGCATGTGATGCTGGGAGGGAGGGCGTGTGCTAGAGGAGGAGTGTTGAGAGAGCATGGCTTACTTACTCGTGACATGGCGGAGGCCCCTCTTGAGTCATCTCAAAAGGCGAAGGGAGGGAGGGCATGTGCAGCTTCTTTGTTCATGTGCCATATCCAGTACTTTGTTCTTTCTCCTCCTCCTCAACCCCACGGCCTTGGTGCCTTTCCCAATCCATTTCACACCTCGTTGCCATTTGTTCTCTCTCAAACTTGCTCTCCCCCCCACTCCCCCTCGCCCTTCCAGCTCGACATGAACGAATCTTCAGAGGAGCAAAATGTGATGGCTCCACGTGCTCTGAACCCACGTGTGATGAGTCGATTTTTAAGTCGACTCAAAAACAAAAATCGACTCATCACACGCAAAATGTGATGGCTCCATGTGCTCTGAGCCCACCTCCGTTCGCCTTCTCTCCTCCTTTCTTCTTTTTCGGCTCTCTGTTTCTCCTCCTCTGATTCTCCTCCTCATCCCCTTTTTTATTCCTTCTCTTACCCCCCCCTCCTCCAGCTTGACATGGACGACTTTTCTGAGGAGCAGAATCTCGTGGCGCGTCTCGTGCACCTGCTGGTCAATCCCGACCCGAGAATACAGTTCCAGGTGAGTTACAACTGCACCTTAGTGAGGCAATGTCAGTTAGCTTCCAAGTGAAGCTGAGGACCTGCTGGTCAATCCCGACCCGAGAATACAGTTCCAGGTGAGTCTAGAAGAAGTAACGTAGTTACTCCCGTCTCAGCCCCCATCCCGCCTCGTCCACATGAAGTGCTGTTTCATGCCTTCCTCATCCGTCCAGCCTGCACCTTCTCTCTGTTTCATGCCTTCCTCATCCGTCCAGCCTGCACCTTCTCTCTGTTTCATGCCTTCCTCATCCGTCCAGCCTGCACCTTCTCTCTGTTTCATGCCTTCCTCATCCGTCCAGCCTGCACCTTCTCTCTGTTTCATGCCTTCCTCATCCGTCCAGCCTGCACCTTCTCTCTGTTTCATGCCTTCCTCATCCGTCCAGCCTGCACCTTCTCTCTGTTTCATGCCTTCCTCATCCGTCCAGCCTGCACCTTCTCTCTGTTTCATGCCTTCCTCTGCTTGCCCACACACCCCGCCATCATCCGAACGCATCTCTTCAAGGAGGCCAGTGAAGGCTGCAACTCTCCCTCTCTCTGTTGCAGCCTGCGTGGCCTACTGTGTCTTACACATCGCTCCCTCTCTGTTCCCTCCACTTGCCTACACGTGTCAGATCCTAGCCATCATCCGAACGCATCTCTTCAAGGGAGGCCAATCCAGACTACGCTTCACCATCCCCTCACTTGTCTTCTGCTCGCTACAGGTATGCTCGTTATAGTTTGCAAGTACACTCGTCAACGGTGTATCCTTAGCTTTCTGCAAGACACCTCATTTTGCATATAACCGGGCAGACTGTTGAAATTACTTACATTGTTCCAACACTGAGTTCTGATGTTTTTTCCTCTTAACAGCAAACAGTGGATGGCTGATTCATCATAAATCAGTGTCGTTCAGTGCGCTAGTACTACAATTCAGAGCCTCCATTTGCTGCATGCGTGGACTACCTCATCTCTATCGCTTGACCATCACATCCCTTGGTGTGTTTTTGGGACATCTCAAGAGCTCAGTTCCTTCTTTCACTCCTGTTTTCCCTCCATCACAGCTGCTGCACCAGCTGTTACCTCAGGGCATCACAGAGGCGGATCAAGCACTGGCAGCAGCTGGGGCAGGCAGGGAACTGTTCATCACCCTTTTGTTGAGATATCGTCCTCTCAATCTTCTCCAATCCCTGCCCACCATCACAGCTGGTGCACCAGCTACTAGCTCAGGGCATCACAGGCGCGGATCAAGCACTGGCAACAGCGGGGGCAGCGGCGAGTCAAGCAGCAATGGCGGCTGCTGCAGCAGAAGCAGACACTCTCACCCCTCTGACCTCCTCTCATGCTGCTGCTTCTTTCCCTGCGCTCTTGTTTCCTTCCCTCCACAGTTGGTGCACCAGCTGCTATCTCAGGGCATCACAGGGGCGGATCAGGCACTGGCAACAGCGGGGGCAGCGGCGAGTCAAGCAGCAATGGCGGCTGCTGCAGCAGGGGAGGGGCCTGTCACTCCTCTCACGCTCTTCCTCTTCCTGCACAAGGTCTGTCACGCTCGTTTGTTGCGCTTGCTTGCTTGCTCTGCTAGCACGTGGCCCTTGGTTCGACTGTGTAATAGTGCAGCAGAGGGGAAGGGGCCTGTCACGCCGCTCACGCTCTTCCTCTTCCTGCACAAGGTCTGTTGTCCTTGCTTGTTGCGCACGCTTGCTCTGCTACCATGTGGCCCTTGGGGTCGACCGTGTGAATTTGCAGCAGGGGAGGGGCCTGTCACTCCGCTCACGCTCTTCCTCGTCCTGCACAAGGTTGGTTTCTCTCTCGTCCCTTTGTCCATCTGCGTCACTCGACAGTTCCGATCTGCTACAGAATAATCCCAGCTGCTGCTTCCATGCCAAAGGATTCAAATCCTTATCAACAGCAGCCTCTCTTCTGTTTGAGCTTCCCCATAAGTGCTCTCTTCCCTCCTCCCCCACACCCCACACCCCATACCCCATACCCCACACCCCATACCCCATACCCCATACTCCATACCCCACCCCACACCCCACACCCCACACCCCACACCCCACACCCCACACCCCACACCCCACCCGCACGCCACATGCCAGGTGGTGGAGACCCTGTCAGAGTTCGTGCCTCCATTGGCCCTCAAGCTCGCCCTCGAGTGCGCGCAGGTGGCCAGTGCGTGTGGTGTGGAGCCCATCGCATATGACCTCTTCACCCTCGCCTTTGTCATCTATGAGGAGGAGATATCGGTGAGTAGTCTGTGCTGTGCGCATGTAAGTATGCATGCATGGGATGATGCGTGCACGCCTGTGTGCGACTGTGTGCGTGTGGCCTGGAGCCCATCGCATATGACCTCTTCACCCTCGCCTTTGTCATCTATGAGGAGGAGATATCGGTCAGTAGCCTGTGCTGTGCGCCTGTAAGAATGCATGCATGGGATGATGTGTGCACGCCTGTGTGCGACTGTATGCGTGTGGCCTGGAGCCTATCGCCTATGACCTCTTCACCCTCACCTTTGTCATCTATGAATGGAGATCTGAGTTCCTCACATTCAAGCAATGGCGGAAATCTGACAGCTGCATGTTATGCATGTGCGTCCTTCTTTCTCCGTGCTCACATGTGATAAGGCGAGTTTTGAGTCGACTCAAAACATGCCACTCACCGATATCTCCTCCTCATAACATGCACTCAAAACTCAACTTATCACACAAATCTGACAGCTGCATGTTATGCATGTGCGTCCTTCTCCCTGCTCACATTCAACCAATGGCGGTTGGATATCCCAACCTTTGCCCAAACCACCTTCTTCCCTTCCAACCTTCGCTTCCACCTATGAGTGCCCTTCTTTCCTTGATTGATACAAACTTTCACTTTCTAACAACTCTCTCACCCCTCTGCTCTTCTCTTCTCGCCTCTCTCCTCTCTCCTCTCTCCTCTCTCCTCTCTCCTCTCTCCTCTCTCCGCACCTCTCCTCCACCAGGATTCCAAGGCACAGGTCACCGCTCTGCACCTGATCATTGGAACGCTGCAGCGCTGCCACGTGTTTGCAGAGGAGAACAGAGACACGCTCACACACAAGGCCACTGGAGTACGTACGGTTACCACATAGTGTTACCATGTAGAGATACCAGGTATGTTCAGCAGGTCTGGTTACCAAGTAGGGTGCAGGTCACCGCTCTGCACCGCATCACAGGAACGCTGCAGCACTGCCACTCACGTGTTTACAGAGGTGAATCGCCCTCACTCACAAGGCCACTGCAGGTTCGTCCTATATAGGGTTACCACATAGGTTTACCACACATGGTTGCCACATGGGACTGCAACATAGGGTTACCACCAGGTATAGTTACCAGGTATGTTTCATGCTCTGTGGTTCATTGCCCACCTGCTCTTCCTGTCTCCACTTTGAGAACCTGTCGCGTTATTAACACTTAGCTGGCAACTAAGTGTGAATACCACAGCAGCCAAGGTGAGGGTGTACTATAGTTTACCGCTTTTGTACTCTAATTTCATTTGTGTGCTTGGAGTGTATTGTACTGTACTGCAGAGCCGAGTAGCTGGGGAATTTGAGGTGGTTAGTGGGAGGCGAATTCAAGGAGGTTGGTGGAGACGAATTCAATTCCAGCCTGTGAATTCAATTTCGAAGTCACAAGGCTGGAAGGCGAATTCAATGCCAGCCTGGGAATTGAATTCGAAGTCACCAGGCTGGAAGGCAGTGCATGCCTAGTGGGCCCAGTGGGAACACAGCTAGCACCTTGGAGACCTCGCGAGCAGCCCGGCTGACTCGCTTGGTGCACAGGAGCTTGCTTGTGGAGGAAGCAACCTAGGCAGGGGGTGGGAATAGATGTAGGCAGGAGTAGCACTCGGGCTTCTTGCTTTTTGCTTGTATGTTTCTCATTTACTGCAATTTGTTTTCCTAATCCAGAGGGAACTAGCAGTAGGAGAAGCTATAAGCAATTTGACGGAGCCCCTGAGGGGGAGTGTTACGCTTGCTACATACAAGCAAAAAGGTTGTTGACTGTCTTAAGTACAGGAGATAAGCTAGTAGCCTCGAGTCGCTCACGGTGATGCGCCGTGAGGAATGAGTAGGCACGATCAGGAACTGCACACTCATCAGCTGCGCTCGGGACTCCGTTTCCCTGCAAGGATGATGGAGGGACAAGGCCTACCAATCAGGACACCTGGATTCCGTGCTGAAGAGGGCGATGCTAACGCGCGCGGGGGTCAGGGATCAGATCGAGAGAGGGAGGGCGACTGACAAGGGGAGCCGCCGCCTAGCGCTACTGGTGGATCAGTCGCTGGCGGGAGTGGAATCGGCCATGTGAGGAGTGGATCTCGAGGGGATAATCCTGCTCAAGGAAGAGAAGAGTTTCGGGAAGAACGGCACAGTCAGCGCGGGGAAGATGAACATCACGAAGAAAGACGCCGTCAGAGAGGAGGAGAAGCGTACCACAGCTTTTCGGCGGGTGGATACGAGGCTACTGAAGCTAGGCAAGGTGGTCGGCCGGTGGACAGCGGGGATAGAGGGAACACGAGCTGGGGGACGGGCCACACGATGAACGCAGCTCTACCGAAAATTGAAGTGCCGGACCGTTTCTCGGGGACACCAGGGGAGGAGCCCACGCTCAAGAACTACTTGATGATGATAGACGACCTGCGTTACCTTTGGGAGAGGGAGGGCTTAGACCCTATCGAGTTCTTTAGAGGTTTGGGACGGACTCTGAAAGGCGAGGCCCTGACTCACTACCGCGTGGAAAGGCAGGGGCTGTTGATGCAGTGCAAGAGAGGCGATTTCTCACCAGCAATGATAACGGACCGATTTCTGGAGAGTTTGCAGGAGCAATTCCCGGGGCACTCGGCGGAACGGATGGCGGAATTTCAGAACTTCGTGCGTGCCACTTCGGAGTCGCTGCTAGCCTATTACAACAGGCTGCTGGAGCTGGCAGAGGACATGGGGTGTATGGAGGAGCGCCTCTTGGTGACGAAATTTGTCAACGGTCTGGACAAGGACCTGATAGGCGACATGAGGAGTCAGCTGTACGTCCTGGGAGTACGCGCCACGCTGCGGCAAGTCTACAAGGTGGCGAAAGAAGTGGAGGAAGGGAAGAGATTTTATGATGGCATGCAGGGGTCGAGTTCCAGCCGACCGAACGAGCGGAGACGGCCGGCCTGGGCAGCTATGGAAGGAAGAAGGGGAGAGGAAGAGCGGAAAGAGAGGCCATCGGAAGACCCGAGACGCTGCCATAAATGTGGAGAGCAAGGACATCTTCGGAGGGATTGTACGGTGGGAATAATCTGCGACACCTGTGGAGCAAAGGGACATTTCAGGCGTGACTGCCCCAAGGCGCCGACCTGCACGGGGTGTGGGAAGAAAGGCCATACCGAAGCTAGATGCTACAGCAAGGGAGACAGGGCGAAAGGGAAAACTGCAAGGGAGCTGCAGTTAGAACGAGAGTTGGCGAAACTGAAAGCTCAGATGGAGAAATCAAGGATCAGTGAAGACCCCGAGAAAGCTCTGCTGGCTTGGGGGGATGACGAAGGGGAAGATTCTGAGGAAGGGGAACCAGCATACGGGACCATGGCTATGCCGCCAAGGGAGAGGGGAGACCTGGGGCTGCGCAGCGGAGGGGCAGATGGCAGAGCGGAGCAGAAATTACAAGAGCGGAGAATTTCCAGGCGGCAGGAGAATCAAGGGAAAGTCAGCACCGCACGGCGTCACCCCGAGGAAAGGCTAGTCTGTCAGCCCACAGCCTTAGTGGTGGAACCGAAAGCCGTGGCGGTCAGAGGAATCTTGGTAGAAAACGCGGTAGTGGATACAGGAGCACAGAGCGTCCTAATCGGGAAGAAGCTGACGGCACAACTGCGAGCGCAAGGGAACCTAGAGACTGTAAGCAAGGGCATACTGATCATGACAGCAGAAGGAGGGGCCCCCAAGTGGATGCCATGCACACGGGACCTGATAGAGATAACCTTACAGCCGGGAGAGAAGGGGGAGACCACTATCAGAGTGCAGTGTGGGTTGACAGAATCAGAAGACTATGATATCCTACTAGGAATGGAGTTGCTGTTCAAGATAGGCACCACTATCTGTACCTGGCAGGAGCAGGTGCTCTACCGTTCGGACTTTTGGGAGGAAGGGAAGGAGCTGAGTGAACTACCAGTACGGTTTGTTAAGACAGAACCCAAGAAGGCGTGGAGAGCAGAAGGACTGAGGAAGAACAGCAGGAGGGGAGGAAGTGTGGGGAAGAGCAACGGCAGCGCTCACCTGGATCAGTATAGCATTACACTAGTGGAGCTGTTCGGGGGAATAAGAGCGGGCTTGGCAGCAGCCTTGGAAGCAGGCCTGAGGGTGAAGAAGTGGGTATACGTAGAATTGGACCCAGAGGTGAGGAGAATGGCATGGAAGCATGCTCAAATGTTACAGCAGCAGTACCCCGCGCAGCTGACGAAAGAAGTACTACGGGAGGCCATGCAGAACAAGAAATGGGACGTGGGGCAGCTCACGAAAGAAGACGTGAGCAGCTGGGGTAAAGTGGATTTGTTAGTGGCGGGATGGGAGTGTCAGGGTACTTCTAGGGCCGGAAAGGGGAAAGGCTTACAGGACGAGCGCACGGGGATGGTGACCAAGCTACTCACCATAATGAAGTGGACGAGTGAAGTGAATGGAGAATATGCTTACATCCTGGAGCATGTGGATATGAGGAATGACGTACGCGAGCCGGTCAGGGCAGTAAGGGAGCTGGTGGAGGCAGACCTGGGGAGAGGAGTGAGCTGTGATGGGGCACAGTTGGGGGCACGCTGTCATAAGGTGCGGCAGTACTGGCAAAACGTCTTGCCAGACGGGGAACCGAGGGCAAGACTAGCAAGAGTGGAGAGGGACGAAAGCAGGATAGTAGAGGATATTTTAGAACCAGGGAGGGTGGCGGCACCAGTGGTAAAACCAGATCATCCGCGGCAGTACCAGTGCAATTGGGTGGGGGAAGCTCGCAGGGCATGGCCTACATTAGTGGCATACACCAGGGCACAAGGTTTCATCGAGGTGGACGGAATACCAGGACCAGGGATGGTGTACGATCACCGGAAGAAGAAGTGGGAGGAACCGACGGCTTTGGAGCGGGAGTTAGCCATGGGATACCTGCCAGGAGCAACCGCAGCAGAAGGGGTAGAGGAAGGGATGCGCAGAGCAGCTTTAGGAAGAGCCATAGACCAGCACTCGCTGAGATGGTTAATCAAAGAGATGAGGAAGGGGGCAGCTGATAAGGGAGGAGAGACCGGAAAAAGGCAAGGACAAGGAGAGAAGCAGGCGGCGTATGCAGCTGTTGAGCAGGGCACGGGAGGAAAGGAGAATGTTGCGGCACTAGCAGGGGGCAAAGAAGCTGAGCAGGGTAAGGAATGGAAGCTAGGTACGGACATCAAGGAGCAGACGGCGGAAGCAATCAGAGAGGTGCTGCGCCAGCACAGGAGCACTTTCGCCTATAACCTGCAGGAATTGGGGAGGTACAAGGGAAGAGAGCTGGAGCTAAACCTTACCACAGAGATACCCACTTACCAACGAAGAAGGAGAATGAATGCAGAGGATGCGGCTATCTGCAAGGAGAAGTGTGAGGAGCTGCTAGCAGCAGGGATTATCCGCCCGTCCGAGTCAAGCTACGCAGCAGCCACAGTGGTAGCTGCCAGGAAGGATATCACGGGTAAAGTGCTGGCGAAAAGGATGTGTGGAGATTTTCGGGAGCTGAACAAGATTACCAGCCCGGACAGGTACCCCATGCCAACAGCAGAAGACATCTTTGATCGCTTAGAAGGCGCCATCATCTTCACCACCTTGGACCTGCGACAGGGGTTCAACCAGATAGCCATCAGGGAGGAAGACAAACGGAAAACGGCGTGTCACGGGGTGGATGGGCTGTATGAGTACAATGTGATGCCCTTCGGGATACGCAACGCCCCTGCAGTGTTCCAGCGGGCCATGGATCAGGTGCTGAAGGGGATTCCAGCAGCAGCCTGCTACATAGATGATATACTGATTTTCAGCAGCAGTGAAGAGCAGCACGTGCAAGATCTGAAGCAGACGCTAGAGGCTATAGCAGCTGCGGGTCTGACGTGCCATCCAGACAAGTGCAAGATAGCAAGGCAGACCGTGGCTTACCTGGGCTTTGAAGTGAAAGGGGGCCGGCTGGCGATACAGGAAGCAAAAGTTAAGGTGCTGGAGAACCTGGCAGCACCAAAGGATAAGACCGGGCTGCGGGCGTTACTCGGCTTCCTGAATTATTACAAGAAGTTCGTACCGAACTTCAGCCGCCGAGCCTACCTACTGAATCAGCTGCTGAAGGAAGGGAGGAGCTGGCAGTGGGGAGAGCTGGAGGAAACGGCAAGGCAGGACCTGTTAGAAGCAGTACGAACGGGAACGCTGCTGCAGATACCGAGGGCAGATGCCCCTTTCATCTTATACACCGACTGGAGCAGCACAGGAATGGGGGCAGTGCTCTGCCAAGAGATAGAAGGAGAGGAGAGAGTGGTAGCCTTCGCCGGCCGCAGCTGCAGCCCATCCGAGGCTAACTACTGCTCTTACGAGGGGGAGGGCCTGACAGCTGTATGGGGGATCACTCACTTCAAGGTGTACCTGCAGGGTCGGCGCTTCACACTTGTGACTGATCACCAGCCGTTGCTATGGTTGATGACTCATCAGGAGCTGACGGGAAGAAACGCTTGCTGGGCCATTAAGCTGCTGGGATTCGACTTTGAGATCCGACACCGGCCTGGGAAAACGCTGCAGCACGCAGATGGGTTATCAAGGAATCCGCCACCAATGCAGCCGGTAGCGCAGCTGGCAGCCCTGGCTCAAGTAGCGGCGGTACCCTGGGGGCAGGAGAAAGGAAAGAAGCGGTTAGGGGATATGTGGGAGGATGAGGAGACCCTGAGCTGGATCAAAGGGGAGCCACTAGAAGAGGAAGGAGTGAGCGAGAGAGCCAGGGCCCGAGGGCAGCATTTCAGGTGGTTTCAGGAACAGCTGCAGCTGAGAACCAACGAAGGGTGGAAGGTGGTGCCACAACCACAGGAGAGAGCCAAGATTATGGGGAATGTGCACGCGAAGCTGGGGCACTTCGGCATAACCAGAACACGGCAGCTGCTGAGCACCATGTACTGGTGGGTGAGCATGGGAAAGGATGTGGCAGGATTAGTGGCGAGCTGCGAGGCATGTCAGAGGAATAAAGCAAGGCTGGAGAAAGAGAGAGATGAGCTGCATTCTTTACCAATTCGCGGGTTGGGCTACAGGTGGTCGTTGGACCTCGCGGGAGAGCTGCCACTATCGAAAGGAGGGAAGCAGTACATTTTGGTGATGGTTGAGCACACGAGTAAATGGGTGGAGGCGCGAGCGTTACCAAGCAAGAACAGTGCACTGATAGCTGACGCTTTTGAGGAGCTGGTGCTCACCAGGTATGGGGCATGCGGGGAGGTACTCACTGATCAAGGGACGGAATTTCAAGGGAGCTTCGACGAGCTGCTGGAAGAGATGGGTATCACGCACAGGGTCACCTCTAGGTACCATCCTCAATCAGACGAACTGACCGAGAGGCTCATACAGACCTTGAAGAAAGGACTACGGGCCTACAGTGAGTCCCACAAAAGGAGTTGGGACCGAGATCTCTTGTGGGTGCTGGCGGGGTACAGGTTCGCAAAGCAGGCGGCTGTGAGAAACCTATCCCCAAACCACTTACTGTTCGGGCGGGATCCTGTGCTGCCGGTCGATGCTCCGAAGCTGCTTTCTGCGGTTATAGAGGCAGATGAGCCAAACCTGTGGGCGGAGTTAGCACAGAGGAGAGCAAAGTATTTGAAGGAGCTGACTCCGGCAGCTCTGGATAACCTCCATGTGGCGCAGCTGCGTGACGCAAGACGATACCAGCAGCGTAAAGCATCAGGGATAGGGGGAAAGGGTGACAAGGTGGAGGCAGGGCAGGAGGTATACCTTCGCAAAGCTAAGCGCGACACGCTGGACTTAGCGGTGGGATCGGAGCGGTGGAAGGTGAAAGAGATACGAGGCTCGGGAGTGTTAGTGCTGGAAGATATTCGAGGGGGAATCATCAAGGAACACATCACCAACGTGGCCAGGGCGGGACAAGGGAAGCCTCAGGCAGTGGGTCCCATGACTCGAGCGGCAAAGATGGGCGCTGAGACACGGGAGGGGGCAGGGAAGCCTGAGGTACCAGGAGGAGTGCAGGACAGAGTGATTACATACGCCAGGAGGAAGAAGGGATGAACCTGATCAGCAGTACGGGTGGCAGGGAAGGAAGGAGAGAAGGAGAAGTCAGCAGGATACACAGGGGAGAAAGGGAATGAGGGTGGACAGAGGAAGATTCACGACAGCTGTCGCGTTATTAACACTTAGCTGGCAACTAAGTGTGAATACCACAGCAGCCAAGGTGAGGGTGTACTATAGTTTACCGCTTTTGTACTCTAATTTCATTTGTGTGCTTGGAGTGTATTGTACTGTACTGCAGAGCCGAGTAGCTGGGGAATTTAAGGTGGTTAGTGGGAGGCGAATTCAAGGAGGTTGGTGGAGACGAATTCAATTCCAGCCTGTGAATTCAATTTCGAAGTCACAAGGCTGGAAGGCGAATTCAATGCCAGCCTGGGAATTGAATTCGAAGTCACCAGGCTGGAAGGCAGTGCATGCCTAGTGGGCCCAGTGGGAACACAGCTAGCACCTTGGAGACCTCGCGAGCAGCCCGGCTGACTCGCTTGGTGCACAGGAGCTTGCTTGTGGAGGAAGCAACCTAGGCAGGGGGTGGGAATAGATGTAGGCAGGAGTAGCACTCGGGCTTCTTGCTTTTTGCTTGTATGTTTCTCATTTACTGCAATTTGTTTTCCTAATCCAGAGGGAACTAGCAGTAGGAGAAGCTATAAGCAATTTGACGGAGCCCCTGAGGGGGAGTGTTACGCTTGCTACTGGGAAGCCTGAGGTACCAGGAGGAGTGCAGGACAGAGTGATTACATACGCCAGGAGGAAGAAGGGATGAACCTGATCAGCAGTACGGGTGGCAGGGAAGGAAGGAGAGAAGGAGAAGTCAGCAGGATACACAGGGGAGAAAGGGAATGAGGGTGGACAGAGGAAGATTCACGACAAACCCCCCTCCTTTCCTCTGTTCCTCCTTTCCTCCCTGCCATCCCCAGTACTCGGCCAAGCTACTAAAGAAAGCGGATCAGTGTCGCGCTGTGTGCGCCTGTGCACACCTCTTCTGGAGCGATGAGGAGAACGGCCCTAGAGATGGCGAAAGGTGAGATGCAAACTGGTTTCTAGGTAGATTTTGCGCCTACTCAAAAGCGGACCAGTGTCGCGCTGTGTGCGCCTGTGCACACCTCTTCTGGAGCGACGAGGAGAACGGCCCTAGAGACGGCGAGAGGTGAGATGCAAACTTTGCTCCTTCCTCCTTCCCAGGTTCAAACTAGCTGCTATTTTTCTCAGTATCCCAGCATCCCAAATTCCTCCCCCCTTTCAGTGTTCATATCAGTACGCTCCACTTTCGTTTTCCGAGGCATTGCCACTTTCGTTGCTCCCTTTGCCAGTCTTTCATCTGCACATTCCAATTTCCATCTATCTTAGCTGCTTCCCCTGCACAGGGCGGTGCTGTATCTGAAGCGAGCTCTCAAGATAACTTTTGAGGCGCCTCAAAAGCCAACCATTGCAGCAGCTCAACAGCTCTCTGCCTCTGCTAGAGCTCTCCACTCCACCCGTCCATTGCCTTCACTCCCATCTATCATTCTATCAATCTCCCTTCTATCTTACCCGCTGCTCCCCATGCACCAGGGTGGTGCTGTGTCTCAAGAGAGCGCTCAAGATTGCCAATGCGGCGGCTCAGCAGCTCTCTTCTGCTGCTAGAGTGCTCTCAAGATTCACTGCATTCACTCCCATCTATCATTCTCATCCGCGCATCCCAATCTTACTTTTAACTTACCCGCTGCTCCCCATGCACCAGGGTGGTGCTGTGTCTCAAGAGAGCGCTCAAGATTGCCAACGCAGCAGCTCAGCAGCTCTCAGCCGCTGCCAGAGTGCCCGGTTCGCACGTGGTGCTGCTGGTGGAGATTCTCAACAAGTGAGTCTCATCGTGTTAGTTTTTATGTGTGCGTATGATAAACAATGTGTGCGGGTGGTGTTGTGTCTAAAGCGAGCGCTCAAGATTGCCAATGCAGCGGCCCAACAGCTCTCTGCTGCTGCCAGAGTGCCTGGCTCGCACGTTGGTTTGACTTTTGAGAACCAACATGGCTCGCACGTTGGTTTGACTTTTGAGAACCAACATGGCTCGCACGTTGGTTTGACTTTTGAGAACCAACATGGCTCGCACGTTGGTTTGACTTTTGAGAACCAACATGGCTCGCACGTTGGTTTGACTTTTGAGAACAAACATGGCTCGCACGTTGGTTTGACTTTTGAGAACCAACATGGCTCGCACGTTGGTTTGACTTTTGAGAACCAACATGGCTCGCACGTTGGTTTGACTTTTGAGAACCAACATGGCTCGCACGTTGGTTTGACTTTTGAGAACCAACATGGCTCGCACGTGGTGCTGCTGCTGGAGATTCTGAACAAGTGAGTACTATGGCATGTGCTTGTGTTTGCTTAACAGTAGTCAAGTGTGTGTGTGGGTGGGCGTGTGCTTAACAGCAGTCAACAATTCCCGTTTCCCCCACCCTTCCCTCTCCCTCCCCAGATACCTGTACTTCTTTGACAAGGGCAACCCCCATGTGACCCCCGTGGTGCTGCAAGGCCTCATCGAGCTCATCACGTCCGAGCTCGCTGTCGATGGCGCCACAATTCTCATACTCTCTCACTCCTTCCCCCCTCCCCCTCCTCTGCCCGCCTCCCTTCTCTGACCCCAGATAAATCTCATTAGTGCCAATCCGTCTCTGTGTCGCTGGTCCTCTTCCCCCACCCTTCCCTCTCCCTCCCAAGGTACCTGTACTTTATTGACAAGGGCAACCCCCATGTGACCCCCGTGGTGCTGCAATGACTCATCACCTCGGAGCCTGAGAGTAATACTCGAATTATGTACCCTTCTCACCCCCTTTCCCCACCCCTTCCCCACCCCCTCCCAAGGTACCTGTACTTCTTTGACAAGGGCAACCCCCATGTGACCCCCGTGGTGCTGCAAGGCCTCATCGAGCTCATCACCTCCGAGCTCGCTGTCGATGGCGCCACCGTCGATGCCACCGTGCACAGCTTTTACCGGGCGACGCTTGCGCATATAAAGGACCAGAAGCACAAGGCGGGTGCGATAGGGGAGAAGTATGCTGAAATCCAGATTTGATCGTTTCCCAAATGGCCTCATCGAGCTCATCACCTCCGAGCTCGCTGTGGATGGCGCCACCGTGGATGCCACCGTGCACAGCTTCTACCGGGCGACGCTTGCCCATATAAAGGACCAGAAGCACAAGGCGGGTGCGATAGGGGAGAAGTACTCAGAGATCCAAATCTGATACAGTTTTTCCAAAAGAGCTAGTGTGATTGGCGCCACCGTCAATGCCATCATGCATGTTGGAATCAGTTCCAAGCGTGTACTTTCTGTATTTTCCCATCAAGGATTCGTTTTTCCCGCAGGGTCCACTCCACTCAATTACTAGTCTGACTACGCACTAGGAAGGTACCAATACCGTGTGCCTCTAATAAAAACGAGTCGCGTCAGGGAAGGGGCAACTGGCAGGAGCAGAGCGTGCAAGTGGCGAGAGACGAGAGTGCGGAGGGTTCAAGTGGTGAGGCGAGAATGGAAGGTTCAAGTAGAGGGGCAGGAACGGAGAGGGTTCAATAGTGGTGAGGCAAGAGCAGAAGGCTCAACTAGCAATGGAGGATTGAGCAGAGGGCATTTTCTGAATGACATGGATCTTTTTCTTTGTACCATGTGATTGTGGACTGGAAGTGGTGAGGACCCTCAACTCAAGCAAGCAAGACTCAACCTGCAAAGGCATCAGATAAAGGCATCCAGGTGCTTGGTACGGTACTTCCCCACTTTTATCACCCAACTCGTTTTCTATACGAAGGTTAAAAGGCACCCTAGGGTGGTGTATACGGGGAAACATGGTGCAACAAACCATAAATACCACCAGCCTTCTCAAGCGCACGCCACACCACTGATAACCGGGCCATCCTCATCCGCCCTTTCCCCAATTGCAGCAGTGGCTCTCATAATGTGAGAGTGAGTGGCAAACCATGTCAATGCCCATTGCCTCTACCGCACGCACCAGCTCCAACCTAGCCCGCCCAATGAATTCACCCTCCCTTTCCGTTGCACCAGCACGTAAGACAGGGAGCAGCAGAGAGAGGAGCCGAGCGAGGTGGACAGCAAAAGGTGCCAGGAGGTTGAAGATCGCAGATGGAGGATCGGGGAGGAGGATTGGGGGGGCAGCATAGAAGGGAGCAGAAAGAGGAGGACAGGGAAGAGCAAGAGGAGGAGATGGAGGAGGAGATGGAGGCAGCAATGACGCAAGGCAGATGGCAGGAACCTGCCGTCCCGCATCTCCATGCACGTTCCACATGTTGGACGCTTGCTGGTACAGCAGTGCTCGCGTGCTGAGTGATTCAAAGAAGCCGTTGACAGAGGTTGCCATGAGAGGATTTCCCTTCAAGCTGCCAAACTGTTGCTTGAAGTACGGAGGGTTGCGAGGGTCGGGAAAGGAGTTGACTGTAGACACGAGCAGGAGCTGTGTGATGCCCCACACCTCTTTCTCTGAAATCCCAGCAGTCTCCTCCATACATGCGCCATGCAGCACTGCACCAACCACACGTTGCCCTGCTGTGTTCCCCACGGCTGCCCCATGCGTGGTCCAGGCTACACCCACTCCATTCTCGCATCCCACGCCCGCTTTGCCTTCACCCTCACCACAGCTTCCACCACACCCGCCCCTGCTTCCACTTCCCCCCACCCCTCCAGCTCCGCCACTCCCCTCCTCAGCACTGGCAGCTCGTTTCTCCCTCGACTTGCGCTTCTCCAGCCGATTGTCTGGCAGCAGCAGCAGGGCTGCGAGGGCAGCCTTGAGATGAAGGAGCGTGAGGTGGAGGCGGGCATGAAGGCGAGAGTGCGTGGAGGAAGGACTGGGGTGGAGGAGGAGGGAGGTGAGGAGGTTGTGAGTGGGAGTGAGAGAACAGGGCTGGAAGAAGGCAGAGCGTGAGCAGGAAAGTGTGGTGACAGGGAGCAACGACAGGAAGGGTTCAGAAAGGAAAAAGAGGGTGTGAAAGGGGCTGAGCAGAGAAGGGCATGGGAAGGGTGTCTGATGCAGAGAGAGCGGTGGTTCAGAAGCAGTGGACATGTGATGTTTGCACGTGGCCATAGTGACCTGCCAAAGCCACATTCAGTTCAAACACAGACGGCAAAGGAACGGGAGGAGTTTGGGAAACGACCGTTTGAGACCGTTCCCGAAAGAACACAAGGGGACTATGGGCAGGTACAATACGGCACAAAGGGATAAACCAAAGTTGTATGTGAAAGAAAGATTGGCATTAGATTATAGATACAGGCAATAATCCACCATACGTGACTGCCCTTCTGAACACTCAAAACTTGGAGCAGTGACTACAGAGCAAGACGGGTATGTTGGAACTTGAGCTAAGAATCTATACATTAGTAATGAGCTCGAAGCTCTTTAAGTACATCCAGGATGAGCAAGGAATGGATGGGGAAGGGAATCATAGACAATCTCTAGGGATTGGGGGTAAACCCAAGGCAATCTCCAATTGGTGGGTTGGAGATTGCTTGGACATCACATTTGGGTTTGGTTTGGATGTGGGTGTACATCCAACCAAACACTAAGTGCAAACTACACTACGCTAGGATATAGAAAGTACAAACTACAAGGTGTGAGATTGAGGCTAACACTAACAAGGTACCAACCTTGTCAGAGCAGCTTATGAGTGCAGAGGAGCACAGCTGAACCCCATCAAACACCACTCGCCTCGTGTCCTCCAATCGCTTCTCAAACTCCTTCTCCCACACCCCTTTCACCGCCTTCACAGCTTGCTTCCCCTCCATCTTCCCGCTCCGCCCTGTGGAGGACAGCCTCTCAGCCTTCTCCCCACGCGCCCACGCCAACCCCATGTCATCGATCTGGCAGGAGGGGGAAGAGGAGGAGAGGATGTGGCGGTGGAAGGTGGTGGAGAGGAGGGAGAAAAGGGCGTGCAGGTGGGGCAGGTGGGAGTCTGATTTAAGCATGGAGTGGTTGTGGAGATGGTGCAGGGCGGGTAGCAGGGAGGCCAGCCTGCGAGCCCATCGCCACCACCAGAGAGCCGCCTTGTGGTGGAGAAGAGAGAGGGACGGCGCGGGGAGATTGCACGCCTGTAGAGCTGCTGCTGCTGCTGCAGCTGATATTGTGACACCACGACTGGCCAATGCAGCCGTTGACGCTGTAGCCGCTGCTGTCGCGTTGGCAGCAGGCTGAGATGCGTGAGCAGCAGGTTCGCGGCGGGGGCAATTGCTGTGGGGCTCAGCTGAAAAATGCTCCTCCAGGTAGTGCAACAGGCAGCGCTGCCCCCACTGCAGCAAGCACAGAGACTCCTGCAGCCCGGTGTAAGCGAGCATCAGCTCTGCTCGCAGCTGCTCCGCCCCCTTCCACTCCACACGCCCCTTCTGCTCACCACCCCTGCTGTCCCTCTGCTCCATGCCGCTGCTCTCCGCCCGCCTCTCTCGCCACACCTGCTCCGAGCCCTTCCGCAGCACGTCACCCCCCTCCCAAAGCTCCTCCACCTCTCTCAGCTCCGCCTTGCTCAACTCATTCACCACCATCTGCCGCTCCACGCCCCTGAACCTGCTCTCTCCACTGTTTACAGCAGCGCTCTGAGGGCCTATCTCCATGCGCCCTGCTGGAAGCATCTGACCCCGGCTTACCAGCATCCACGCTTGCGACACGCGAGCCTCCCTTTCCGCACTCTTTGCTCGGCCCAGCTCCACACAAGATGCACACATAGCAGCACTCCCCGCCCCTTGGTCTGTAGCTTCTGACACACGCCTATCTGGACAACCCGCTTTGCCACTGATCCCACCATCACCACCAGCAGCAACAGAAGCAGCAGCAGCAGAATCATCAGCATTATCAGCACCATCAGCAGCATCAGAGTGAAGCTCAATCACGAACAATAGAACGCTCATCTCCACCTTGGCCCACGCCAGATCACTCCCCTCACACTCCATCCTGTCTGCAAACTCCAAACTCTCCGTTTCAATTACCCGCAGCCGCCGAGCCATCGCCACCTCCTCTCTGCTCAGCGCCACGCCCCTCCCCTGCCCCTCGCTGCCGCCCCCTGCTTCCCTCCTCATTCCCACCCGCCACGCCCCTAGTCCCGCCGCATTCACCCGCCACTGCAGGTGCCGCACAAAGGCCACCAAGGCCCGCCCTGGCCAGCCCCTGTTCCACAAGTGAGTGCATGCCTCCAGCAGCATCCCCGCTCTCAGCAGTATACCCGGCACCCGCCTCACCTCGCCCTCCTGCTCCTCTAGACCTGCCAGCTCCCTCAGGTGCCTCTCGCCCTCCAGGAACGCGCGCTTGGCGTGCAATCCCGGCAGCAGATGCACATACGCCATCATCTCGCCGTAACTGCCTCGCTCTCCCAGCCTCCTTGCACATTCCTCCACGTACCAATGCCTCAGGTGAGACAAATCTCCACTCCTTGGTCCCGCAGATGCTGAGCTGGACTCAATTGCCCCGTGAGATGCCGGTGCTGACGTGGCCTGGTGAGACGCCACTGCCTGCCAGCTGTCGAGCAGTGAGAGGCCCTTGGCAAAGATGCTGCCACGTAGGCACGCAGCGAGGGCACTGGGTCTGTCGCCCAAGGCGTTGTAGCAATCAGATGCTTCGGCGAACCTGCCTAGCTTCTCGAAGCACCGTGCAGCGTTGGCGTGGTCAGGAGGTTGGCAGAGCGTGAGATAGGCACGTGATGGTGGTGGGGGGGGTGGGGCGATGGGAGAAATCTTTAAAATATTAAGGGAGGGCGGGAGAGCAGGGCGCAAGGCGAGCGTGTGAAAGGCATGACATGCGTGACAGACGAGGAAAGAAATGAATGGTGGATGACGAACGGCGGGGCGCATGCGAGTGCTTGCAAGATGCACTAACGTTGCGCTGCGCTCATGTATGCTCTGCAGCCTTCTCCGTGTGCTCATCGTCGCACATGAACGCTCATACCTTCACCGCCCCATGCATACGTGAAACAACCCTTACCTGCTTCCTCATTGCACCCAGCCTTGGCATACGCACGGCCTGCCTCCAAGCCCCTCTTGATGCCCTCAAAACAACGAGCCGCAGCCAGGAGCAGATCGGTGCAGGACAGCAGAGAGAGGTCCGGGAGCACTGGGGGCAGCGCAGACGAGGCTGATGATGCAGAGGAGGTTGATACAGCAATGGCGGCTGCAGATGGCTGTGCTGTGCGCCCCATGCCCGCCTCATAGAACATGGTGGCTTCAGCGAAGCGAGCGTTGCCCGTGTCCCCAGCCCGTTCAAAGCTCGCCCGAGCTGCCTCGTAATCGCCTCTTTGAAAGAACTGCGGACCATGGGTTGGGAGCACCATGTGGAAGGGGCAGCGCAGAGGATATGAGGTCGCAGCAAGGCAAATTCAAGCTGAGAGAATATCCAACTTTTATATTGAATGCTGGTCATGTTCGGTTTCATTTTGTGTAGTCGATTCCCAACTAGGCACAATATACTAACTGAATAAAACAAGAAAAGACAGCTGCTCAGCAGTCTTTATTTGGCATAGATACCACGCGGAAGCAAGAGGAGCGGGGGGGACCAGAGGGTTGAGAGATGACGTGGCGTTTAAGATATGAGATGCAGCAGGGAGAAGCATCAAGACGAGCAGAGTCACAACCTCCCACCATCGCCAGCACTGCACTGGCTTTTGTTGCCCAACCAACTCACAGTAAAGCCAAGCGCCTTCCAGTCTTTCTCACTGGACACACGCTTCACAGACTCCGGGCACACCTCCCTTTCTTCCTTCACTGCCACAATGCCCATCGCCGCCCACAGGTCTCCCATGGGCGTACGCTCGCCTGCCCCTCTCTCCTCCAGCACCCACAGCTTCTGCTTGGCCCTCGTTATTGCCACGTACAGCTGCTTTAACTCGGAGCACAGCGACCAGTGCCTGCAGGGCACAGGGCAGCGGACGTAATGGAAGGCAGAGAGATGCATGGCAATTGTAGAGTCGAGCCGACTCACAATGCAGACACGTGCGTATGCTTTGGGTTCACAAGCTGGATGACTAGTCTTGTACTCTGGTGCCCAGTGCTTCGAGATCTTCTGACCTACACTACCCCAGATGAAGGTGAAGATGAAGGTGAAGTTCATAGGAAGTCCATCGGCTTGCCCGGCTGCAACCCTAGAGAAGACAGAGAGACGCACAGCAGACGCAGAAGGAATGCTTTACAGGACAAGCAACAGCCGGGTCACTCTTTTTGTAGTGCATGCGTGGCACGAAGGCAGCAGCAAAGCCCACCTGAGGTCATCCAGAGTGCAGAGACTGCAGCTGCTATGGCCCTTGGTGCTGCAGCGACAAGGCAGGCTGGCGCCAAAGGGCGGTGAGAGGCCAGTGCTGCGCATGTAGGTGTACACGAGATGGCAGGGTGCCGTGGAGTGCGGGGAAGTGAAGAAGTTGAAGAGTAACACGTCCTGACAAGCAAGGGGCAGCGCACAGAAGGACGGAAGGGGCGGGGATGAATTTCGGAAGCAAAACGGCAGCAGATCGCGAGCATGCAAGTGGAGAGCTCGGCAGGATGACTTGCCTGAACGGCTCCTTTCCCGATCGGATAGGATCGTGAGAACAAGGAAACTTGCAGCCATTGCTATGAGGCGACCCCTGTTACGATTCACGGCGTTACAAGTTAGGCGGGGCATGAACACACCTCAAACTCGAGTCCCTTGCACTCTTCGACTGTGAGGACCACCGGCTTCACTCTAAAGTGACCAGCCATGGCACGCTTCTCCTCTGCGCTGCGCACTATGATGGCCTGCATCGCGCGGTGGGGGAGAGATATGTGTCGTGTGGTGATCCTTAGGATCTTCCACGCAAAGTGACTTGTTTAACTCAAGCATGGTGTGGTGGGTGCATGAAAATGGTTTGGGCTCGGACTTCCGGTCCTAGAAGCCTACGTTGGCAGATACGCGTCCCAGGGTATAATACGCTAGCGTGATACGCCAGCCTTTCAAGAGCGTATCTGCCAACGTAGCTAGAAGCTATGCCTGTTGGAAGGCAAGTGCGGTTCAGCACAAGGGAGAGCGAAAGGTGCCCACCTGAGTGGCGCTGAGAGGCATGCCCTGAGCGAGCTGGTGTTTCCACGAGGAGGAAACTGCTGCCAGCACCGGCTTGCACTGTCACGAAACATATTGGTAAGTTGCAGCATATTTCGTTCAGAGCTATGTGGGGTGTAGGTGGTGTACAAGTTGTTATGCAGGGTATTAGAGTGGTAGTTGAGGACTTGGGGAATCACGCGAAGTTGGTGACTCAGAAGATTGCGAAGCGCATGTTGGGAGAATTTGAGGCCTAGAGAGACAGGAAATCGGCGAGGGCCAACCAGAGCCCAGGCGACTCCAGTGCAAGCCCAGCCCCTGAATAATTCGCGACAGGGAAAGCAAGTACTAGTAGTCTAGCCTAGCAGAGCCAGACTTGTTCTCTCGTTTGTCTACCTGTTATAGTGGATGCAAGTTACCGTTCTAAGCTACTGCTGCTAGGTGACAAGGCCACTCGGGGTAGCCATTGTGTGGGAGTCGGGACTTCTCAGGGAGTGGCTGAGGCAGGAGAGGACTGAGTAAGGGCAATCACGGAAGGAAAAGGGACAAGAGGAGGATGGGGTGAGAGCAGAGAAGGTAACCACGCAGTGCTGGCAAGGATAAGTGAGTACTCCGACAGCACCCCTCCACCGTACTCAGCTCCTCATGCAGGCGGTCTATGGACAGCGGGAAGAAGCTTTTTAAAAGCTGCACGATGCTGTTTGCGAGGCGCAGCACTCCGTTGTGAGTGCGGTAGTTGCGCACGAGCTGAAACGTGGGGAGAGATTTCACCAACTGGTGAGACGCTGCATTGCTGCTGCTGCTGCTGCTGCTGCTAGGATTGCTGATCTTACTCTGACCCTTTCTGCTCCTCTCTTTCCGCCCCTCGCCTCTCTCCCAGCTTTGCTGGCCACCCTTTCCTGCCTTTAAATCCCCTCTTTCCCCCCCAACCCTGCCACACACATCCCCTTTATTCAGAAACTCGCTATAGACAACCCGGGCAAGGTCTTCAAAGCGGAAGTCCACCCCATGAGCGATGGACTGAGCCGTGTCGCCCGCGAGCACAAATCCAGAAGCAACGTTGGAGCAGAGGAGCGGCAGCAGCGCGAGCTGCGCCTGTGTGAGGTCTTGCACCTCGTCTACCGCCACACAGTCAAACACAGCACCCGCGCACCCCTGGGCTGTGATGCATGCGACGGGTGTGACGGCACACTGCCAGTGGTGGTGCATCCAACAGTGGTGCGCCGACTGGCACCATTGTGACTGGCGCCACTGCTGGATGCACCACCCACGGCAACGGCATCCTCCACAGCCCACCACGGCTCGTTGCTCGCCCGCATGCGCCGCACCTCGCGGTGCAGATACCCCACTAGGTCCGCGCAGTCATACTCGCCCTGCCGCCTCTTCCTCCTCTCATACGCCCGGAACACATCATACACCGCCTGCCGGTCCGCCCCTCTCATGCCACTCGTGCGTTCGTTGCTGCCCACCATGCCCCCCACGTATTCCTCCTCGCCCACATGCCCCTGCAGTGACTGCAGCGCCTACAGGCTGCCCTTGATGTGAGAGCTGATCTCGCTCGCGCCACACGAATGCCGCATCCATCACTGCTCTGTTGGTGGCTCGCTGGTCCAGGTGAGCCCAGTAGTGCCGCCTGAACCGCTCATAATCCACCTCCACGTCCTCCTCCCCCTCCCCTTCCTCTCCTTCTCCTTCCTCCTCTGCTTCTTTCCCCTTTCCACCCTTCACCCGCTGCTCCCGCCATCCTCCCCAGCCATCCCGCCCTCTTCCACTCCTGCTGCACTCGCCTCCTCCCAAGCCCTCCCCTTCTCGCCTCCATTCCCCCCTTGCACTGCCCCCTTTCGCACTGCCCCCCTTCGCCTCCCACCGGTCCTTCTCAACACGGCCACTCCACGCGCCCTCAACCTGCCCCTCCTCCCATGCCTGCCTCACGCCCCGCCCACTCACGCCAATGGCCAGCACCAGGCGCTGCCTCGCCTCCTCCTGCCGGCGCCGGCGCCGCGTGGAGTGCAGGAAGGGGCGCGAGACGGACGCGTCGAGCAGGCGCAGCAGCTTGGAGAGGGTGAGCGCGAGGGGGAACGCGGTGGGCGGAATGGCGGCGATGCACAGCGGCAACCCCCCCATAAGGGCGCTCTCCAGGTCCTCCCGCATTAACAGCCTGCCACCGCTGCTGCTGCCGCTGCCACTGCTGCTGCCCGTGCCGCTCCTGCTCCCCACGCGTTGACCGGCTGTTGCAACAGCTGCCTGTGCTCCGTGCGCATGTTGACCCGCTTGGGGGAGTGGCGGGGGCGAGCCGGCTTGGAAAGCATCCAGGGCTGCTATCGCCCTGGTGGTGGTGGTGGTGGTAGCATGGTGGATGGGGGAGGGAGACACAAGGCACTTGGGTTTGCAGGGAGTTCCAGCCCGCCTCCTTGGCACGTCCACACCTAATAAAAGGCCCATTCATGCAGCGTGCAATGCAATGCAACGCAATGCAACACCCATGAGCGCCACGCAACAGACAACCACCAGAGACGCATCAACTTGATGACACCCACCGTGTCCTCTTGGCTGCACGCACAAGCAGCAGCAGCAGCAGCAGCAGCAGCAGCCCCCACTCTCACCGTGCAGCCTTCACGAGTTCAGTCTGAATGGACGCGCACAGGTGCAGGCTCCGAGTCAACACCACCTGCCGCAACCCGCCCCCGCTCCCATCCCCCACATCACCACCCACGCCGTCACCCTGTGCGGTGATTGAAGCGTTGGTAGGAGAAGGCAGTCCGAGGAGCAGGTGGGGGGGGAGGGCAGAGAGGCGGAAGAGCCGGTCCAGGTGCAGCACGCGGTGGAGTATGACTGTTGTCTTGCCTGTGCCTGGGAGGGAGTGGGAATGGGGAGAGTTGATATCGAGTCGACTCAAAGAGACGGTCCAGGTGCAGAACTCGGTGGAATATGACTGTTGTCTTGCCCGTGCCTGGGAGTGGGGATGGGGAGAGAGAGTGAGGGAGGGGTATGTAGAGGCTGAGAGGAGGGATGGGAGCACTGAGGTGAGGGTGTTTACACATGCTTGCTGACAGTTGATATTGGCGTGGTTAAGGAGCTTCCAGAGAGTACGAATCTGGTATATTCGTTTGTACGTCTTGTAAAGAGCCTTCCGCACTGAAGCTCAAGCGCCACACAGCCCTGCCCGCATTAGAAGAACACTATAAACACCTGGAATAGCCTCATAACACCACATTACCTCACATCACACAATGAATCCATGTAACTCAGTTTGGGACTAGCACAGCAGAAGCAAGGAAGACCACTCAGAAGCAGGTAAAGCAGCTCAAGAGTCACGCGCTGACCACCATGGACCCCCTTTGACCCCGTTCAACAACCTTTGACCCCTCTGGACCCATTTTGACCCCGCCGAACCCTTATGACTCCCTCAGGACCCACCAGAGCGGCCATGTAGGACGAGGCTGGAGGGGCAGGTGACAGCAGCGCGCTCCTCCGCGTTGACCTCAAAGGGGACATGGCTCAGCGCGCCGCTGAGCGCACCTGATCCCTGCGCCAGCAGCGCGAGTGCCATGGCGGGCTGCAGCGCTATGAACTTTGGTGGTGTCACTGCGTCCCCCGCGTCCCCTGCCCCCTCGGTGGGGGCTTCTGGGAGGTGAAAGAGAGGGAGCAGAGAGGACACATGGTGTGAGCTGGCAGGTGGGAGTGGAAGGAGAAAAGGGCGCTGAATTGGAAGGTGCCATCTAGCCAGCCATACCTGAGGGAGGGCGCCACCAGTGTATCCCGGGTTGCTGCACAGCAGCAGGCACGCGCAGGCGAGGTGAGGAGGAGCATGTGTACTGGTGCAGAGCGCAGTAGTGCAGGTAGGCGGGCGAGTAGCAGGCGAGGTGGGCGGATATGCGGCGCAGCCATGGCCTGCACTGGCTCTCCGGCACGAGTGCCCACAGCCTCACCACCTGCTTGCATTGCAGCACGAGATGCAGGGGGGGCATAGGGGGCATGGGGGGCATGGGCATTGGGCACTAGACATGAGAAAACAAAACTGCAAGGCAAGTAATACTCGCCTTGTGTTTGCCTGACTCGTTCGAACACCATCGGTTAACCCGTCCTTAGCTGCTTGGACGTTTGAACAACGTCGCCTCGTTTTTACCTCGGCCTTACCTGCTTGAGCGTTTCATGGCACACATCGGTTGACCAGATAAGACAAAGGTCGCCGACCACATCCACATGCACGATGTCACCAAGCTGCCGTGACAGCTCATCCTCCCACCCTCGCCCCGTCCCCCCCCCCTCTCCCTCCAGCCAGCGATGCAGCGCCTTGCCGCCCCTCTCCCCTCGCCTGCCCTGCCGGCCCTGCAGTATGCGGCACAGCAGCAGCAGCACCTCTGCTGACTCATGCTGCTCCAAAGCCTCCCCAAATGAAGGCGAAAACAGACCCTGCCGGGAATCGTTGGGAAGGGGAAGGAAGAGGGGAGAGAGAGAAGGGGTGGGGTAAGGAAGGAGAGAGGCGGGGGTTGAAATGGAGGAAGGGGGTGGGGGGAAGCAGAGGGAGGCGAGGGGGATGTAGCCCGTGGGAATGTTGGTTTGCGCAGGGAAGACGGAGCAAGGTGCATGCAGGAATACAGGGGGGCGGTGGTAGAATAAGAGGGAAGGGGGAGTGACAGGGATCAATGAAATTCCCTCCACAGTGCCCCACCCACCCTCCCGCCCACAGGCCTCACGCCCTCACAGCCAAATAACATCAAACACGCCAGTCGTACCGTCCACAGCAGATCATGCCACTGCATGGAACCTTCTGAGACGCTTCCCACAGCCCTCCCAGACGCGAATCCAGTAGCCTCCCCCAGCATCTGCGCCATCTCGTCCACTGCCGCGCGCCTCGCCCTCACCGCCCTCCTCAGTGCCTCGCCCAGTCGCTCTGCGTCAAAGAACCTGCCGTGGGCCTTGGTGTGGCCAATGACACGGCGCCATGTGGCACTATCGGATGAGAGGGTGCCCTCGTGGCCCAAGATGATGAGGACACGTGCCGGGGTTGAGAGAGCAGCGCGGATCCTGTGATGGGGAAAAGGGATGAATGAGGCATGGCAAGAGCGGCAGAGCAGAGCAGAGGATGGTAGAATGGGCAGCAGCGCAGGCATACTGTAGCATGCACGCACATGGGCCAGCCACGATGCTATACACCTTCTCGAGTGGTGCGTACGCGGGTGCGCTCGGGTTGTGATGAGACGCAAACGGTCGATGTGGTAAGTCACCTTCAGGGCAGGTGAAGCACGTTCCGCGTACTCGTTGAAGTTCTCGTCCGTCGGTCAGTAGGAGTGAGTCCTTGTCGAGTACTCCTGCTCTTATCGTATTGTTTAATACTGTGTTGCTTGGGTGTCCCATCCTTGCGTGCCAGGTGCTTTCGTCGGCGCGATGTCCGGGTGATCGTCGGTACATATCGGAGTTGGAGTAGAAGTTGGCGGTGAAGTTGGCGCTACGATGAACTTCTTGTGGTGCTGGGTGTAGTTGTTGCGCGGGTGTCGGTGGTGTGTCGTCGATGAGGAGCGGTGTCGTTGAAGGACCAGCAATTGGTGTTGACGTTCCTGCTGCTGCCGTTGATGGTTCTGCTACTGCCGATGTTGTCTCTGCTGCTGCCGATGTTGTCTCTGCTGCTGCCGATGTTGTCTCTGCTGCTGCCGATGTTGTCTCTGCTGCTGCTGATGTTGTCTGAATTGTTGCTAACGCCCTTGTTCTTTCTGCTTCAGGGATGGTGTGTGAATACCAGAAGCCTTCTGGATTGAAGTCTGGATCAAGGTCTGGAGGGTGTGTCCAGTTGGTGAAGTTAACGATGGCGTCGCTGTCGGCGGTGCCAAGATCAGGAACGAAATCAAGAACGAAGACGTTGTTCTTGAGGACCGCCTTGCCGATGTAAAGTCCTCCTCTCCCGTGATACAGCTTGAATTCTTGGGTGGTGCTGTCTGCTTCGAGGTGAATCCCTTTCGCCATTAGCTGACTGACGCTCAGTAAGTTGTAGCCGAGTCCCTCCGCGATTAGTACTTTTGACATCTGCAGTATAACGTTTGTTTCCCTTGACTGAAGTTGAACTACGCCTTGTCGTCGTGTTCGCAGGTTCTGATTGTTGGCGACTGTAATGACAACTTCGCGTTGAAGTTGGTGTTCTCATTGAACGAAGCGTCCCGAGGAGCACATGTGTTGTCCGCAGCAACTGTCCAAGAACCATGTGTCCTTTCCGGATGGTTCGCTTTGGCCGATGGCGGCGTATGTCGGGTTCGGCTGAAGTGACTCGCGGCGGGGTGTGGTTTCGTCGAGTTGTTCTTCCGGTGAGTAGTGTGGTGGTGACTCGGTGATGCAGGAGTCACTCAGCTTTGCCATGCAGCTGACGATGTTTCTTGCTCCTTGTGCAGGTTGTCCCGTTGAAGTCGTTGAGGCTTGAATCTGGGTCGTGGGATTTGCTTGCGTTGAGGCGATTTTGCTGCTTGAAGGTCGAAGTTGCCGCTGTGGAGTTGTTGACTGTTGACGATTCGGGCAGTGCGTACGCGGGTGTCCTGAAGTTTTGCAGATGTGGCAGAACGGAGGTACTGGCTTCGGTTGTTGCTGCCGGTTGTTGTTGTTGTTGTAGCGTCGCTGAGTGTGGAACGCGAATTCCGGTGCTGATGTCTTCTTTTTGTGTCGTTCTTCTTGCAGGTCCATGTCTTACTGCTCGGCATGGATTTCGGCGCAGAGCGCTGCTTCGGAGATTCTTCCGTGAGCTCGGAGAATGGCCTTTGTGGCGCGCCATTGAGGACCGAGGCCGCCGATGATGACTGTCACGAAGGCGTCTTCAGAGATCGACCCTCCGCATCGAAGAAGCTTGTCGCTCAACTCGCGACATCGACTGATATACGCCATTCCTTTCTCCCCTGGTTTCATTTCAACCGTTGTCAGTTGCGCCATTAACCGACTTTGGCTTACGCTGTCTGTTGCTTGATACATGCTCTTCAGGTGGTTGTACGCGAGCTCCGCGGAGTTGCCGTAACCTCGGTAAGACCTTATGTTCTGCTGTTGAGTCGGGGTGATATTCCTCAGTAGGATCGTGTACACCATCATTGACTGATAGGTGTACTGCTGCTTCTCGTACTGTGTGCCGTTTGTTGGGTATGGCAGAGACCCGTCGAAGAACCCGAGTATCTGCGCGCCTTCCATCATCAGCTCGAACTCGAACGACCAGGTGAAGAAGTCCTTTCCATCGAAGGGTCTTGACGTCTGCATCTTCAGAACGTGTGCGAACTGCAACTGAACTTGTAATGCGTCCAGTGATTTTTCTTGTCCAGGTGAAGGCTGTGGGTGTGGCATAAAGCTGATGGACCCGCGCTCGTACGGAGCAAAGGTAGGCTGCTGTTGTTGATTTCCTCGTGCATATGATGAGCCGTCGAGACTCATGGGTGTTGCTCCGTTGTTGTTGCTGTTGTGTGACTGCGCAGGTGCCGATTGCTGGTGTTGCTCGTAGAAGGACATGAAGGAGAAAAACTTCTCCATCATGCTCTGGTCGAAGTCTGCAGGTTGATTCGCGGGAGTCTCGGTAGATGTTGCTCTGGGTCTTGTTGCTGTGCCCTCCTCTGTCTGTAGGCCAGAGGCAGGAGGTGGAGTAGGAGTAGTGCCCTGGGAGCCGTTGGAGTTGCTCCTTTCCTTTTGTGTAGCCATGCTTGTTGATGTTGTCGGTATAAAAGTTGAATTCCCCCTGATAGCTCTCATACCATGTTGGGCTGAAAAACCCTTAGGATCTTTGCAGGGGTGAACTCTGGGTAGAGTTGGTGTAGTAGCGGAAGCGTTAATTAAAGAGTTGTGAACCACCTTGCGCTAGTATGTGAGGGCAAAGTAAGTTAATTAAAACAAAGAGATACAAGGTTTTATAAGTGTACAAGGAATACGAAGAGATACAGTTAATAACCGTTTTACTATTGCTGTTGCGGTTCGATACAGTGACGACTCGGGCAACTGCTCAATACCGAGTCAGTTGTTTGTCCTTGCTGTCGCGCTGTACTTTGTCAGGTCAAAGGTCGCTGACCTTTGACTTTCGCGTAACCTCCAACAGTTACTTTCAACCTCCGAGGGTTGACTCGCCGGTGATTCGTTATACTTCGTTTCTTTTGTGTCTTAGTGTTTCGACACGACAGAGGCGCTTATGACCGATTGTTTCCAACAGAAAGTACACGCGAAATTTCATCTAGGAAGCATCCTCGCGATATTCTCCCGTAAAGAATCTGACTCGATAACAGCTATAATAGGAATCTGTAAGAAAAGGGGGGTGTTATAGAAAATCACCCAAAAAGGGGGGTATAGTACAAACGAGGTCGACTATAGCACCCCCCCCGCACAAGCTAACCGGGGGTAAACTATTACGGGGGGGTGTTTTGTCCGGGAGAATACGGTAGTTGTATTTTATATTTTTTGAATAAATGTACCGTATGACGTAACTGATGTGTAGGCGCTTGGGTGCTGGTAGTGTAACTTTCAGTGTACCGGTAGCTAGCGTTATCTAATTGGCAAACACTAGTGCCTTAATGTCCAATCAAAGCCGAGCTTATGTTTCCTCGCCACGTCCTCTCCTTGTCCACCATTCAGCATCAGTTTCACTATAGGGTTATGAGAGCCCAGACTACATTGTAGGAATTTCGTATTAGAATATTTCGTATAACATTATCACTTACTCACCATGTTGAAGACTATTTTTGCGAGATGTACTACTCATGGTAAAAAAGGCAGGGCACAACGCATGAAATGGAAGTAGTTATAGAGTCAAAGAGTGTAAAGAAATTATTATAAAAGGCCCTTCGCAAGGTTGTTCCTTCCCCAACGCGCCATATAATGAGGTAGGCTGCATACCTACACCCACTTGTGTAACACTCAAGATCTAACGGTAACATCTCACGTATGGTAGGTAGCCTATGCTCCAATGCTGCTGAAACAATCGGCATACCTGTATAGAAGCCTTGGGAACATGTCACCGCCGTCTCGAGCATGAATGTATACTGTAGTATGTTGACCACTTTAGTGGTCACATCGGTGGAGTGTAGAACCCGTTTCAGTGTAGCAGTAACTCCAGAAGTCCCAATCTTCCAGTAGAAAAGAGACTCCCCTAAGGAGAATGCTCACTTGCAGTGGCCATTCACTCGCGTATACTCCAACTGTGGCAGAGTAAAACCCCTTATCCATCATATCAGATCTCACATCTGCCGATCATCAGCCAGACTCCTCTTCCGCAGCTCCGCCCATTTACCCGTGCCAACCAATCAGCTGCTGCCAGCTGGCGCCAACCAATCAGCTGCTGCCAGCTGGCGCCAACAAATCAGCTGCTGCCAGCTGGCGCCAACCAATCAGCTCATGCCAGCTGGTGCCATGAGAGATGCGACACTGCGAATACACCTGTAGCGCGTCAACAGCTGCCACCTCATCATCGCAGCTGCCACATCATTGCCACTGCTGCCACCTCATCACCACAGCTGCCACCTCATCACCACAGCTGCAAGCATGCATTATTGGAGGCATCTCAACACACCCCACCCGCCGGCGCTGCTGCCACTGTCTCTGCTTCTTTCCCCAACTCCCCCCACATGCAGCCTTGCAAACTCCTACAGGCACTCACAAGTCTTACTTCCCCAACCTACACTCACCCCCCACACATGTCCTACCCACACACACCCTGTGCAGAAACACCCTCCCCACGCTCTGTCTCCCACCCTGCTCCTCCCCGACTCATCCCCCACTCATCCCCCACTCATCCCCCACTCATCCCCCACTCATCCCCCACTCATTCTCCACTCATTCCTCCACTCATCCCCATCTCCTCGATAGCTAGCCTCCACACTACCACTAAGCCTCAGTTTCGGTACAACCAGTATAAGCACAGTTGAGTTCTGCGCACAGTTGAGTTCTGCGCACAGGTTGACACAACCGCTACAGCCGCTGCACCCCTGCTGCTACAGCTGCTGCAGGTAGAAACGCCTTCTCCACCCAACCCTTACTACTGCCGCACACACTCTCTGTTCACTCCGTTGTTTCCCGTCACTCTCCCCATCTTTCAACCCACATCATCCAGTCATCCAACCACCCTCGCCTTCCCCAACACCTCCTCCTCCCACAACACCTCTCCGTCCACCTTCCCACACACCTCCGCCCATCCCTTCACCCGTTTCCCTTAGTCTCGTAACTGCAGCAGCAAACAGCAGGGTGTGGCAAGGCTAAGGAGCGTTGAACGGCACAAATCCCATTGGGGGGAGGAAGGCTGTAGCACTGCCAGCTGTAGCAACGGAAGCTGTAGCACCGGCAGCTGTAGTGCCAGAAGCTGTAGCACCAGCAGGCCCCAAGACTGTAGCACTGGCAACTGTAGCAAGGCTAAGGAGCATTGAACGGCACAAATCCCATGGGGGGGAGGAAGGCTGTAGCACCGGCAGCTGTGGCACCGGCAGCTGTAGTGCCAGAAGCTGTAGCACCAGCAGATACGGCTGTAGCCACGTGCATCAATGGAGCAGATGAGCTGGCGGCCAGGTCAGCAGGAACAGCAGGAAACACAGTGCCGGCTGTAGCAGCAACACTAGCTCCGGCTGTAGCAGTGGTGACTATAGAAGCAGTGGCTGTAGCAGGAGTGGTGGTGATCGAAGCTTGAGGAGGAGGATGGTATGGGTAAACTGGACTGGGAATGAGCGATGGGAACGGGGTAAGGCCCAAAGCACTAGGATACTGCTGCAGGTGCATCCCAGGGTGTGTTCCAGGGTGCGTTCCAGGTTGCGTTCCAGGTTGCGTTCCAGGTTGCATCGCAGGGTGCAATCCAGGGTGCATCCCAGGGTGTGCAAACGGGGGCATGAGAGAATGCCCAAAGAAAGCTCCTGGAAACTGTGACAAAGGTGGTCCCATCTGGCCTGGAAAGGCTTCACCTTGTGTCTTTCCAAGTTGTGTATTCGCAGCAGCACCGGCAGCAGAAGCAGTAGAAGCCGTGGCAGCAGCTACAGAAGCAGCTGTAGCAGCAGCTGTAGCAGCAAGTGCTGCAGCCTGTGAAGCTGCTGCAGCTGTAGCTTGCGGGGACGAGTGGCATTGAGGAGCGTTTTCAGCTGGTGCTACTTCTGCATGAGCGTTGGAGAGGGAAGAGGAGGCAGTGGTGGGTTTGGAGTCTTGGGGAGTGCGCGAGGTGCGCACGGGGGGGACCTGCTGCTGCATATGTTCCTGCTGCTGATTCAACTGCTGCTGCTGCAGTCCCTGCTGCTGTTGCAGCTGCTGCTGACTCTGTTGCTGCTGCATATGTTCCTGCTGCTGATTCAACTGCTGCTGCTGCAGTCCCTGCTGCTGTTGCAGCTGCTGCTGACTCTGTTGCTGTTGCTGTTCCTGTTGCTGTTGCTGCTGCTGCTCCTGGCACTGCTTCCTGGCGCCTCTGTTCTGTTTCTGCCGTGCCTGCTTCTGACCAGCCTTCCTCTCCTTTCGAGCCCGTTCAACGCCCGCCTCCTGCTCCTCACACCAAACCCGGTGGGCCTCCCTTGCTTGCTGCTGGTGCCGCTGCAGCTGCCAGAAATGCTCCCTACTCTGCTGCTCGTCCTCCTCCTGCTGCTGTTGCTGTTGCTGTTGCTGTTGCTGTTGCTGCTGTATGTGCTGTTGCTGCAGCATCATCTGCTGCTGCTCCTGCTGCATTTGCTGTTGCCGCAGCATTTGCTGCATTTGCTGCTGCTGCTGCTGCTGCTGCTGCAGCAACTGCTGCCCCTGCTGCAATCGCAGCTGCATCTGCTGCTCCTGCTCCTGCTGCGATTGCTGCTGCTGCTGCTGTTGCTGGTGAGCCAACCAGACGCTATTACCCACCTCGGCACGCACATTAGGGTCCTGTGGGGCAAGGGCGTACACTCTTGACCCGCTGGCAGCGGCAGCTGCATTATTAGCGGCAGTAGCAGCGGCAGCAGCAGCGGCAGCAGCAGCAGCACAAGCACTATCCCCTCTCCCCGCCCTCCCCATCCTCCCGACACAAGCAGCAGCCCTGCCCCTCTTAGCAGTACCACGACTAGCAGGCTTCGAAAAGCCTGCCATCGCCCCTGCCTGCACTCCCACTGCTCCTCCTGCCCTTGCCCCTGCCTCTGCCCCTTCCCCTAGCCCTTCCCCACCCCCTCCCCCTCCCCCTGCACTTCCAGCAGCAGCAGCGGCAGCAGCAGTAGCAGCAGCCACAGCAGCGGAAGCGGCAGCAGCGGGGGGCGGAATGGGGTTGGCGGCGGAGAGGAGTTGGCAGAGGGGGCGGGAGCGCATGTGGTTGACGAGGTTGCACTTGAAGGCAAACTGCATGCCGCAGCGACACACCAGCATCTGCCCACACATCTTCCCATGGTCCCTCAGATCCGCCTGGGGTTATCGGGTGCAGTGGAGGGGAATGGGGGGAGACGTAGGGGGAGGAAAAGGGCGGAAGAGAAGGAAGGAGAAGACATGAAGTGGCAGCAATAAGGGGAAGGGAGGAGAGGGGGGAGAAGGTCGCGGGGGGAAGGGGGTAGGGGAAAGGGCAAGGTGGAGGAGGGAGAGGAGTTGGCAGAGGGGGCGGGAGCGCATGTGGTTGACGAGGTTGCACTTGAAGGCAAACTGCATGCCGCAGCGACACACCAGCATCTGCCCACACATCTTCCCGTGGTCCCTCAAATCCGCCTGGGTAGAGGGGGTGGGGGGGTGGTGGGTGGCGGCGGGAGGGGAACGACAGGGGGCAGAAGACAGTAAGGTTGATGTGCCTCATAGCATGCCGCAGCGACACACCAGCATCTGTTCACACATCTTCCCATGGTCCCTCAAGTCTACCTGGAGGGGTTGTTGGGGAGGAAAGAGTGAGACGAGAGGGAGGATGAGAATGGGCGGGGAGCAGGCAAGAAAGAGGGCGGAAAGAGAAAAGACATGAAGCAACAGTGGAGTGCACATCAGCACAGCAGCACATCAGCACAGCAGCACAGCAGCACAGCAGCACAGCAGCACAGCAGCACAGCAGCACATCAGCACAGCAGCACATCAGCACAGCAGCACAGCAGCACAGCAGCACAGCAGCACAGCAGCACAGCAGCACAGCAGCACAGCAGCACAGCAGCACAGCAGCACAGCAGCACAGCAGCACAGCAGCACAGCAGCACATCAGCACAGCAGCACAGCAGCACAGCAGCACAGCAGCACAGCAGCACAGCAGCACAGCAGCACAGCAGCACAGCAGCACAGCAGCACAGCAGCACAGCAGCACAGCAGCACAGCAGCACAGCAGCACAGCAGCACAGCAGCACAGCAGCACAGCAGCACAGCAGCACAGCAGCACAGCAGCACAGCAGCACAGCAGCACAGCAGCACAGCAGCACAGCAGCACAGCAGCACAGCAGCACAGCAGCACAGCAGCACAGCAGCACAGCAGCACAGCAGCACAGCAGCACATCAGCACAGCAGCACAGCAGCACAGCAGCACAGCAGCACAGCAGCTGCACTTGCTGCACGCAAACGGCCTTACCTCAACGAAGAACCGCTTGCTGCACTTGCCACACGCAAACGGCTTCTCCCCGTGTGCATGCATGTGAGTATGTGGAGAGAAAGAGATGAGAGAAAGCCAGGGGGGGGAGACAAAAAGAGGGTGAGAGCAAGTCTCACCTCAACAAAGAACCGCTTGCTGCACTTGGCGCACGCAAACGGCTTCTCCCCCTGCTGGTGCTTCCGCCCAAAATGCCGCCTCAGCTCATACAGCCCCACAAACGTCTTCCCGCACTCCGGGCAGCGCGACGGAATCTTTTTATTCTGCCCGGCCTTGCTGCCCCCGTGCCGCGGCCCCAGAGCATCCTCACACGCCGCCTGGAACACCGCGTCGGGCAGATCGTGCGTGCGCAGATGCATCTTCAGCGTCTGCCAGTTCTTGAACGTTTTCCCGCAGTCGCTGACGTGGCAGAGAAACGGGCGGCGGTTGTGGATAAGGTCCAGTGAGACGATCTCTGCTTGTCTGGCGGTAGGGGTGTGCGCTGCTGGCTTGCCATTGGCAGTGGCGGTAGGGATATGCGCTGGTTTGCTATTGGTAGTGGCGGAAGGGGTATCTGCTGGTTGGGAATTGGCAGTGGCAACAGTGGTGGTAGGGATAGGTGCTGGGAAGCCATTAACAACAGCAATCTCTGCTTTCCCAAAGAAAGAAGTGGCTGTTCTACCAGTATCCCTAGCAGAGACACTGACTAGCTCTCCAGCAGCTGCTCCAGGCAGGGAGGCTGGCAGGAAGGCTAGCGAGCCTGTCAAGGCCAACACGCCTGAGCCCCCAGCATCTGCGACTCCTTGTGCTGGGGAAAAGTGAGTGCCTGCGGTGGTCTCAGCAGGCAGAGCAATAGGTGCAGCCTCCACAACAGCAGCAGAAGCAGCAGCACCCCTGGCACCGACACCAGCAGCAGCAGCAGCATCAGGAGCAGCAGAAGTACCAGCAACAGTACCATCAGCGCCAGCACCAGCGCCACCTGAAACCTTGGCGCCTGAACTTCCAGTAACCAAGGGCCCGTTCAGAAGAACCAAAGCAGCTCCTGCAGGCTGGTCCGCTGTGTCTGAACCCACCCCCTCTGCCCCCTGCGCAGCAGCATCTGTTGCTGCATCTGCTGCAGTATCTGTAGTCCCGACCAGGGAAATCCGTCCAGCAGCATCAGCCATACCTGCTGTAGCAGCAGCATGAACAGCAGCATCAACAGCAGCATGGACAGCAACACCAACATCGGCAGCTGTAGCAGCAGTCAGAGTGGCAGTTGAAGCAGCAACCAGTGTAGCTTCAGCAGCAGCAGCAGCAGTCCCGACAACTGCAAGCCCAGCAGTGGCACCTTGTGCATCAGGTGCTGTTGTTGCAGGTTCAGTGGGAGCAGTGGGAGCAGCGTCAACAGCAGTGAGCTTTTGAGTTGACTCAGGAGCAGCAGCATTTGCAACCTCAGTGGGGGAAGTGGGGGCAGCTGCAGCAGTCCAGTCTTGACGCTCCTCACAAAGCGTAGCAGCAATTTCAGTGGGACGGCTAGTGGTAGCAGCGTCAGGGGGAGACGGGTGGACAGGCATGGACGCATCGGCATCCGTTGCTGCTCCTGCTGCTCCCGTGGCTTCTGCCGTCACTGCTGCTGCACCTGAAACTGCAACTGAATCCGTCCCTACTACAACTGCGCCCGCTAAAGCCGCATTGGCTACAACTGCACCTGCTTCAACCTCCTCTGCTAGTGCCCCATCCGCTACAGCTGCACCTGCTACAACCGAATCTGCTATATTCCCATCTGCTACAATCGCATTCACTACAACCCCATCCGTTACAACCACCTCCGCCACAACTGCATCCGCTACAACCGCGTCCGCTACAGCCGCGCCTACTACAGCTTCATTTGCTACAACCACATTCGCTACAACCGAATCTGGTGCTGCAGCAACGTCAATTGCTGGAACGTCTAGCCGTTGCTCTGTCGTTTTCCCAGTTGGCAGCAGCACGGGCGGCAGGGCGGACGGCAGCACCAGCGGCAGAGCGGACGGCAAAGCGGGCGGCAGAGTGGGCGGCAGGTCCAAAGGAGGCAGGTCGACGGCGGAAACGTCAGGGAGAGGTGACGGCACTGGCAGCACCGAGGGGTCTCGCAGAGAAGGCGGCTCCAAGAGGGTGGGAGGGTCTAGCAGAGTAGGGGCGTCAAGAAGCGTGGCATCGGGCAGAGGGGGAGGCAAAAGGGGGAGGTCCTGTGAGATAGGAGGCTCAGGGGTGGAAACAGGCTCAGGGGGGACAGCGACAGCTGCAGCAACGGTTGACTTTTGAGACGTCTCAAGAGTAGGGGAAACAAGAAGCGTGGCATCGGGCAGAGGGGGAGGCAAAAGGGGGAGGTCCTGAGAGATAGGAGGCTCAGGGGTGGAAACAGGCTCAGGGGGGTCAGGTAGAATGAGAGAGTCTAGCAGAACGGCGCTGTCGGGAGGTGGGGCGGGGCGGGGAAAGGTGGGAGGGGCTGAGAGAACGGGCGACTCAGAAGCACAAGCAGCACCAGCAGACTCAACCGCGTCAACAGCGGCAGAAGCGTCAGCAGCAGCAGCAGCAACAGCAGCAGCAGAAGCGGCAGACTCAACCGCGCGAGCAGAACCAACAGCACCAACAGCACCAGCAGCAGCAGCACCGTCAGCAACGGCCGCTCTACTCTCCCTTCTCGCTCTCTTCTGACAAGGAACCGAGTCCCAACCAGCCTCCCTCCCTTCCTCCTCCAATCCGCGCTTCAAACACTCCATGTTCTGTGGCCTAGTGGGTAGAATGGTACTGTCTGCGATGCTGCTGGGCGGCATGAGCGGCAAAGTGTCCCCTGAATGGCTGCTGGGCGGCATGGGCGGCAAAGTGTCCCCTGAATGGCTGCTGGGCGGCACACTGCTGGGCGGCAGTGTGAGGGGCTGGGGGAGGGAGCCCGCGGAAGCAGCAGAGCGGAGGGCGGAAGACCCGTCCGCGGCTACTGGCGCGCGGGAGGGCGGGGGAAGGGCGGGCGCGGAAGACAGAAACGCAGGCGCGGACAGGCACGCGGGGTGGAGAGGCGGGGCGGAAGCGAATTGGGCGGAGGGAGTAGAAGGCGCGGACGCAGGCGCGGGCGGGCACGCGAGGGGGCATGCGGCGGGGAATGGGGGATCGCGCGCAGGCTGGGCGGAAGGTGTTGCGGGCGGGGATGCTAGAGGAGGGGCTGGGGACGCGCGGGACGGCACGCGGGCGCAGTGCCCTCGCGGGGACGCGGAAGCGGCGGAGCAGTAAAGCGGGGGCAAACGGGGGAGAGCAGCAGTGGGGGAAGAAGCAGGCGAGGCAGTGGGGGGGGAAGGTTCCGCGAAGCCGGGATCAAGCGGAACGGAAGCTTCTGGAACGCGGGGGAGGGACGGCAGAGAAGCAGAGAGGCGCATCTGTGGAGGGGGGCGCGTTGGGGAGAGAGGTGGGGGTGATACAGACCAATTCAATCCAGCCCCCCCTGCTGCTGCCGCCGCTGCAGCTGCTGCTGCTCCTGCTCCTGTCGCTGCTGTTGCTGCTGCTGTTGGCCGAACTGACGATATCGAGGCTGATCGTATCGCGGATGCTTGAGCCGCTGAAACAGAATGCCCGCTGCTTACACCGCCGTCAGTTACGCTGGGATTAATGGCCGGGGGAGCTAATACAGCTACAGATGGTGTCGCAGACGCAGCGGACGACACAACGACGGGGTTGTGCGACCCAAACGACGCGCCATGCGACGCGCGCGACGTTGCGTCTGGCGACCAGCGACCAAAGCGACGGCGCATCACCAGATCTAGCTGTCGCATCTGCTCATGCGATCGCACACGTCGCATGCTATGCATCGGCAGCTGCTGCGGCGACTGCGGTTGCGACTGCGGCTGCTGCAGATACCACCGCGGTTGCTGTCGCTGCTGCCCCTGTCCTTGCCCCTGCCCCTGCCCCTGCGCCTGCAACTGCGCCTGCGCCTGCCACTCCGCCTGCCCCCGCTCTTGCCCAGCCATCCATCCCCACACCTGCGCCTGTTCCCGCGCCTCCCTCTGTCCCCATCCCTGCGTCACCGCCTGCGCCTGTACTTGCCTCTCCTCCTGCCCCTGCGTCTGCCTCTGCGCCTGCACCTGCGCGTGCCCCTCCGCCTGCCCCTGCGCCTGCGCCTGCCCCTGCCCCTGCCCCTGCGCCAGACTTTGTTGATCGGAGGGGGACGAAGAGATAATAGACTTGAGCGTGCTCACTAGATTCGGGTGCATCACCGGCATAACCGGCCGCAGAACCGGCGACATAACTGGCCGCAGTACTGGCGACATAGTCGGCTGCATAGCCGGTGACAGAACGGGCTGCACAACCGGCGACATAACCGGCTGCATAACCGGCGCGAGAGGTGCATGCGGTAGCTGCAGCGGCGCCGGCATCAGCAGCGGCGACATGCAGACTTGAACCGCGGAGAGGCCAGGGGGAACGGGGGGAACTGCGCCCGCGGGCAGGAGAGCGGAGGGGACTGCGCCTGCGGGCATCTCTACGGCGGAAACCAGGGGGCTTCTGGGGAAACCCGCGGGGGTAATCGACGCAGGTGGCATGGTTTGCGGAACGGAGCGGGATGCGGAAGGGGACGACATCCCGGGCATCGGCGGAGGATACGACCAATTTGCGCCAACTGCTCCCCCCCCGTCTGCGATGACTGCAGCGGAGACCCCGCCCTCCCCTTCCCCTCTTGACATATACCGCGAGGGTGGAACAGACGGTAGAGCCGCGTGCGGAAGGCTGAGTGACGGAATTGCGACGGAATGCGTCGCCATGGCGTCGCCAGGACCCGGCGCTGCGACTGAAAGAACACCGTAAGCCGCTGGCGGGAGGAGGCGGTGCGCTTGCGGCTGTTGACCAAATACCGGAGCTTCTGCGGCTGCTACAGCTGCAGCAGGCGCCGTCGCGTCGGCTGTAGCGTCGGATGTAGCGGCGATCGTATCGTCGGTTGGAACGTCGGCTGTGGCAACAGCCGTGGACCATTGCTGAGACGGCACGCGAGGCAGGGGCGCGGGTGAAGCTGCCCCGATGCCGGGCGGAGGGGGAGGAGAGGAGGGCGAATCACCAATAGGCGCGAGAGACGGAACCCTAGCAGAAAATGGATAAGGCGAAGCTCCAGAAGCGACTGGCACTGTTACGCCGGGAACACTAATAGACGATGGGTTATCAACAGCACTAACAGACGTATGTAAGGCTTCACCCGCTTTAGGTAGCTCCGCGAGTTGCGAAGTATCGGTGGTAACACAGGGACGCGAAACAGGACTTGCTGGCGACAACGAGGGAGTATCGGGGGGGCTACATGGTGCTGCTGCTGCTCGCATCGTGCGCTTCCAGCGAAGCTAAAGGAGCCAGAGGAGCTAAATCGAAAGCTACGGAGCGCGACTCGATGCGGAAAGGCGAGTTAGGAGCGACAGCGGGAGATGCGTGCAAGAAACACCAGATCCGAAACATTGCTGAATTTCTTCGTCTTGACGACAATCTAGCGCATGGAACCACGGCCTCGAACGAATGCCAGGAAATCTGGAATGAGACACCAGCAAGCAGAATCTGCTCACCACAGAACTGCCTTGTGCCTTCAAAATCCTGCACTGTACTGCACTACCAAGACGCCTCCTACTTTCCTCTGCTCATTGCAGGTTGAAGCACCAGTCACAGGTCTCTCTCCATTGACCCGCCACTTACGAAAGGACCGACCTCGATGTTAATCATCTTTTGTGTGGTGGAGGGCGGAAGCCATAGCCGGGAAAAGTGCACGGGAAAGTGCGGAATAATGAAACCCTACTGGCTGCTGGAAGCGTTGACAGAAGACAGACTGCAGGTCGAGCATTTCCAACCACTTATTATTCGTCTGTGCGAATTTATCAACTAATCATCCGTTACAGGGTTCCTAGTTGGCCACAAGAATCGTCTGTTCGAGTCATCCTTCGCGAATTCGCGAGGGCTTCTTAGGTGTCAATCTTTCGCTGTAGTCCGCTCGAGCCAGATCTTGGGGGAGATGAAAGGTGGAGAGGAAAACTGTCGGAGGGGTTCCGAAGACGAAGGTTTTGTTACAAGCACGGTGATTTCGAATGTTCGAATCGCCCGAGGGGAAGGTGGACTCCCCATATGCGAAATGACAACCGACGCCTAGGGTTCACTGTACCGAAAATGCTTCATCGTGAAGCTATAAAGTACCTGCTATTTATCACAATATTGTCCATGGGCCACCAACCCGGTGCTTTCTATTAATGCAACCCATGTAATATGATATTATGCATTTGGTCAGGCATGAGCAATTGCAAAAGAATGGCAGAGTCGCACTTTACATACGATGCTGTATGTGTTATTCCTTCGATCGTGCATGTGGATGGGCTACGCGATAGATGAGAGAATGCCTGGGAGAATGCTCCCAGAATGCCTTCACAGCTGAAATTACAGGAACACGAGGATGCACGAAAAGGGTTTCAATATCAGGCTGCAGTCAATGGTTAGACAATGTTTGGGAAACCCTGGCTTTACCAGGGCAAAAGCTGCACTACACCTTGGGTTCCATTGCACTAACATGATACGAACGATATCTTGAAACCCGGGGTAGCTAAAAAAACCCCGTGACAAAAAATTAGGATACTTTAGGGCGTTTTTCCCTGATCAGAAGACGCTCGGCTAGCATCCCTTCTTGCCTTTGCTGCTTGTGCCTGGGCCGAGGCATACTCTGAAGGCCAACCCACAACACAGCAAACAACGGTGCCCCAAGGATCCACAGACAGACCAGCATGACAGCAACAAAAACAAGGGGCACAGGGGGATTGAGGGTGGTTAGCGGGCTTTATCAGCTACAATTGAATTGTGCATTCACACCAATCCACCGATCCTGACCAGCCATAGCTGCCACACGCTCGACACAAGCCCCACTAGGACCATACACATCATGCACACCTTGTAACTCCCCGGTTTTTTTATTTATCCAAAGCCAGCAATTCTTAATACACGAACATGAGGGTCCCAGGGGTCCTCACTCACAGGGAAGAGCTGTAAGGTGTCAAGAACCAACTACTTTCATACACACCTTCTAACTCCTCTTCAGTGGTAAACATGTTTGAGTCGAAAATAAGGACGCGGCACCTCTAGGGAAATTGTCAGGATCGTGGGGGGATCGGGGCCTCACACCGGTTCATGCACATCGATCGGCATACCGATGTGTCCACACTGCAGATTTGCAATCGCCTGGACACACCGAGCCACGGGGTGACAGGATCGAAAATATATGGGGCAAAATTGCCTGATCTCCACATTTACACGATCGATGTGTGGGCGCTGGTACATCGATTGTGCGAGCCAGAGGTGCCACCATTTTGGGCACCAATTCACTGTACACTTGCGAGATGGGGCGAAACCGGATACCAGGCTGTTGGCGATGTCGCGATTTCACTGTACAAGCTAGGATCGACCCCCACTCAGGATCGATCGTGGCTTCCTCCCTAGAGGTGCCGCGTCCTAACCCTACGAGGACCGTGCACCTCATACACACCTTGTAACTCCTCTTCAGTGGTATCCATGTTTGAGTCGAAAATAACCCTACGAGGACCGTGCACCTCATACACACCTTGTAACTCCTCTTCAGTGGTATCCATGTTTGAGTCGAAAATAACCCTACGAGGACCGTGCACCTCATACACACCTTGAACTAGCAACTAGTCAGTGGTGACCACCCGCTAGTCTCATACACACCTTGTAACTCCTCATCAGTGGTATCCATCTCATGATCCAGCAGCGTGGGAAACCCTGGGGGGACCATGCACTTCATACCCACCTTGTGACTCTTCATCAGGATACTTTTGGGTTGACCCAGAAGTTACTTCGTACACACCTTGTAACTCCTCATCGGTGGTAACCATCTCGAGATCCAGCAGCGCCAGCAGCCGGTGCAAATCCACCCCGCTCGTCCAATTCTCCCTCACATTCCCCTGTCGCAGCTTCAGCCTCCCTCTATTCGCTGTTCCCCCCCAAATCATTCCCACAGGAACCAGCATCGGCTCAGGACTGTGTCCCACCCCCTCCCATCCCTCTTCTCTCCCCTCTGCCTGCCCGGCCCCTTCTCTCTGTGATGGGTGGACGGCGAAGGGTGAAGGGCCGTGGGAGGGGTACGGAGGGTGGAGAGATGGGTGGTGTGCGGTGGTAGCTTCCCTGTGGGTTGGAACGTGGGAAGCACTGCAGTCTAAGGCGTGATGGTGCGGCTGGTGGTAAGGGCAGGTGTGGTGATGGTGGGGGGTGTGGTGGGGTTGTTGCTGTGAGTCCGGCCCATGCTGCTGTTGTTGCCTCTGCTGCTCATACCCATGCTGCTGCTGCTGCTGCTGCTGCTGCTGCTGCTGCTGCTGCTGCTGTTCCTGCTGTTGCCCTTGCTCCTGCTGCTCCTGCTCCTGCTGCGGCTGCTGCGCCTGCTCCTGCTGCCTCTGCTGCTGGGGGGTCCCCAGCTGCGGCAGCAATTCCATTCCATGCTGCATGAACCCATGCAGGACCGCATGTGGGCCCTCATGCCCTGAAGCATGCGTGGGAGCATGCATGGGGGCATGCATGGGAGCATACATGGGAGCATGTGCGCCCTCATGCCCTGCAGTATGCGCGGAAGCATGCGCGGGAGCATGCACATTCTCTGAAACATCCATTGGAACATGTGCTGAAGCATGCATGGGTGTGGGAGCGTGCATCGGAGAATGTGAGGGAGCATGCATTGGGGCATGCATGGGAGCATGCATGGGAGCATGCATAGGGGCATGCGCAGCAGCATTAACAGGCGCGTCTACAGGCACGTGCAATGCCGCATCCACATGCATTGCAGCACTCCCCTTCTGATTTGCCTCAACACTCGAGCTCGCGGGTCCGAGAGTTGCAACATTCACAGGCCTTTGAGCAGTAGCATCCGCAGGGGGGTGCACGGCAGCAGTGGCAGGGGCTTGTGTGGCAGCATTCGCAGGGAGTTGCGCTGCAGCTGTGTCAGGAGCGTGGGTTGCAGCAGCAGCGGCAGGGCCATGAGCAGCAGCAGCAGCAGCAGCAGCAGCAGCAGCAGCAGCAGGGGCAGGGGCGTGCATAGCAGCAACAGCAGCAGCAGCAGGGGCAGGGGCGTGCATAGCAGTAGCAGCAGCAGCAGCAGCAGCAGCAGCAGTAGGGGCAGGGGCGTGCATGAGAATGAGGCTGCCAGAGTCCCCTTCGACGTCAAAGGGCAGCCCATCCTCCCCCACGACCAGCAGGTCCGTGAAGAGCGTGTTGCCCTTGTCGTCGTTGTACTCCACTGCATACGCCATCACCGTGCCTCGCGTTAGCCCTGAGCTGCTGCCCACCTGCCAGGGGTTGCAGGGGATGGGGGAGATGGGGGAGTGGGGAAGGGCATCCTGTTGTGTTACTCCACTGCATACGCCATCCACCATGCCGCGCGTGTTGAACCCGAGCTGCTGCCCACCTGGAAGGGGTTAGAGGACGGGAGGGGAAGTGGGGATAAAATGGGAGGGAAGAGGAGGGAGACGGAGGGGAGCAGGGGGTTGGGTGGTGAAAAGAGGAGGGAAAGGTGGAGAGAGGAGGAGGGGGGACATCAAAGGGCAGAGCATCCTCCCCCACGACTAGGACGAACGGGGGAGATGGGGGGAGAGAAGAGGAAGATGGGCGGAGACGAGTGGAAGGAGAAGGGCGACGAAGTGAGGAATGGGATTTCGGTCCTCCCTTCTAGCCTGCATGTGCCATCACGCTTCCCCAAGTGAGACCTGAGCTGCTGTCCACCTGAGAGGAGACATGGGGGAAGCGGGGAGAGAGATGGGGGGTTTATACTGCCATCCACACACACACCACCTTGCTCATAAACCCTAAACCCTTCCTCGGCTCCCACCTTGCACACGTGCTGCCCTGCCACTCTAAAATAGTCGTTTTATAATCCGACCTCGTGCAGCTTACCACACCTAACAACCCATCCAACCCCCACAACCACCTCACACACACACCTCCTCTTCCTGGGCCCCACACACACGTGCCACCCACCTTGCACACGTGCCACCCACCTTGTACAAATGACACCCACCTTGCACACGTGCTGCCCTGCCACGCTGAAAATCTCGTCCTGCAATCTGATCTCGTGTGGCTTGCCAATCCGCCCGATCCCCTCCAGCCACGTGGTTAACAGACCCACGTCAAACTCCTCATGGAACGGAATAAACGCCCCATCTGCCCGAACAAAAGTTTCCGGGCTCTGCCCGGCAAACACGCCGTACCAGAGGTGGTCCGAGGCAAACGACGAGGCTCGGTCCACCGAGCCTAAGTACTTCCCCGGACCTAGCGAAGACGGCAGCGGGTGGAACATTTTCTGCTTCGGCTGGTCAAAGTCAACTGCCACGTGTCTGTTAGTCAGAAACCCTAATCCACGTGGCTCAGTCAGGCTCCTAACTATGGCTCCTAGAGTCCCATACATCTCCTCACTCGCAATTTGCGAACCGGGGCCGATCCTAGAACCACTGCCTCTTAATCTCTCCACTAACTCGTTACTAATTAGCTGCGGCTGCTGTGTCGGCCCCCCTCCTGCCCCATGCCCACCATAATAAGAGAATTCGACTATATCCACGTCACACTCGTACCCGTCTGGTCCCTGCAGCTTGCTAGGAAGCATCTGGGAAGGCAGCAGCCACTGCTCATGAACCTTCCGAGGCACAAAAACAATGATTGCAGGCAGGTCCGTGAGAATCCCGTTCCTGGTCCGCAGCCCCAAGGCTGTGCCGAGGCTGAACCGCCGAAGCTGCTCGCTGTGGCAGGCTCGGATGAGCATGAGCTGCCCGATCCTGGTGGCGGCTCGGCGCGGAGGAGCGGGAGGGTACTGGGGCGAGAGAGGGGCGGTGGAGAGCGAAAGAGCGGTCAAATGGCAGTGCGCGTCCGCGTTTAAATCAGTAGTTAAAGGCGTATTCAGGTCTGGGTTCAGGCCCGGGTTGTCATCCTGCGCCTGGGTTGCAGCGGCTGGCTGCACCTCGAAGCCTCTAAGCCTCTTTTCCGTGTTACTCGGGGGCTCTTCGCTGTCCTCTCGTCTTCTCCTTGCTCCTCGTGCTTCTCCTCCTCCCCCCCTCTCCTCCCCTCCTCCCTCTCTCCTCTCTCCCCTTCCCTCCCTCTCCTCCTCTACTCCCTGACTCCTTTCCCGTCCAGATCTCCGCTCATTGGCTGATAGCTTTGAGTCATCCCCGTCAGTTGCATCAGCACCACGTGCAGAAGAAGCACCAATGGCCGGACTTTCAACAGATAGAGGGCAAGTATCAAACTCAAGCCTCTTATTTGGGGGTAATTCCTGCTCAGCTCCTGATCCAGCTTGTCCAGCCGCCGTACGCGTTACAGCAGGCTGCGTTTGCACACCCTCCGCTACAGGAACACCCAGCGGCACAACGCTTGTTCTGATAGGGGTATATCCACCACTCATGGGACCCATCCTTCCAATCCCTCGCATTTCATTGGCTGGATCAGCTGCTGCCGGCTGCGGCGCGTCATTGGTGGCCATGGGCGTTGCTGCAGCTGCTGACGTGTACTGCGATCCGGGTGACGTGAACGGCGCTGCTGCTGACGTGTACTGTTGGAAGTAGGCTTGACGGCTAACCGGCGATTCCCGGGGGGGCTGATCTGTCGGCCATCGGACGTAGCGAGGAGTCGGGGAAGGTTCGTGCTGCCCTGCGGATTCAAATGGTTGAAGGGTCGGTCGATTGCCGGACCTAACGTAGCGGATCGGAGGCTTCCGTTGGAATCCAAAGCCGAAGCTATTTCCTCGGAGAAACCCATACCTGGTAGGTCTGGTTCCCCAAGCATTACCGAACCTGCTGGAACCCGAACCTAGATCGGAGGCAGTGCTGAGCCGACTGGAGTTTTCCAAACCCAGGCTGGTCGAGGGTTTGTGAGTGCGTGTACTACCAGTGGTGAAGCTTATAGCGGAATGTTCGTCATTTTGCGACCAAGGAGCTGCTGAATGCAATTTTCCGGCAGACTCCCGGAAAAAAAAGCCCATGTTGCTGTCTCTAATGCAGAAGCCTGTCGGAAATGATGAATTAAAGCTGGAGTATCGCGAGCTAATGCCACTGCCGCAGCTGCTGCTGCTTGCAGCGTTACTACTATTGTCCAGGGAACCACCACCACCCGCCATATTTCACACGTCGCTTCAGAGAAGTGACGTTTCAGGGTGATGGTTGATCATCTGCTGGCAAGTGTGTGGCTGATGAGCGAGCGTAAAACAACCAGAGAGACCACCATGATAGAGGATAAGATAAGTTTGCGTTTACTTAGGCAATCTCAAGGCTTTAGGGCTAAAGATCGACTATCCACCGCATTGAAACTTGTCATAACGATCCGTAGCCTTCAAAAACGCCTCCAACCCCTTCACGAGACCAATTCCTGGGCGTGGGTATGATCGAACCTGGTCTTCGGCCACTTATCGTGTGCACCAGACCTCGTTTTGTGAGTTCAGGTCGGACTGGTGAGTGGGGCCAGGCAGGCGAGAGCAGCAAATGAATCTTGGCGGAATCTGGCCGCAAAACAAGCATCCTCCAATGGACGTCGAGCTGACATCCCTCGACACCCCTCCATGTTCGAGGGAGCCACTTCGAACAAACTGTAAAATCTGTTCGGTGGGACAAATGTTGGTGGTTCATAATTCGAACAATCCACTGGCAAGCGAGCCAGCAACAGGTGAGATGTGTGGTTGTGTCATATTAGTGCTTATTCATATGCTGTAGTTTCACTAAACCATGCATTAATCTAATGAACTTGTTTGCTGAACCTGTGCAGGGGCGGCGGACGACATCATCGATGCCTTTCTGCACAATAACTGATGAGACGTATGGTCAACATGACATTGCGTGCTCAGTACACATCAAATCTACGTAATATCATTGTAGGCATGCGTAGAGGTCGACATGCCTAGAGATACAATAAACCCTATGACTGCTAAATGAACGGAACGCACAGTGTTATATAGATACAATGGCAAAACGCCGGTAGTGAACGTCTCTCGATTTTATTAATATAGTTTTATATTAATAAAACAGATCGCACACACATTCGAGCACCACATATGCACGCTCATATAGGTAAATGCGCGGTTTTATATGAGCGCGATCTTACATGACCGCGCCTGATTGGACGCGCAAGGTCAGAAAAGGCCCCGCGCATAAAGTCGACCAATCAGACGCGCCCTGTAATTGGTCGCGCGTGTGGACAGTCGTGCAACTGAGTACATGATCGGGGATTCATATCTCTATGCGCGGATTGGTCAAGAATTGGACCGAAAATGAGCGCGACTGTTCGCCCAAGATGATCGTGTATTCGAACGGTGACGTGGCCGCCCTCGCGCACGTCACCCAGCCGAAAATTTCGGGCGGAAAATCACACGCCACGTTTTTGCGGGAAGAGACACGAACGACGTAAGAAAAGCAGGGCTAAAAACCGGTTTTGGGTAATGTGCCGGATAAAAAGAAAGCCAGAGGAAACCTCTGGCAAGACCACTCGAGCAATTATCATCGAATTGTCCGACCACGGTAGCAATTCGAGGCCACGTGTGCAACGGCAAATCACCGTTTCCGGGTCTGGAGAAATTTGATGAGAAACGAGGAATGGAATGACTAAGTGAAAGTTGGGTACAAGAAGCAAACCCTAGAAAACTGTACCCCATATGTGCTACCCCACTATAGCCTACAGTAGCTATGTAATATAAATCTGACACACCCCCATAGGCAAAGTGGGGGAGAACAAGGGGTCACAAGACCAGTCAAGCAAAGCAAAGCAAAAACAAGCTCAGGGTGGATCACAAAGTCACCACACATTCCGAGCACAAGTTCAAGGCCACAAGGCCAGTTCACAAGCAGGAGTACACATATATATAAAAAGGCTAGACAAACAAGAGCAGGTATATATATATGTAACAGTACAAGCAAGGTCAAGAGGTGAGCAAGTGAGGCAAGGTAGGCACAAGGCCCAGCTGAGTACAGAAGCGCTGATGGTCACAAGGCGCAAGTGCCTTGGTGAAGATATCAGCAGTGTTGGCCTCAGAGGCCACGTACGCAAGACGCAGCTGACCACGCTGCTGCAGCTCACGAGCAAGAAAGTAGCGGAGAGCAATGTGCTTCGTTCTGTGCTCCAGTCGCTGCTCCCGACACAAGGCCAGCATGGCCTTGTTGTCTACGTACAGCACTGGAGGAGAACGAGGCAACTCTCCGAGGTCAGTCAGCAGGTAGGTGAGCCAGCGAAGCTCCTGTGCAGCCATGGCTCCTGCGTAGATCTCAGCCTCACAACTGGAGCCGAGAACAGAAGACGAGCGAGTAGCCCGCCACGAAACAGAGCCGGAACCAAGGCTGAAGGTGTAGCCCTGTGACGACCGCTGCGTAGCCTGGTCGTCAGCCCAAGAAGCGCCTGCGTGCCCAGTAAGGACCACTGGACTCTGCCCTCCAAGCACAAGCCCCATGCCCGACGTACTGCACAAGTAGCGCAACACCCTCTTAGCTGCAGCCATGTGCTCCGGTCTGTGTCTCCCAGGAGCAACATAGCGTGCAAGAATGCTAAGAGGGTATGCAAGGTCAGGTCGTGTGCAGGTCATCAGGTACATGAGGCAGCCAACAAGCTCTGGGTACGGGCCACTCGACTCTACGGACTCATCCGAAGGCAGAGCTGAGAGCGAGTGGCGAGTAGGCAGAGGAGTGGCCTGAGGCGAGGAGTACGTGAAGCCGAAGCGCTGAAGGACCTGCTGCACCATGTGTGACTGAGTCAGGGTAATGGTGCGGCGTGCTCTGTCCCGAGTGATCTGCAAGCCAAGGTAGCTGCGCAGTTCACCCAGGTCAGTGCACGTGTGTCTCTTCTGCAGCTCGGACTTCACGTGGGCTAGTCCAGCAGTGTCAGCTGTGGCAAAGACCAAGTCGTCGACGTACACGAGGATGTAGAACGGCGGCAAAGAAGTGTCGGTGCGCAGAAACAGCGACGGGTCGGCAGTAGAGGGAGCAAACCCAAGAGCTGCAAGTGTAGTCCTCAGTGTGTCGTGCCACTCACGCGGTGCCTGGCGGAGACCGTAGACTGGCCGCCGTAGGCTCCACTGGGTGCCAGGAGGAAAAGACCCAGTGAAGCCAGGTGGGCGACGCAGCCAGATCTCCTCGTGCAGGCTGCCCTGCAAGAAAGCAGTGCTGAAGTCAAGAGAGTGTAGCTCGTAGTCACGGTGAGCAGCTACGTGTAGCAGTACCCGAAGAGTGGTCATCTTCGGGGTGGGAGAGAAGGTCTGAAAGTAGTCAACTCCCTGCCGCTGACTGAAGCCACGAGCCACGTAACGCGCCTTGAAGACAGGCGGAGAACCCGGCG